CAGTGCATGGCAAAAATTCATAGGACCAAAGTTATAGTTACTATGGCAACAGTTACTTACTATGGCAAAAGTTACTATGGCAACAGTTACTTACTATGGCAAAAGTTACTTACTATGGCAATAGTTACTATGGCTAAAGTTACTATGGCAATAGTTACTATGGCTGAAGTTACTATGGCAACAGTTACTTACTATGGCAATAGTTACTATGGCTAAAGTTACTATGGCAATAGTTACTATGGCTAAAGTTACTATGGCAATAGTTACTATGGCTAAAGTTACTATGGCAATAGTTACTATGGCTGAAGTTACTATGGCAACAGTTACTTACTATGGCAAAAGTTACTTACTATGGCAATAGTTACTATGGCTAAAGTTACTATGGCAATAGTTACTATGGCTGAAGTTACTATGGCAACAGTTACTTACTATGGCAATAGTTACTATGGCTGAAGTTACTATGGTAACAGTTACTTACTATGGCAATAGTTACTATGGCTAAAGTTACTATGGCAATAGTTACTATGGCTGAAGTTACTATGGCAACAGTTACTTACTATGGCAATAGTTACTATGGCTGAAGTTACTATGGTAACAGTTACTTACTATGGCAATAGTTACTATGGCAACAGTTACTTACTATGGCAAAAGTTACTTACTATGGCAATAGTTACTATGGCTAAAGTTACTATGGCAATAGTTACTATGGCTAAAGTTACTATGGCAACAGTTACTTACTATGGCAAAAGTTACTATGGCAACAGTTACTTACTATGGCCAAAGTTACTATGGCAACAGTTACATACTATGGCAAAAGTTACTATGGCGAAAGTTACTATGGCAAAAGTTAGTTACTATGGCAAAAATTTCTATGACCAAAGTTAGTTACTATGGCCAAAGTTAGTTACTACACTGAAAAAAGTATTTGGTATTGACAACCAAACGTTTGGTTGGTATTTAAGCAACCAAAATTTTTTTGTTAGATCAACAAAATTTTAATTGTCTCAACCAAAATTTGTTTGACACAACGAAAGTTAGAAAAAAAGGATTTTTGTTGTCCAAAACTAAATTTTAATTAGGAAAACAAAAATTTTGTTGATTCAACAAAAAAAAATTTTGGTTGCTTAAATACACCAACCAAACGTTTGGTTGTCAATAACAAACCCTTTTTTTTAGTGTGCCAAAAGCGTAAAATTATTAACACAATATGCTATTTAAAAATAATGAAACATAAATTTCATTTTATTTAATTGATATGACAATTGTACTATATCTAAATTTGATTTAGTAAAAATTTTAACTATGAATTAGTGAATCACTTTTTGCTTTTGTATATTAGTAATATTAATTAGTAGAAAAAAAATGTAATTAGCAAAATTCTAATTTCAAAGCAAAATTTCATTAATTCAGTTTTAGAGACTAATTATAAAGCAAAACTGCACCAGTAGTAATTGGTGTAAATAGTAAGTCATCAACAATTAACCTATCGAACCAGTTTGAGACAATTGATTGCGAACATTGCACTTGCACGAAGGTTACAGTTTCCTTGCAATTTGCTTTCCTTTGACAAAATTTACATTTGTCTCAATAATAGGAAAAAAAAACTATTTCACTCCTCATTAAATTTTAAACAGAAAAATTTAATAAAAATTCTATTTTGAGAATTGTAACAAAAAATTTTAAATCAAAAATATTTAAAAGAGTTTTTTCTCAAAAGAGGAATTTAAAAAGAGGGATGTAAAAGGATGTATTACGTAATACTTTGTGAACGACCCTATAAGGAAAAATTTTTTTTTTCCTTTTTTTTTTTGAAAGACAAAATTCTTAACATTCTCTCAACGGTATCATAAATACATAGACGTGTTCGAAGATTTCCTCTGATGACGTCGACCATGCACTCTCAGTCGAGTATATCTACAGGTCGTTGATATCAACTCTCATGTTTTCTCAGATAAAGGCATTATTATACTTGTCTGTTTCAAACATCGAGCTCCGTCTATAATTATTGACAGATGCGCTCAGTTACAATAATTGTAATGACCATATATAACCATCATATAGTCCTGATTCTATTATTATTATTAAATCTTATAAAAAACAAAATAGCACTTTAAAAAAGCTGAAAAATTATTTTCCAAATATTAATTTTTTTCTTAAACAAAAATTAAATTAAAATTACATTTATTTAATATTGTTGGAAATTTTAGTTATTTCTTTTTACAAATAGAATTTTTAGGTTAGGAATCTTGTGAATTGATCAAGTACCAACTGTGTAATAAAAAAATCTAAAAAATAGCGCTAAACTTAAATCTCAGGTGAAGAAAAATATCATCATATATGTTTTTACCACAATTTTAATATCGAATTCATAATGATATGCAGGGGGAAAATATTGAGTTCAGATTTTTTCAGTGTAATGAAATCTAATCTCAATTATACCTTCGTGCTAAAAGAAAATTCAATTTTGTATATTATCACGCGAAAGAACAGTTAGTTGACATTTATTTTTTGTAAAACTTTAAAATCATTTAAAAAAGAAATTTAGAAAAAATTTATATATTGTAGTTTTTTTTTTACTTTCTAAAGAATTAATAAAAATTTTAACTAATACTTTACTAATACTAATACGAATTAGAAATTAGTAATTTTAAAATACCAACAATGCAAATAATACATATATTACCGATTTTTCCACAATGGTGGTACAACATCTAGAAAAGTTTGTTTTTCTACTTTGTACTGCTACATATATTCTGATAAAAATAAAAAAAAAATGTGACAAAGATATAAGTCAAGATAATTACCTCTGGGGGTTTATATTTCTTTATATATAGCCGAAGGACGAGTATCACTTCTTCATACAAGTTTTTTTTTTTCTTTTGCAAACTAACAAGCATAAACTAAAAACAAAAAATTTTTTTTCCTTTTTGAAATTCAATATTTTATTCCTAGTATTCCGAATCAACTGTAAATTATTTTTATAAGTGTTTTAACAGTGTTTAATAACCCAGTATAAAGAATTGTAAAATTTATCATCGTATGAAAACTGTAGCCTAGTGGTTAGTGCGCTTGCCTTTAAATGTGTGGTACGTGGGTTCGAATCCCCTTACCAGTTTTATTTATTTCGAGAAAAAAAAATAATATATAAAAAATATGGCGACATCTCTTAAAACGTACATTGGATTTAAATGCCATCGAAGAAAGTCTTAAGTAATTCTTAAAATAAATTATACAAAATTTAAAATTACAAAAAAAAAAAAAAAAGGAAACAGAAAATTTGTTTTAAGGATATACAAGAGTCCTTCATTTGTTTTTCGTATATACATTTAATTAATGGAGATATATTATGAATTATTTATTAGAAAATCGAGTGCGTTTTCTTGTTACAAAATCACTGAGACAGGTCAAACACCATTTCTAATAGCAACAGTTAATAGTATTCAGTCACTATATTGTAAAGCCGGAAGAAGCATTTCCTCACTTTCAACATGTTTTATCCACTATTTACTATTGTTTATCTAAATACATCCACACTTGTATATATATATAATACATTTTACGTTAATTATTATACATTTTTGTAAATTTTACAATACAATAAAAAAAAATATAAACCGAATAATTTTTTAAAGATTTTTTTTTTATAATAAAATACAAAAAAAAATTGAACGAGCGAAAACAGAGAATTTTACATAACATATATATATATAAAAACGAATACGCATAGGTTATTAGCATTAGGTCATGCTCAACGTTAAGTCGACTGACAAATACGTAGTATTTGAGAACTTCCGGTCTCTCTCATCTTTCTTAAACTTTCCTGCAATTTTGTTTTTAAGATTTCAGATGTTCCCGAAATAAATTCTAACAAAATTGTTTTCCTATAAGTAATGTAGTTTTGTTCTTCTAATTGAGAATTTATGCAAAAAAAAAAAACTTGACTAATGACAAATATGTTTATTTCCGCAGAATAATTTTTTTTTTAATTATTAAACCTGGTAATAAATAATGTACATGAATCATTTATCCATACAATTATTTGAATAAATAAGATTAAAAATTTGCTTCATATAATAGTAAATAATTTTAATTTGTAAAATACTTTTTAAAAAAATTATATTATTTGGGAATTGAAAAAAATCATAAAAAATGATATAGAATTTGAATTTTTGAATCAATCATTCCGTATTTTTCTTAAAGTATGAATCTCTGAAAAATTATTTTTTTTTTTTTTATTACGATTTAGACATATTTTTAATTTAATTCTCATGAGATAATTATCTTCTTCCTTATTAGTGGTATTTGTAATTGCGTTTTTAGTTACGATTTGGTTTCTTTAAAATTAAATTGCGTCAATTTTTCTTATTTTTTTTTTTTTTTTTTTTTTTGTTTCACGTGATTGTAAGTGCAGAGATACTTTGGGATTTAAAGGTTTTCATTTGATTGCTTCATTAGTTGCCTCACAATTGATTGCGCAAATACACTGAAACTAGTAAAGTTTTAAAATTAAATAAACCTTAACTAAACTTTACGAAATGAGAGCGCGCGCGAACGTATTCGACTAATCTTTATTTCTTATAATTAAAACTTAAAAGCAATATTGTCGTAATTGACTCTCTTTTCATAATCTTAATACTATATTTACAAAAAATATTAATTTCAATTAAATAATGCATTATTTGACAATTATTTGTAAAAAAAAAAAAATCTGATATTTTTTTTTTTAAATAATTTATCAAGAAATAACTGATAAATAATAATTGTTTTTGTCATCTAGATTGCTGTTTATTCAGTCATATTAATAACATTTCGAGTATGTAGTATTCATTGTCTTATTTTACACAGTATGACCTCTTTGACGTTGAAAGATTTATGATGTTCGCGATAGTGGACTGACGAAAATGTCAGTATTTAATTTATAATTAAGTTGAATTCTCCATATAAAAATTAATATTATATTTAAATAATGAGAAATATAAAAAAAAATGTCTTTGACAAACCTTGGAAATAATTCGAAGACCTTCAAAAATACCAAGATGTACCCTTTGCTTCAGACTATCAAAAAATGACACTGCATGACACTTAACGCAGACACTTGTGAAAAAAAAGAGAGAGAAAAAAACAGGAATGTACGTTTCTTCTTTGTTTTCCTGTGTTATCGCTATCACTCACGTTAATTACGCATCCTTTTTAGTGTCTAGTGAAAAAGAAGTAGGTGAGATTGAACGATATTTAAGAGCCATAAGGAATCAATGGAAGAAGAAACTATTTAAGTTACTAAAAATTGTCAATTATTACACTTAACGTTCCATTTAAGTTTGAATATCACTTTCTAAATCTCACTTTTTTTCTTGATAATTTTTTTGAAATTATCAATAACTTTGTATTGAAAATATTTGATTATTTAGTTTAATGAATCGAGTTTTGACTTTTAAAAACCGGAGCTCCTGCTCCGGATCCGATCGAGCAGGCACTGACCCCAGAAAAGTGAGACGAGGATCCACACGAGTGCTCGACACCACACTGTCGATGGCACCACACGAAAGTGCAATGATGAAGAAAGAGAGAGAATAAGACAGTCGTCCTTGCGGACAAGGCTCGGAAAACTTGTTTCTCGCGATATGTGACACGTACTATCGTTGGCGGCCCGATTCGAGCGCGACAACGCTTTTGTCTGTCAAGAGGCGTCAAAGAGAACGCGGTAAACAGTAACACAGAACTGGACCCCATACGCGCGACGAGCTCGACCGGCGCTTTACTTCGGATTTCATCGGAAACAGTCGGAAACCGACTCCAATATAGTTACTCTTCCCTCACTCGACTCACTTCATACACACATAGATATATATATATATATATACTTTACCTACACTTGTATTTTCTCATACGGATAATAAATAAGTCTTTCAAACTTTACGATACTTTCAGTAAAACTTGAAATAGACGAATAATTTTCATTCTAGTCGAAATTACCTCAATTTATGTTTTTTGGGCGAATTTTTAAATGTTCGAATTTTTATTTGCCACATGGAAAAAAAGAAAAAGTAATTTTTACTACTTTTGGAGTAAAACGGAAACTGATGAAAGTTTTTGCGCATCTCTGGCATTTTTAACTCCAAAAATAGTCAAATTCACTCCAGAAATAGTAAAAATTTACTACAGAAATCATCTCTGGCAACTTTTACTCCAAAAATAGTCAAATTCACTCCAGAAATAGTAAAAATTACTACGAAAACAGTGAAATTTACTACAGAAATCATCTCTAGCAACTTCAACTCCAAAAATAGTCAAATTCACTCCAGAAATAGTAAAAATTTACTACAGAAATCATCTCTGGCAACTTTTACTCCAAAAATAGTCAAATTCACTCCAGAAATAGTAAAAATTACTACGAAAACAGTGAAATTTACTACAGAAATCATCTCTAGCAACTTCAACTCCAAAAATAGTCAAATTCACTCCAGAAATAGTAAAAATTTACTACAGAAATCATCTCTGGCAACTTTTACTCCAAAAATAGTCAAATTCACTCCAGAAATAGTAAAAATTACTACGAAAACAGTGAAATTTACTACAGAAATCATCTCTAGCAACTTCAACTCCAAAAATAGTCAAATTCACTCCAGAAATAGTAAAAATTTACTACAGAAATCATCTCTGGCAACTTTTACTCCAAAAATAGTAAAATTTACTACGGAAATAGTAAAAATTTACTAGAGAAATCATCTCTGGCAACTTTAACTCCAAAAATAGTCAAATTCACTCCAGATATAGTAAAAATTACTACGAAAACAGTAAAATTTACTACAGAAATCATCTCTGGCAACTTCAACTCCAAAAATAGTCAAATTCACTCCAGAAATAGTAAAAATTTACTACAGAAATCATCTCTGGCAACTTTTACTCCAAAAATAGTCAAATTCACTCCAGAAATAGTAAAAATTACTACGAAAACAGTGAAATTTACTACAGAAATCATCTCTAGCAACTTCAACTCCAAAAATAGTCAAATTCACTCCAGAAATAGTAAAAATTTACTACAGAAATCATCTCTGGCAACTTTTACTCCAAAAATAGTCAAATTCACTCCAGAAATAGTAAAAATTTACTACAGAAATCATCTCTGGCAACTTTTACTCCAAAAATAGTCAAATTCACTCCAGAAATAGTAAAAATTACTACGAAAACAGTGAAATTTACTACAGAAATCATCTCTAGCAACTTCAACTCCAAAAATAGTCAAATTCACTCCAGAAATAGTAAAAATTTACTACAGAAATCATCTCTGGCAACTTTTACTCCAAAAATAGTCAAATTCACTCCAGAAATAGTAAAAATTACTACGAAAACAGTGAAATTTACTACAGAAATCATCTCTAGCAACTTCAACTCCAAAAATAGTCAAATTCACTCCAGAAATAGTAAAAATTTACTACAGAAATCATCTCTGGCAACTTTTACTCCAAAAATAGTCAAATTCACTCCAGAAATAGTAAAAATTTACTACAGAAATCATCTCTGGCAACTTTTACTCCAAAAATAGTCAAATTCACTCCAGAAATAGTAAAAATTACTACGAAAACAGTGAAATTTACTACAGAAATCATCTCTAGCAACTTCAACTCCAAAAATAGTCAAATTCACTCCAGAAATAGTAAAAATTTACTACAGAAATCATCTCTGGCAACTTTTACTCCAAAAATAGTCAAATTCACTCCAGAAATAGTAAAAATTACTACGAAAACAGTGAAATTTACTACAGAAATCATCTCTAGCAACTTCAACTCCAAAAATAGTCAAATTCACTCCAGAAATAGTAAAAATTTACTACAGAAATCATCTCTGGCAACTTTTACTCCAAAAATAGTAAAATTTACTCCGGAAATAGTAAAAATTTACTAGAGAAATCATCTCTGGCAACTTTAACTCCAAAAATAGTCAAATTCACTCCAGATATAGTAAAAATTACTACGAAAACAGTAAAATTTACTACAGAAATCATCTCTGGCAACTTCAACTCCAAAAATAGTCAAATTCACTCCAGAAATAGTAAAAATTTACTACAGAAATCATCTCTGGCAACTTTTACTCCAAAAATAGTAAAATTTACTCCGGAAATAGTAAAAATTTACTAGAGAAATCATCTCTGGCAACTTTAACTCCAAAAATAGTCAAATTCACTCCAGAAATAGTAAAAATTACTACGAAAACAGTGAAATTTACTACAGAAATCATCTCTAGCAACTTCAACTCCAAAAATAGTCAAATTCACTCCAGAAATAGTAAAAATTTACTACAGAAATCATCTCTGGCAACTTTTACTCCAAAAATAGTCAAATTCACTCCAGAAATAGTAAAAATTACTACGAAAACAGTGAAATTTACTACAGAAATCATCTCTAGCAACTTCAACTCCAAAAATAGTCAAATTCACTCCAGAAATAGTAAAAATTTACTACAGAAATCATCTCTGGCAACTTTTACTCCAAAAATAGTAAAATTTACTCCGGAAATAGTAAAAATTTACTAGAGAAATCATCTCTGGCAACTTTAACTCCAAAAATAGTCAAATTCACTCCAGATATAGTAAAAATTACTACGAAAACAGTAAAATTTACTACAGAAATCATCTCTGGCAACTTTAACTCCAAAACTAGTAAAATTTACTCCAGAAATAGTAAAAATTACTACGAAAACAGTAAAATTTACTACAGAAATCATCTTTGGCAACTTTAACTCCAGAAATAGTCAAATTCACTCCAGAAATAGTAAAAATTACTACAGAAATCATCTCTGGCAACTTTTCCTCCAAAAATAGTCAAATTCACTCCAGAAACAGTAAACACTACTACGAAAACAGTAAAATTTACTACAGAAATTATCTCTGGCAACTTTAACTCCAAAACTAGTAAAATTTACTCCGGAAATAGTAAAAATTTACTAGAGAAATCATCTCTGGCAACTTTAACTCCAAAACTAGTAAAATTTACTACAGAAATAGTAAAAATTACTACGGAAACAGTAAAATTTACTACAGAAATCATCTCTGGCAACTTTAACTCCAAAAATAGTCAAAATTACTACGGAAGTAGTAAAATTTACTACAGAAATAAACTCTAGCAACTTTAACTCCAAAAATAGTCAAATTTACTCCAAAAATAGTAAAAATTACTACGGAAGCAGTAAAAATTACTACAGAAATAAACTCTGTCAACTTTAACTCCAAAACTAGTAAAATTTACTACGGAAATAGTAAAAATTACTACGGAAACAGTAAAATTTACAACAGAAATCATCTCTGGCAACTTTAACTCCAAAAATAGTCAAAATTACTACGGAAGCAGTAAAATTTACTACAGAAATATACTCTGTCAACTTTAACTCCAAAAGTAGTAAAATTTACTCCAGAAATAGTAAAAATTTACTTTAGAAATCATCTGTGGCAACTTTTACTCCAAAAATAGTCAAATTCACTCCAGAAATAGTAGAAATTACTACAGAAATCATCTCTGTCAACTTTAATTTCAAAAATAGTAAAATTTACTCCAGAAATAGTAAAAATTACTACGGAAATAGTAAAATTTACTACATAAATAGTAAAATTTACTATTTTTGTAGTAAAATTTGCCAGAGTTGCGCAGAAACTTCGAACAATTTCCCATTTTATTCTAAAAGTAGTAAAAATTGTTCTTTTTTCCGTACAGGAATTTTGAGAGAGAATTGTTAGTTAATAGAATTTACCGATATTGAAAATGACTGGACAAACATAACCTACATAAAAGGATTTGTTGGTGAATTTTCAAAATGCAATCAATCAGAAACTATCAAGGGTCAAATTTTAAATACTTGCGCCTAAATCTAATGTAGGTTATGTTAATTCGGTCATTTGTAATTTCGGACAATTCGACGTTTTACGAATTCTGATAAATAAAAATTTAAAACATTTACAAGAATTTTTTTTTTTTACATAAAAAAAAATGAATAAAAAATATGTAATAATAAAATAATATGATCCACAAATTCTGAAATATATTCAAATAATTACTAAATGAAACCAAAAATATTTATTTAAATTTCATTAGCAATAAATTTTTTGATAAAAATAAAAATTTTCTTCCATTTAATATTTTTTTCTTCAATTGCAATCTAAAACACATCTATTCACTTTTGACGTGAAAGGAAGACTGAGAATCTTTTTCTTGAATATTGATTTTTTTTTAGTCATGCGAGACAAAGATTCTCTAAACGGACTAAAATTAACAAAAAAATTCTTAATATTATTAAAAGAAAACTTTGTGTTACTATCTTAACTTTATGAAGAAATTCATTGATTTCTTATACTTAAAAGTGAAGGAGAGAAAATTGAACTGTAAACTATTATAATAATGACTTTAGAAGAAATTATCTATTAATATTTTATCATTTTGTACCATGAAGTGGAAAATCTATTCTATGGGATTATAACACAGACTAATAATTATCTTATGGTATACAGAGTGCATATTCATATTTTCAAGTGCTGAAAAGTGAGGAGCGACTCAGTCTTATTTTAACCATCAGAATGGACACTTCATTTAAATCATTTTATATGGTTTACGAATGGCTCTTATCGGCAGTTGGTCAATGGCCATATCAAACAAAATTAAAAAGAATTTGTTTATCCATATTTGCTTATATTTCTATAATAAGTTTACTTATTCCAGAGGTGGTACTAAATATTAAATTAGACGAATTTAATTATAAATTAAGATTTTAAATAATATTTTTTTTATTATCAGTTGTTAGGTTTGAAAAAATATTGGGGAAACGTGGATATTGTTATTCAATGTATACCACCTATTATTGTGATTATTATTGTCCTTTGTTTATTAACAAACGGTATTATTAAAATTGAAAAAGTAAAAATTTATTTTTTTATACTTTTTGACGAATTTTTAATAAAAAGAATATTTCAAAAACTTGTCTTTTAAAAAATTAATTAAAAATTAATATCATTAGATGGAACTTATAATTAAAAAAATGAAAACTGATTGGAATTTTTGGACAACAGATTTAAATATTGATAGTCTACAGGATTATGTTAAAAGTGGAAAAAGTCTAGATTTGATGTTTATGTGTAATGTAAAGAATTAATTAGCCAAAAAAAAAAAAAAAATTAGAAATTTAATTATAACATATGTTTTTTTTTCATAATTAGATATTGTTTGTGTTTTGGCGACTTTATATATTTCTATGCCAATTACACCATTAATTCTGAACATTATTTTACCATTAAATCAAACACGAACGAAGCAATCACTTTATTTTACGGATTATTATTTAAATGAAGAAAAATATTATTATTGGACATTAATTCATGGCTGTATTTCAAGTTCAATTGTTATAGTTGTTTTAGTCAGTATAGAAACTATGTTTTCTGCTGTGATTATACATGCATGTCGAATATTTTCTATTTTAGGGTATTATATTAAAAACAAATTAAAAAATAAATTAACATTGTTTATTTAGTTTAAAAAATTTTGTCACTACTTTCAGAATCAAATTGAAAAATATTGTAAATGATGATTCCAATGATGGTGTAATTGATAAAAAAAGACTTCCACAAAAAATTGATGAAGATATTAAAATATTTGTTAAAAAGCACATGGAAATATTAGAGTTTGTATACACTGAGAAAAATCTTCTATTGAATCAACAGCATTTCTGCCAAAGGTATAAAAATTATTGATTCAAAAAGCATATGCTATAGAATTTTTGAAATATTATACAGATCATAGAAAATTAAAAGGCATTAAAATAAGCGTTGCAGCTTATTTTAATGCCTTTTAATTTTCTGTGATTCTATAGCATATGCTTTTGAATAAATAATTTTTATACTTTTTTTGGCAGAAATGCTGTTGATTCAATAGCAGATTTTTCTCAGTGTAGTATATTTTTATATAGTAAATGATATTAATTTTTTTGACAAATATAAAATTATTTAATAATTTACTGGATTATTTTTCTAATATTTCTGTTTTAAGTTTCGTAGACGATATATGTGATTTTTTTTCAACACCACTTCTCGTAGTCTTGGCATGTAATACAATTTTAATAAGCGTAACAGGAGTTCAGGTATAAAAAAAACGAAATTTTTCTATTTCAATAAATCCAATATATTTATTTATGAACCATTAAGTAATTACTTTTTTAGACAGTGATAAAGCTTCATAAATTTAATGAAGCTTTAAGATTTGGTTCTTTTACTATTAGTCAAATTTTTAATCTTCTCTATCTCAATATTCCCTGTCAACAATTGATTGATCATAGTATTGATATATCTAATAGCATGTAATAATATTTTAATATTTTAATATATGTATATTAAAATGAAAACAATAAAAATTAATAAAAAAAAGGAAATTTCTATCAGATACAATGGATATTGGTATCAATTGTCATCAGAATCACAAAAAATGTTGTTAATGATAATGAGAAGAAGTTCAAGACCATCTGAATTTACAGCTGGAAAATTGTATACATATTCAATCAGTAATTTTGCTTCTGTAAGTTAATTATCAAAATTAATTTAAAAAACAATTTTTATAATTATACCAATTACATATAATAATCTTTCATTATTTTCCTTCAAGATTCTTCGAATGTCTATGTCATATTTTACTATGCTGTCTTCGGTTCGATAGAATTATTAATATTCCATATAAATATTTAAAACAATATTTTAATATTAATATAAAAACAGAATAGTTTGTATAAAAAATAACTTACAGTCAAGAAGATAAATTATAATTTATTGTATTTTAGAATTATAGTTCTGAATTTAATTATCTCGTAAAAATTAATGGATTTTTTTTCAGTAATTAAATTGTAATTTGATGTTATAGAAAAGTTTATTTTATATTTGAAAATGTAAATTTTTCCTTATCGCAATTAAAAATTTACTAATGGCACAATACTGGCGCAGTACTGACATATGTTGGCTCAGTACTGGCACCCAGTATTAGTTCAGTAAAAATAAAAATGTTCATAAAATAATTATAATGTATATAATTATACAATTAGCTATTTACATATTTTATTATTCACTTTAATTATTTGCATCAAAATAAATTTTTGAAAAACTTTTTTAAGAAAATAAAAATTGTTTTTTAATTTTTAACAAGTGTTGTCAAGAAAATTTTTTTAAATTTTTATTTTAAAAATTATTAATTTTTTTATAAAAACTTTTATTTATTTTTAATTTGATTGTTTAAATTTTTTTTTTGATTTATTGCATATCTGAAAACAAAAAAAAATCTTGCTAAATGTTTTAGACTTTTAGAAACTTTTTGTTTAAATAATTTTACCCACAGAAAAGCAAAATAAAGTACATTTTAATTTTTGCAAAAATAAAATCAAGTTGAAAATATTTTGATGAACAAAATATTTAAACAAAAAGATTCATCGGGTTCACTCTAGAACTTTTTGTAAACTAGTATTAATCAAAAAGAAAATCTATTTGAGCCAATACTGGCTCAATATCGGCTCAGTACTGGTTTGCCAGTACTGAGAGGGTGGTACTGCACCAGTACTGTTACAATGAAAATACCAGTACTGGTTCAGTACAGACTGCCCAGTTTCGGCAGCCAATACTGAACCAGTACTGCGCCAGTAGTTAACTCTGGTATAATACGAAAATTTTTGGTTAGGATTATACATATTCTATTAAAATACATAAAATTTTTGTGTATACAATTAAATAAAAATTCATAAGTACCATGCATAAAATTAAATGCCTAGGGCATTAAAAAATTACGAAAAAAAAAATTATTATTATTATTTATAAAAGTAAAAAATATAATTTTTTGTTATTCAATTAAATAAATTAAAGGATAAAAGAAATGAATTTCAAAATATTGTATATATACCAATTTCCGTTTTTTTTGTCCTAATTTTTAATAGTCCGAATTGCTTAGATTTAGCATAGGCTGTCTTAAAAATGTTGCCTCTTAAAATAAGACCTCTTTTTGGCCTTAAAATAAGACTTTCTTTTTACAGTGAAGAAAAATTAATGATCAATTATTGAAATATCGCGTTTAAATCTAATATAGGTTATGTTTGTTCGGTCATTTGCAGTTTCGGTCAATTCTACGTTTTACGAATTCTGACAAAGAACAATTTAGATTTTGGAATATATTCAAATAATTACTGAATGGAATTAAAAATATTTATTTAAATATCAATATATACATTAGCAATAAACTTTTTTTTTTTTTAATGAAAAATAAAATTTATTTCCATTTAATATTTGTTCTTCAATTGCAATTTAAAACACATCTATTCACTTTAGATTTGAAAGAAAGAATGAGAATCTTTTTCTTGAATATTGATTTTTTTTTCCTCCAGGAAAAGCTATAGCGATTTATTATCAAAGGAAACAAAATTAAGCTGTAAACTATTATAACAATGACTAGGAGAAATTAACTATTAATATTTTATCACTTTGTACCATGAAATGGAAAATCTATTCTATGGGATTATAACATAGACTAATAATTATCTTATATGGTATATAGAGTACACATATTCATATTGTCAAGTGTTAAGAAGTAAGGAGCGACTCAGTCTTATTTTAACCATCAGAATGGACACTTCATTTGAATCTGTTTATATGATTTACGAAAGGCTTTTATCCGTTGTTGGTCAATGGCCATATCAAACAAAATTAAAAAGAATTTGTTTATCCATATTTGCTTATATTTCTCTAATAACTTTACTTATTCCAGAGGTAGTACTATAAATATCAAATTAAAAACAAATTATAAATTATTATTTTAAATTATTAACAAATATTTATATTGTCAGTTGTTAGGTTTGAAAAAATATTGGGGAAATATGGATATTGTTATTGAATGCCTTCCACCTATTATTATGATCATTATTGTTCTTTATTTATTAACAAACAGTGTTATCAAAATTGAAAATGTAAAAATGTATTGTTTATACTTTTTAAGAAAATATTTCTAAAAAAAAAAAACATTTAAAAAAAAGTCCCTTATTAATTTAAAATAATTAATGTCATTAGATGGAACTTATAATTAAAAAAATGAAAACTGATTGGGATTTTTGGACAACAGATTTAGAAATTGATAGTCTATACGATTATGTTAAGAGAGGAAGAAATTTAAATTTGATTTTTATATGTAAAGTAAAGAATTAATTATCTAAAAGAAATTAAGAAATTTTATTATAACACGTTTTTTTTTTTAAAAAAATTAGATTATATTTGTTGTTTGACTGTTGTATATACTGCTCTGCCAATTACACCGCTAATTTTGGACATTATTTTACCATTAAATCAGTCACGAACGAAACAATCACTTTATTATACGGAATATTATTTAAATGAAGAAAAATATTTTTATTGGATATTAATTCATAATTATATTTCAAGTTTAACTGTTGTTGTTGGTTTATTCAGTATAGAAATAATGTTTTCTGCCGTAATTATACATGCATGTGGAATATTTTCTATTTTAGGGTATATTATATTGAAAATAATTAAAAAATAAATTAATAATTTTCATTTATTTTAAACAAAAATTTTTCACTTTCTTTCAGAATCAAATTGAAAAATATTTTAAAAGATGATTTCAATGATGATGTAATTGATAAAAAAATAAATCCACAAAAAATTGATGAAGATATTAAAATATTTGTTGAAAAGCACATGGAAATATTAGAGTTTGTATAATATATTTTTTATAGTAAATATAAAATTATTTAATAATTTACTGGTAATTTATTAATTTTTCTACATTAAGTTTTGTAGACGATGTATGTGATTATTTTTCAACACCATTTATCATGCTTTTGGCATGTAATACAATAATAATAAGTGTAACAGGAGTACAGGTAAAAAAATAAATTGAAAGAAACTTTTCTATTTCAATAAATCCAATATTTATTTATATACCATTAAGAAACTATTTTTTAGACAGTGATAAAGCTTCATAAATTTCATGAAGCTGCTAGATTTGGTTCCTTTACTGTTGGTCAAATTATTAATCTTTTTTATCTCAGTATTCCCTGTCAACAACTGATTGATCTGAGTATCGATATATCTAATAGCATGTAATGATATTTTTTTATTTTAATATATATGTAATATTAAATTCAAAACAATAAAAATAATAAACAATAATTTTTTTATTTAGATACAATGGATATTGGTATCAATTTTCTTCAAAATCACAAAAAATATTGTTAATGATAATGAAAAGAAGTTCACGTCCATCTGAAATTACAGCTGGAAAATTGTATACATATTCAATTAATAATTTTGCTTCTGTAAGTGAATTATCAAAATTCATTTAAAAATCAATTTTTATAATTACATCATTAGATGTATATATATAAATAATAATAATTAATTATTTTTCTTCAAGATTCTTCGACTGTCTATGTCATATTTTACTATGCTGTCTTCGGTTCGTTAGAATTTATATATTCCATATAAATCTTTACAAGTAGCAATATTTTAATATTATAAATATAAAAAACAGAATATACTTTGTATAAAAAATTAACTTACACTAAAATCCCAATCAAAAATTTACAAATGGTGCAGTACTGGCGCAGTACTGACAAATACTGGCGCAGTACTGGCAACCAGTGTTGGCGTAACTTTGGTATGATAACATTTTGCCAGTATTGGCTACCAGAATTGGCACCAGTACTGATAACCACTACTGGTTCAGTACTGGCCGAGTACTGGCAGTTTTGTAATTGATTGTATACGAAAGGAAAGCTGTAACTGTAACAGAGATATAAATTTCACTCCAGGTAATACTTTTTTGGTATACTTAGGAAAAAGTGTCTGAAATTTTTATTAACCCAAGACAAATTAAATATTAATTAAATTAGTTAGCTAACTAATTAATACTTTATTATATAAAATCGAAAACACCAAGAATTTTTATTCTTTATTAAGTATAATATATATTGCAAATTATTATTTTAAAAAATCAAAAAATAAATATAAAAATATGTTTATTATAAAACCAAAATTTTTAAATTAATATTAAATTTTTGTTTATAATTCACTTTTGGAAAAAAAAGACTGAAGAATAACATCCAGAAACAAATTAGAATAATTTTATTGACCATTGAAATATATAAGTTTGTAGGTTTAACTATTATTTATAATTTCTATTAAGGAAGGTTAATTATAAATTTTATATTATTGATAATATAACATTTGTGCAATTTTACTTGCCATTGTATTTAATTTTTTAAATTAAATTTATATTATAAATTTTATTCCAAAAAATATTAATTTTTTATAAACAAATTTATTTATTTTTAGTTTGATCGTTAAAAATTTTTTTTTTTTGGTTTATTGCATATCTGAAAACAAAAAGAAAAACTTGCAAAATGTTTTAGACTTTTAGAAACTTTTTGTTTAAATAATTTTACCCACAGAAAAGCAAAATAAAGTACATTTTAATTTTTGCAAAAATAAAATCAAGTTGAAAATATTTTGATGAACAAAATATTTAAACAAAAAGATTCATCGGGTTCACTCTGGAACTTTTTGTAAACTATAGTATTAATCAAAAAGAAAATCTATTTGAGCCAATACTGGCTCAATATCGGCTCAGTACTGGTTTGCCAGTACTGAGAGGGCGGTACTGCACCAGTACGGATACAATGAAAATACCAGTACTGGTTCAGTACAGACTGCCCAGTTTCGGCAGCCAATACTGAACCAGTAGTCAACTCTGGTATAATAGTGAAATTTTTGGTTGTGAAGTGATAAAAAAATAAAAAATTGTTATTTATTGTATTTTGTAAATATAGTGCTAAATTTAATTATCTCTTCAAAATTATTTGATTTTTTTCTCAGTAATTAAATTGTAATTTGTGTTATAGAAAAGCTTATTTTATATTTGAAAATGTAAATTATTTCTTGTTATAAATATTCTATTAAAATACATAAAATTTTTGTGTATACAAATAAATTAAAATTCATTAAAAAAGCACCATGCATAAAAATAAATGCCTGGGGCATTTAAAATTTACGAAAAAATTATTATTATTATTATTATTATTATTATTATTATTATTATTATTATTATGTATAAAAGTAAAAAACACAATTATTTGTTATTTTAATAAATAAAAATAAGGGATAGAAGAAATTAACTTCAGAAAAATTGTATAAATATACTTACTTACACTTTTATTTTCTCATATACAGATTATAAATTAGTCTTTCAAAATTTACAATACTTTTAGTAAAACTTGAAACAGTCGCATAAGTCTCATTCAGTCGAAATTGTCCCAATTCCTTTTTTTTTTTTTTTTTTTTGTTCGAATTTTTAATTGTCCGAATTTTTATTTTCAAAATGCGACCTAATCTGAAACTATCAAAAAAAAAATTATTGCTCAATTTTGAAATACCGCGCCTAAAACCTAATGTGGGTTATGTTTGTTCGGTCATTTGCAATTTCGGTCAATTTGACATTTTACGAATTCTTAAAAATGACAATTGTAAAATACAGGATTTTTTTTTTAAATAATAAAAAAAAAATAAATAAATAATACGTAGTAATAAAATCATACATATCCGCGAATTCTGGAAAATATTCAAATAATTACTGAATGGAACTAAAAATATTTATTTAAATATCAATATATACATTGGGAATAAATTTTTTTTTTTTTTTTTTTTGTGAAAAATAAAATTTTCTTTCATTTAATATTTGTTCTTCAATTGCAATCTAAAACACATCTATTCACTTCGGACGTGAAATGAAGAATGAGAATCTTTTTCAGCTCTATATACATTGAATATTGATTTTTTTTTCCCCCCACCAGGAAAAGCCAACGAGACAAAGATTCACCTGAAACGTTTTATAACATAATTAGTCAATAAATATTTCACTCTCTATACAGTTAGCGGAAAAGTTTGAAGTAAGAATTAAATTATCTGATATTTATAAAAATGGATTCTCGAAGAACAAATATATAATACGTACAATCATATATACATAAATTTAGATTATATATATATATATATATAGCGGCAATTAGTAAATCATATAATAGAATAATAATAATAATTAAATATATAGGGAAATAATTTCAAATGGATGACAGAAATATTAAATTAGTTCCATAATTATAAACTTTCTACGGATAATGCAAGTGGAAAATTAAGCTTCCTCTAAACAGACTAAAAGTTATAATAATAATAATATTATTATTATTATATGAAAACTTTGTGTTACTATCTTGACTTTATGAAGAAATTCATTGATTTCTTATACTTAAAAGTGAAGGAGAGAAAATTGAACTGTAAACTATTATAATAATGACTTTAGAAGAAATTATCTATTAATATTTTATCATTTTGTACCATGAAGTGGAAAATCTATTCTATGGGATTATAACACAGACTAATAATTATCTTATGATATACAGAGTACATATTCATATTTTCAAGTGCTGAAAAGTGAGGAGCGACTCAGTCTTATTTTAACCATCAGAATGGACACTTCATTTAAATCATTTTATATTGTTTACGAATGGCTTTTATCGCTTTTTGGTCAATGGCCATATCAAACAAAATTAAAAAGAATTTGTTTATCCATATTTGCTTATATTTCTCTAATAACTTTACTTATTCCAGAGGTAGTACCAAATTAAATAATTTATTTATAAATTAATATTTTAAATTACTAATATTATTTATTATTATCAGTTAATAGGTTTGAAGAAATATTGGGGAAATGTGGATATTGTTATTGAATGCCTTCCACCTATTATTATGATCATTATTGTTCTTTGTTTATTAACAAACAGTATTATCAAAATTGAAAATGTATAAAAATGTATTTTTTTTATACTTTTTAACAAAATTTAAAAAAAAAAAAAATATTTCAAAAATTAATTTAAAATTAATGTCAGTAGTTGGAACTTATAATTGAAAAAATGAAAACTGATTGGGATTTTTGGACAACAGATTTAGGAATTGATGGTCTACACGCTTATGTTAAGGGAGGAAGAAGTTTAGATTTCTATTTTTCATGTAAATTAAAAAATTAATTAAGCTGAAAAAAATTAAGAAATTTAATATTATAACAAATATGTTTTTTTTTTTATAATTAGGTTGTAGTGCTGTTGTGGCTATTCTATATACATCTATGCCAATGACACCACTAATTTTGAACATTATTTTACCATTAAATCAATCACGAACGAAACAATCACTTTTTCATACGGAATATTATTTGAATGAAGAAAAATATTATTATTGGATATTAATTCATAGTTATATTACAAGTTTCACTGTTGCTGTTATTTTAGTCAGTATACAAACGATATTTTCTGCTGTGATTATACATGCATGTGGAATATTTTCTATATTAGGGTATTTATATTAAAAATAATTAAAAAATAAATTAATTATTTTTTATTTATTTTAAAAAAATTTTCTCATTATGTTCAGCGATAAATTGAAATATATTTTAAAAGATGATTTCAATGATGATGTAATTGATAAAAAAATAAATCCACAAAAAATTGATGAAGATATTAAAATATTTGTTGAAAAGCACATGGAAATATTAAAGTTTGTAAAATATATTTTTATAGTAAATGATATTCATTTATATAATATAAATATAAAATTATTTAATTAACTGATAATTTATTAATTTTTTTGCTTTAAGTTTCGTAGACGATATAGTTGATTATTTTTCAATACCATTTATCATACTTTTGGGATTTAATACAGTAATCATAAGTATAACAGGAGTTCAGGTAAAAAATAATAGAACATAGAATTGCTACGATTTCTCTTGGAACAAAATTCCATGACTTTTCCATGTTTTCGATAAGCGTAGCAACTCTGGAGAAATTTTTCTATTTCAATAAATCCAATATATATTTATTTATATACCATTAATTAATTATTTTTTAGACAGTGATAAAGCTTCATAAATTTTATGAAGCTGTCAGATTTGGTTCTTTTACTTTTGGTCTAATTATTAATATTTTTTATCTCAATATTCCCTGTCAACAACTGATTGATCATAGTACTGATATATCTGATTGCATGTAATAATATTTTAATATATTAATATATGTATATAAAATTGAAAACAATAAAAATAATAAAATAAAGTAACTTTTTTTTTACAGATACAATGGATATTGGTATCAATTGTCTTCAGAAACACAAAAATTGTTGTTAATGATAATGAGAAGAAGTTCAATACCATCTGAATTTACAGCTGGGAAATTGTATACATATTCAATCAAGAATTTTGCTTCGGTAAGTAAATTATCAAAATTCATTTAAAAAACAATTTTTATAATTACATCATTAGATATATATATATATATATATATATATATATATTAATAATCATTAATTATTTTTCTTCAAGATTCTTCGAGTATCTATGTCATATTTTACTATGCTCTCTTCGGTTCGATAGAATTAATATTCCATATAAATATTTACAACAATATTTTAATATAAATATAAAAACAGAATATTTTGTATAAAAATTAATTTACAGTCAATAAGATAAAATAATAAAAATTGTAATTCATTGTATTTTGTAATTATAGTGAATTCAATTATCTTGTAAAAATTAATCAAAAATTTTTTTTCACTAATTAATTGCAATTTACGTTATTGAAAAGTTTATTTTTTATTTGGAAATGTAAATTTTTCCATGTTATACATATTCTATTAAAATACATAAAATTTTTGTGTATACAATTAAATTATAAAATTCATGAATAAGCAACCATGCATCAAATTAAATACCTTGGAGCATTAAAAATTTTACGAAAAAAAAAAATTGTTATTATAAAAGTGAATAACACAATTTTTTGTTATTGAAATAAATAAAATTAAGGGATAGAAGAAATGAACTTCAGAATATTGTATATATACCAAAGTGTTATACTAAAACATACTTTCGCCTATATACATTATGCAAATTGACTCCATCGATTGTTGTTACACCCACGTAAACTTGTTGCGCGCGTTTCAGCAGCCGAGATCATTTCAGTTGAGAGCGCGTGAATTTCAGACTTTCCCAATAGCATTTGAAAATGTATAATAAAATATGATTTATAGTCATCTAAAATATCTATTCAAATTCTCAAAAGAAAATAATAATTAAAATTTATTTTTCAAATAATGTCAATTATTTTTATAATCGCTTATTTTCTAATAAAAAAAAAAAATTATATATTTTCGTAATAATATACTTTATTAAATTTATAGGTATTTATAAAAATTTTATGAATTTTCAATAATGTATGCATATGACATTAATGTAATGAAAATTATTGACGTATATGAAGTATACATTGGTTCAATGAAACTCGAGAATTTCAATGATATACCTAAACATGTATAGAAACAACATAATTATATTGTGCATATATATGCGTGTATATATATATATATATAGAGAATATATATCTTGATGTGCCAGATATTCCAGAGTATGAATGATACTCATCTGATAATATACACACATATATATATATAGACTATGAAAGCGTGCCATCTTGGTCCTTTCAGTCAATGTTGTTTCCGAACTCTGTCAATTTCATCCCAAGAATTATTGATAAGCACATGGAATCGCAAAAGTTACATGTATACAAATGCATTTATATATATATTTTTTTTTTTATCTATAATTCAAACTTCTATTTCTGTAATGTGTGATTTATTTTCTAGTTCGTTTAATTAATCACAATAAATTTTTATCACTGAACTGAAATTTATAATTCTAATTATAAAACAAAAAGAATTTTGTCAATATAAAAAAAAATGTACATTTGAATTATACTTCATAAACATTTTTAATTTTCATAAAGAACAAAAACTTTATCAGATTATCTTTTTGAAAAAAATTCTTTTTTTTTTAAATTCTATCTTTAAATTAAATATAAAAATGCAAGATTTCTTTTTATCATGACATTGTAAAAATTAATTTTTTTTTCTCGACTAGAATAAATAATTTGAGAAAAAAAAAAATTAAATTTCTAAAAGAAGAAAAAGAAATGAGTGAATTTTTCGTATTTCACTTTCTTTTTGATGGTAGTTGTAAACCCCATAAGTAGTGGATTATAAAGCCCAACGAGAATCATACGACGTGTAAGTATAACACGGTAGGATGATAATCACAAGTCCGTTCTCGCGTGCAAAGTCAACTATACCACAATTACTTGGATGTAATACACGGTTGTCGTTGCCACGATTAGCTGTCTTCTTTTCTGACTCGACCATCGCAAATTGCTGGGGTTGTTGTGTATTGCTGGGTGTTTCGTATTTTAATTTTTTTTTTCTTTTGTTTTTTATGAATTCCATATGCATACATAAATTTATATATATATACAGACACAAGATTTCTCTGGATATATATTTAAATACCAGTGCTTTCCTTTCAGTATTAGTATAATCCGTACGATAAAATCGACGACCAGTTCCCTACTAGTTAATCTTAGAATTATCCTGGTCTATGGTAAACAGGAATTAATGGAAAATTTAAATCTTGATGCTTTTTAAGTATCCTCGAGCGGTAAAGAAACTTACAAAAAAAAAAAAAAAAACAAGTTCTGAAAACAAAATTTTTATATTGAAAAGTTTCTCTATTAAAAATTCTCAAAATAACTTAAATTTATCAATTAATATTGAAGTGATCGCTTTGTTTGAATATCGTCCAAAATTGTCCTCAGTTCTTCATCTTCAAGTCGACTTTCCAAACTTGGTATCAATGCTTTTGCTTCTTCTGGTGTTTCAGGGCAAATATTTGCCAATGAGGCCAATTCAAATTTATGTAATTTTTTTTGCATCAGTAAACTAAATGAAAAAAGAAAATCATATTTTTTTGTGAAAAAAAATTTTCTAATTTTACCGCTCATAGCGACTATACAAACTTTGAATATAAGAAAGAAAAAAAAGAAGTGTGTTGATACTAAAGTATAAACTTACCTTCTTACGGCAGCGATAGTTTCCTTGTTTTTAAATTTGCGAAATCGATTGGTGTAAGTTAGAGTCTTCATAAAAACTTCAGAAAATTCCTGTTCTTCCTCGGCAGACTCATTTTGTGCTTTTCTGTGTTCTAAAAGCATGTGCACTTCCGATACAAGTAGTGTCTCGGCATTCTCAAACTCTAAAGAAAATTTTTTTTTAAAAAAAATTATTATACAAACAAATTTTTTAAATATAAAACTATTTATTAATATCAAAAATTAAAATAATATCACATTATACATTTAATATGTAATCTATTTACATAATTTACAAAGCTGGATTATTAATATATCCCTGTTCGGTTAAAAAATCATAAATTTTTCTAGTTTTATTAACATCAATTTTTAATAATGATCGAGCTTGAGCCAATCGTAGGATTCCATTTCTTTTATTTTCGCTTATAAGTATGTGTTTAAAGTCTAAGTAACTTGAAGGAACTATTCGAGCTTTCGAACATAGATCAGCTTCATCTAATGAAAGTTTCTCGAATCCAGGAAGTCCTCTAATTGCAAGGGGTGGCGGTGCTCTTCTTTGAGTAATTCCACCGACGATAGATGCTTTCAAATCAGTATCGCTACATTGCAATATATTTTTCCAATTATTATCTAAACTTGCTAAAAGATTTTTTCTCTCACGTTCACTATCTTGTCGAATAATTGTTAATTTTTGAAATAGTTTTACACTTTGAAAATATTTCAATCCATTTTTACGAAAATCAAAAAGTCTCTCTAAATAGCATTTTAATTCACCAATTCTATGTAGACCCTCCATGATATAATCGAAATCTTGTCCACTAACTAATTGCATAAAAACTAATAATCTATCAACTAAAGGTCTTGTAATAGTATCATCATATCTATGTAACCAGGTATTTAATCTTCTTAATGTTATTAATCCATGTTTTTTTATAATCCTCTCTCTTCTCTTGCGTTCTTTTAATCTATTATTATAAGCACCAACTAAAGCAAGTTGTAAATTTCTTCCTAAATCATCATCATCATCATCTGAATTAAAATCATCGTATTTTAAATCAGAAACAATTAATTCAGCATGATGATCGAAATTAATTTCAAAATCAGATCGCGCTGGATTATAGCCTGATAATAATCGACTACTAATTGTTTCATTAGAATATCTTGGTGGATCTTCCAAATCATCTAATTTAAACATATAGGGAATTGTGGGAATATGAAAGACACTTGTCTCGGTTTCATTAAATTTTGGCAATTCATTAAAAATTTGCTTATCAATGTAATACTGTAAATAATGAGCTTTACATTCTTCGGGTGATTTACCATAAATTCTTCTTGAAATATCCACCCAATTACCAAATCCACATTCCAATAATACATCCAATAATTCCAATTCTTCTTTTGCAGTCCAACCGGAATTTTCAATTAGGGGAAATTCATTTCTCACGATAATATAATCGTGATCATTTTTATGATTTTTAATTTCACGACCATTTGAAAAGCAGGCACAACAAAGTTCTATATAATTACATATTGCACAACGTATATGAGGTTTTGATAATGTTGAATTACATATAAAACATACTGAATCTGAAGTAATGATTTCCTCCTTCTCAACTGACACATCGAGTTCGATATTACAATTATTCTCTATCGTTGTGTAGTCTGAAAAGCAAGAAAATCATTACTTTATAGATTACTTTAGATACCTTTTCTCATTTTTAAATTAACTTATCAAAACACAATTATTAGTTTTAAACAATTTTATAGTAGTAAAATTTAATATTAATTCGCAAAATTGTTATTATCCCCTTTTTGTCAATTTTTTTTTTTTTTTTTATCAAATATTTGAGGTTATGTTATCTTTTGAATAAGATTTTTTTTATGTTAAATTGAATAAAATTTACCTTTTGGAAATTTTAGTTCTGCTGCATCATCATCTGCCATATCAACAAAATTTGGATTTGCCATTTTTAATGGAAATTGTTTGTTTCTTTTTAAATAAAAAATACCATGCAACACCACAAAAACACAAAGTGACAGAAGCGACGCAATCAGGATTGCCAATCTTCTTTCTTCGGTCGGTAACATTATACCAACATTATAATTTTTTCCCACGCGGATAGTGGCGGCATTTTATGAATATGTGAGAACTTGGTAATACAAAATGCATCTGTCGGTAAAGTATTTATATTTTTCCCCTAAATTCAAAATATAAAATAAATAATTCCTTTTTTATTATCATAAATTGAAAAAAATTTATTGAAATATTGCAATTTAAATTTCATATTATCTAAAATTAATGTAATTGAGTTTCTTTATTAGACTAAATTTCCATCTATTGTTTCAAAATATTGTTTTTATTTTGAAAATGAAAACAATAATCACAAAATTTTATAGTCCTCCAGTAAATATTTATATATTAGTTACGATTTTAGTGTTTGAAAAGTTTTCCATCTAGTTGTTTCAGTTACAAAATTATATTTAAATTTTTCAAAAAAATTTAATTTTTAAATAATGAGTTTTATTTTACGTTTTAAAAATGGACAATCAAGTGAGTTATTTAAAAAAAAAAAAAAAAAACAAATGAAATTTAACAATTGACGACTAAAAAATACATTCACGTATAGTAAACAATTTCTGTCATTTATGGTTTAAAAACGAAAGATTATGAATTAAAAATTATTATTATTATTATTATCTATTAAAAATTTGGTAATTTTTTTTTAGGAGATTCAAAAGTTTCATACCATTCTTCAAGTGAAATGTTGGAAATTCATGATCCTGCAAATGATCGTATTTACAATTCCGTTTATCAAAATACAACAGAAGAAAAAATGTAAGTTTTCTTTTTTTTTTATTTTGTACATTTTCAGGAGTTAAAAAAAAATTGATCATTTTTAGAAAAATATTTTAGAAAATATTAGAGAATTAAAATGAATGCAATTTAAAAAAAAAAAAAAAAAAAAAAAAGGATCACGCAAATATACGTAGAGAGAGATATATATATATATATATATATATATATATATACATATATATATATATATATATATATATATATATATATATATATGTATAAATTCCTTTTTGGATCCCGTTAGCATTCTTTTACCGTTTTTTTTAATTAAAAAGAAAAAAAGGAGATGATATTAGGAATTCTTTTTTTTATTTTTTAAAAAGAGAAAACTTTGAATATTTAAAAAAAATATTTTTTTTTTTTAGTAAATATTTTTTGTGATTAGACAAGGAAAATTCATTATTTGTAGGGTCGGGTAAAAGGACAATGATACAAAATTCTTTGAAATAAAGTTGAACCTTATAAGGAAGATAAAAAAAATAATTTATCTTCTTATCAATTTCTTTTATCGACAAAATATTTTATCTCATTATACAATTTTTACTGTACAAAAAGTTAATTTTTGGAAAAATTGAACATTTTTTTTTTTTTTTTTTTGAAAAATAGTCAATTTTTAATATAATTTCTGTATTTAATTTTTTTTTAAATTTTTATTTTATAACTTTTTTTAAAAAAATTTTATTCATATTAGATTTTTTTTTTTGAATTTTATTCATATTAGATTTTTTTTTTAAATTTTATTCATATTAGATTTTTTTTTAAATTTTATTCATATTAGATAATAAAATAAGAAATATAATTGATTCTACGGGAAAAAAAAGAATTTAACTAAAACTGCGCAATAGATTAATTTTTTTCAAACAAATGCATCATTCTTTTATGTTCAATATACGATAAGGGAAAATAAGATAAGAATATGAATTTTCTACCTTTAAGTATAATTGATATAATACTCTTTATATAAGGAAGCATGTATAATAGATACATAATATATAATATAATATAATCTAATAATATTAACAAAAGTAATAATAATATTCCAAGTATTTTAATTTAATCAATAATAAAGATGAAAAGTTTTTTTTTTACATAAAAGAAGGACGTAATTAAATATGAATAAATTAATTGCATCCATTAATGACTATTTATGGAAACTGTAAATCTATCCGTTTTGAAGTGAAGAGTACTGCATCAAATATAATAATAAGAAAAATCAATATAGGCACTTTATTTTTAAAATTAGCTTTTTCTAAATCACTGAACTATTTTTAATAATATGAATCATATTGCTCTATTAGTTTTTCATAAAAATCATAATTGAAACAAATTTTATTCTCGAATATTAGAAATTGCTTTCATTTTTTTTTTTTTAAAGTTAAAGAAAATTTTTTTATTAAATAATTAATTAGTAAAAATTTTAATTAATTTGAATTAGTGATTCAATTTTTGCTTTTGAATTAGTTAAATTAAGTATTAGTAATACCAAATTATTATTCTATATTATTTTTTTTATTTGTATTATTAATTAGCAAAAAAAAATTTTAGTATAAAATTAGTAAAATTTATATTATTATTATATATTATTTATTTTACTATTTCGTATTATTTAGTACAAAAAATTTTTTCACTATCAAATTAGTAAAATTTAACTAATTCAAAAGCAAAAATTTAGTTATTTATACAAATTAGTTAAAATTTTTACTAATTTGAATTAGTGATTCAATTTTTGCTTTTGAATTAGTAAAATTTAGTATATTAGTAATACCAAAATTATTATTATATATTATTTTTTTTTATTTGTATTATTAATTAGCAAAAAAAAAATTTAGTATAAAATTAGTAAAATTTATATTATTATTAATAAATTATTATTATATTATTTATTTTACTATTTAGTATTATTTAGTGCAAAAAATTTTTTCACTATCAAATTAGTAAAATTTAATTAATTCAAAAGCAAAAATTTAATCATTTATATACAAATAAAAAGTTAAAATTAGTTAAATTTATAGTTAAAATTTTTATTAATTTAAATTTTTAGAGAGTGTACAATGTAAAATTGTAAAATATAATTTTACTTGAAAATTGAATAATAAAATATCGACACAAGTGTAATATTATAGCTTATCATTGATGTATTATTTATTAGCTTGAGTGATCTACAATCAAGCCAATCAATCGAAATAAAAGTATATATATATATATTTATATCAACCATTGATATTCTATTGCTATGATAAACATATGTAAAAAGAAAATCTTATTTTTAACGGAAGAAAAGAATCTTAATTCAATAAAAAAATTAATATAATTTCTTCCCTTAAAATATAAAATTAAAATCTTTCATTTTAATTTTTTTGGAACCATTTTTTTTTCAATTGCGAAATTAAGACTAGTTTTTAAAAATAATTTACATTATAAATTATTTTTTAAATTATTATAAAAGTAATTTTTATTATTCCATGAAAATATAGAACAATAACAAATATGGGTTGGTTCTATCATACAATCCATCATGTAACAATCCTTTTTTTTTTTTTTTTTGCTTTGTAGACAAAAGGTGGAAAAATTTGTAGATACTTTCAATTGTCGTAATTGAAAATTACCACACCAAGGATGTTTTTGTTTCTTTAGTGAAATTTAATTTGTAAGCATATGAAAATATTTTTATTTAGCTATAAAAACATTTTTATGTTTTAGTCGCACGTTTTTACTTGTTCGCGCGTGAAAATTTGTACATTGTAAACGTGTGAAATTAAATAAAAGAAAATTGTTCTTAAAAAAAAAAAATTAAATATAACAATAATTATTCCAAAAAATTATAATTTCACGTGTACTTTTACGTGAATCTACATGTATGATAAATTGATAAGAGAGATTAATCAAAATAAATTCTCGTGCTTTTGTTTACTCATTTGAAAAAGGCCGGAGTTTAATCGCGCGCGTTTCTTTTATTCAATTTGCATTGAACAATTTATAACATTCAGAATTGTTTTTTCTTTCATAAAATTACTTTTTTTAATTATTTATGGTAACAATTTTTTTAAATTTATTTAATTTCAAATACGTGATGATTATAACATTCTTTTTTTTTCTACATGACTAATTTCACATTCCATCTAAACACGCAGAATGAAATGATTTAAATAAATGAAATATATAGACAAAATTTTTTGATTAGTGATTTCTTGGAAAATGAAATGAAAAAGACGAAAATTGATAGCTATAGGAAGCAGGAATAAGTGAGAGAATGAGATTGGGTGGGAGAGGTGGTTTAAATACGAGGAGAAGAACGCGCACTTGTTCAGTCCGGTGGAAACACGTCTAGAAACTGATTCATCCGGACAAATAATAATTTAAATAAAAAATAAATAAATAGAAATCTATTTAGTGTAGTTTTTGTTGTATTTAACGATATGGAACATCCGTTTTAATAATTATTTATTAATTAACAATAATTTTTTTATTATTTAAAGTGAATGCTGTGACATGTGTCAGTGAAATAAAGTATAATAATATATTTTACGAAAAAAAAAAAATAAAAAGTAATTTCCTTGGGGGGAATTAATAAAATGACCAACAGTATGAAGCAAACAGTGATCAAGTAAGTTTCACTTACTTTTTTTTTTTTTTTTTACCTGAAACCTGAAATTGAATCTCTTTTTTTAATTGCGTTTTTTTTTTATTTTAAATACGTTGATATTTATGCAAAATTTTACGAAAACTTTCACTGATAACTTGTGTATATTGTTAATGAGGAAAATCACAATTTCTTAAAATAAATTTTAATTGAAGAGATAAATTCATTGAAGAAAATTGTTATTTACAAGTCACATTGATTATTTTATAAATTATACAAAAACAAGTGAATAATTAATTTCTTTTGTTTTAATTAATGTTAATAAATATTTAGATATTTTTGTAAAATATTTTACATTTATTTTTTTTTTTTTAATAAATCATCAATTTTTGTGATTTCAATGCACGAAACAAATCGTCGAAGACTCGGTATGGTTACAGTCTTTCCAAGCGTTGATGTTACAATATTCACAGTTGTGATCATTATAATGAATAATTTTATACTTATAGAAGAAATTTAAAATTTGCGTTTTTATTATAATTATATTTAAAATTTGCTTTATTACGTAATTTTAAAAATAAAAAAAAAATTTAACCGGAAGATATAAAAAAAAAGAAATCTCGAAACACGTGATAATAATTTTAGCCTCTATGTATTAAGTATAATTTCCCTTATTAGCGATATGTTTCTAAACATATTTAGATATTTGGTGACAATATGTATTTTAAAATTTTGCAGATAAGTATTTATTCCGGAAGTAATTTTTTTAATTTTATTAATGTCTGTTACGTGATAACAGGTTTAAAAATAATGTTCAATTATTTATCATCAGAATTTTCTATATCGAAAATAGAAAGTATATCGTTTTTTTCAAAATCAATATAACAATGATTGTGAAAGTTTCATTTAAACGTGTTACGTTTATGAATAGAAGGAAAAAAATTATATTTTTCGACAAATAAATAGTCATTTATTTAAATTATATTTTAATTAAAAGTAAGTAATTTTTTTTAAAAAAAAGTATGATTTTATTATTCAAAATTTGAAACCTATTTTTGATGAAAAAAAGCTAAAATTTTCAGGTGAAAAATTTAACCCATTGAAATTTACTGTTCAGCTTTGTTGTGTATCAAACATTCGATACCGCTACTTCAGAGACTTTATATTTACAAAAATAACGGTGTCTCATATAATAAATCCTGTCGAGATATACATATAGATTCTTGATTTTACCCTATTCAAAATAAAAGTTTTATATTTAAATAAAAATAATTTAATAAACAACAAATTTATAAAAACAATTTTTTTTTTAAAACAATTATTTTTTAAATAATATTAATAGTTAATGTAATTTTCGTAAATGAATCGTTTTTAAATAATGATTAGAAACATTTATTTTAGAAAATTGTTCTTGAAGTGAATAATTACTACTCAGATAAATTTTTGCACTCGTATATAATGATTTTATACATTCCTAGTTAGGTGATTAAACTTTACATGGTCATTGAGCACATTACACAATAAGTCGAGTAATGGATTACATAATTGAATATAAGCTAATTTTAGCTTTAATTGTTATAAAAATAAAAAAAATGGATCGCCAAAAATAAATTACGATTATTAAAGAATTTATTTTTTGCAATAAAAGTGAAATTTTTTTTTTTTTTAAATATTAATTCACCTATTTGAAAAATCACGCTGATAAATTAAGCATTAAAAAATTAATTATCAATTTTAACTTTCAAATGCGGGCCTCAGGCCTTGCAAAATCGAATTCTCGATTGCATCCAACATTAAAACAAAATTTGCCTTTTTTTAATCTACTTTATTTATTTTATATTGTTTTTAATATTGTTATTTTTTAATTGGAATTTTTTTATTTTTATTTTTGAATTTGAATTTTTTTAATAATTTTTATTTTTTAATTATGAAATTTTTACAATTACAAACATGAATTTGCTTGACCTATTAAAATCAAATAATATTTCTGACATGTCTTGAAAAGAATATGCGTATTGTTATTTTACGCGATAAAAATGATAATGACATTCGAATCAAACTTGTAAACTGATTTTGATCGAGGTAATTTCCCGAATCCTTGACCGACGAAAACCATATGTATTTATATGAGGTCGACGGAATCAGAAATTCTAAACATGAAATTGCAATTACCTTTCGCTTATCTGAAAATTCAAATACAAATTTTATTTTCATACTCGCGAGATTATATGTAAAACAATTGAAAGGAGGTCAAAGTTTCTTCTTTTGTTTTTTTTTTTTTTGTCTATAACAAAACAAAAAACGCTTTTTATCTTAATCTCTCTACAATTTAAGAATATCAATTTTTTTTTTTTAATTTATACGAAATTAACGTATTTTGAAGGTCTTTGATTACGCGTTTATTTGAATAAATTATCATTATAAATGAAAAATTTTGTAAAAGAGACAAATTGAAAAATTAGAAATAATTTTAGAATTCTCGTAGTTTTCAAACTAAGGAAAATTAAGACAATAATGCTATCCGCAAATTTTGTAATTTAAAGTTCGCGACAAATTTCTGTTGAATTATATATATATATATATATATATATATATATATATATATATTTGACGTTCGTGACCTCTATTTCAAAAATTATTCACTTTGAAGTAAAATCATTTTTTTTCCCCCAAAGACGAGAAATTATTGTCAAATCAACACTATAGGAAAAATAACGCTTTGAGGATCAAAAAAAAAAAAAAAAATTCGAGAGAATAAGAAATTTCTTTTTAAATGAATTATATATATTTTTTTACTTTTTTTTTTTTAACCGACAATTTTTTTGAGAAATAAGAAATAATTGACTCGGTAACAAAATATTGACCTGAAAAGTTAATCTTGAAAATAGGTTTACTATGAGGTTTGTGAAAATTGTCCAATCAACTTGACATGATTACTGAATCACTGGAGTGACAAATTTGGGGTTCCCCGGGTGTGGCGCTTAATTCTATGTAGTATCAAGGGCGAACGATCATTAAATTTTCGCATATAACTTTCTAACCAGAAGAAGTAAACATCATTTTTTTTTTTTTAGAAATCAATAAACATTTTTTAATTTATTTCAAAAATGATTTTAAAATTATAGTTTTTTTTTTTTTTTTTAATATTTTTAATTTTCGATAAAAACCAATAATTAATATGCAAATTTATTAGATAACTTATGACGTAATTTCACGTAAAAGATACTAGTATTTTTTTTTCAAATAATAATTTTTAAAAAATTATAAAAGTTTCGTATGATATTTTTTTTTTTTATAATTCTCTGAAAAATAATTTTAAGAAAATTATATAGGGCTTTGATATAAAAATACATGTTTTCAACTCTTTTTATAATTTTAAATTTGTTTTCTCATGCATTCCTTCACGACTTTCAGAAACAAATTGAGTGGTATGAATATGTCTAACAACAATGCATATATCGCAGACGTTGACTTTCTAATGAAATATAGGTGTGCATATAAGAAAATGTCCAATATCTCGTTTTTTTTTTTTTTTTTAATGCACTTCGAGGTCAATACACTCGTTATAATTGGATGATCGATTTTATAAAACAATTCAAATCCAAATTCTAGTGATTCAAATTATTGAGAATTCCAGTAAATTCCATATATATGTAAAATCAAATATTTGAATAATTTTAATTGAATTTTTTTTTTCTGAACGAAAATCATTTCTCGTGGTTCTTTTTTTTTTATTATCAGCACACCAGAAAAAAAAGTATAATTATAAAGAATAAATTGTAATAATTTTTATGTTCTATAATTAAATGATTCGCAGAAAACAATTACTCGTTTACTTGACCGATTTTCACAAAAGTTCAAGGAAGGACATTTTTTTATAATAAAACAAATATTTATGTTTTTTAAATATGTCACAGATTTTATCTTGAAAGTAAAAAAAATAATGAAGAAAGTTAGAAATATTTCGATAAAATAATTACAATTTATAATGAAAATGAAGAACAATTAAGATAATCGTCTTTAATCAGTACATATTTAGTATAAATGAATAATAACAGTTTTATTATTATTAAGGTCACGATTTACATATTTTACCTTAAAAGGTGCTCTAAATAAATTATTGCTTTATTTTCTACAAATTAATTTCGTTAAAATCTCAGTAATTCGAATATAGATGAGAAAATATTTATATAAAAAAAAAAAAAAAAAAAAAAAAATTCCCCAAGAAAGTTATTTTTTTAATTAGCAAATTTTTAATTTCGATTTTATTTCAATTAAAACATAATTTTCGCGAGAATATTTATGAATACCACAAGAGGAAATGACATGTGCTCTTCAAATATAATTACGATTACGGTGAACCCACTATTTCCTCTAAATCTCAATTAACTCGTTACCGCAACATATATACATATATACAAACACACAAGAATTAATCATCTTCTAACATGTTGTCACGAATCATGTACTTATATAATACAAATCCAGCCAAATATTGTGTATAGATTTATATATTAATTTTGTCCATTCTATTTCACGAAAAAAAAAATTTATTCTATTTTTTAGAAAATTAATTTTAAAAAAATATTTTTAAACGAAAATTTAAAAAAAAAAAATTTATTTTTAATTCTTAATTAACAATAATTCCATATAATTATATTATTAAATTTAAATTATTAAATAAAAATACATAAATTATAAATATAAAAAGTGTAAAAAGACGGAAAATTCCAAGGTTATAATTTATTTTCAACAAAATGTGATTACTGTCATAAACTCGACAAACATTAATATATAATATAATAGCGTTAGATCTTGTGCACTTTCGTCTCTAAAGTAGACTTTTACTACCGTAACGATAACTCACACCCGGTGCAATATATATATATACTGATGATGATGATATACATTTCATCCTGATGTGTACCAGTTTAATATAATATCAGAAATCGATTTCTCTTTAAATTTTTTTTTTTACGATTCTCTTTTTCGCAATTTCAAATAGATTAGTCTTGCTTTGAAAATAAAATGCGAAATCGTCAAATAAAATAAATATTTAATATTAAAATTTTTATTGAACAAAAAAATATTTACATTCACAAGAGTTGGATAATAATAAAAAAATTTCAATCCAGTAGGAAATTATTTTAAAAAAAAAATCTTATTTTTCGTTTTTTTTTTTTTAATTACAGAAATCCCACCTGGTGGAGGAGACGATCAGCTTTGGAACGAGGTTTAACGATAATAGCAATATGTGGAGTACTTATAGTAATTGCATTAGCAATAGCTGTCGGTGTAATGTCATCAAAAGCCCAAAATTGTGGTATGATTTTTTGAAATGCCAATATTTTTATTTTGATAATTTATTAAGCTAAATAGATATTTTTATTTAAATATCATTTACAATTATAAAATATTTTTATGTTATTTATTTTTATATTATTTAAGATATTATTTATCAAATATGGGTTCAACTAATATAAATAAGTGGTATCATATTCATATATAATTAATATTATTTATTATTTTACCTAAAAATATTTGCTATCAAAATTTTAAAAATAAATTAAAAATTTTTTCTTTTTTTTTTTTTGCTCAGTAGTTGCTGATTATAATTTAGCTAATAGACATAAATTAAATGTATGCAAATAGCATGCAATTTTAAAATAATATAAAAATTAACAAATAATTTAAAAAAATTATTATTATTTAATTATAATTTTATTATTATTATTATTTTATTATTTAATTATCAAATTATAGAAAAAAAGAATTATTCGTTAACTGTATTAAAATTTAATAAAATTGCAATAGTATTTTTATAGAGTATGTAATCAAAATGATATAAGACGTTAAATCATTTAAAAAAAATGCCTTTTGTGTTGTAATGTCTCAAGAGTCAACTGTACAACATAAACATGCTTGATTCAATGTCAGTGTCAAATCTTTTTTGCTTTTTCATTTCTTAAATTGACAATTTGCCTGAAATTAATAACATATCATATTCGAAATGTCATTTAATTTAATCAATTAAAAAAAAAAACAGGCGCTATATTAATTAATTAGAATTTTTTCATTATAAGCAATATAATGTAAAAAAAAATAATTATTTTTTACTTTTTTTAAAATAAATTTTTTTTTTTTTTAATTTATCAACCACATCATTTTTATTGTTGCAAAACATGTCAGGTAGTTATAAACGTCAAATATATTCACCGCAAAGAATAATAAATGTTCACTTCATTTGTATAAAACAAAAGAATTCACTGCGAGAGAAAAATTACATTATTTTTGTTCTATTGAAGTTTCGTATGTTAATTCCTTATTTGAATAAAAAGAAATTAATATAAAAAAAATCATAAAAAATATTTTTATTTTTTTAAACATATTTTTGAAAACGCTTTTGCATTTATTTTGTCAAATATTTGTAATTTTTTTATTAATTTTATATTGCTTGAAAAAAAAAAAAAAAAATTGACAATGGTTTAAAAATATTAATGCATTCATATTATAACACTGTGTGCAATCATGCTTTTTTTACACCTTGCATCTGTGTCTGTATCTGCGAGTAGTTGCGACTAATACGGAGATGCTACCATCATCTGCTGATGCTTTAAGAAGTAAAAAACCATCTACATCAGGAAACAAAATTATAGATTCAACGTCCTCAAATCTCAAGGATATTTGTCTCACACCTGGATGTGTTAAAACTGGTTCGTAAAATTATTTATTTTTCTTTTTTTCACCGTTAAATAACAATAATTTATTTATTATTTTAATTTAATTACAGCATCAAGAGTATTGGAGTATATGGATACAAATGTAGAACCGTGTGATGATTTCTATAGATTTTCATGTGGCAATTTTCTTGAGAATACAATAATTGCTGATGATAAAACCGCTGTTAGTGCATTTAGCATTCTCAGTGAAAAACTTCAAGAGCAATTAAGAATTAATATTGAGGAAAATGTTAAATCAAATGAAAAAAAACATTTCAAATTGGTAAAACATTTATACAAAAATTGCATGAACCAAAGTAAGTTGAAAAAAAAAATAACTTTTAATTTTCAAAAAATTAACAAATAGTAATTATTAATTTTTCCCCACAGCTGAAATTAATAAAAAAGGTTTACAACCAGTTAAGGATATTGTTAAGAGACTGGGTGGTTGGCCAGTTTTAGAAGGCGCAGCATGGCAAGAAAATGATTTTGAATGGAAACAATCAGTAAAGAAATTTAGACATCAAGGATTTTCAGTGGATTATTTCTTTGATTTCAGTATTAATATTGATTTCAAAAATAGTACAAAACGAGTATTAGATGTAAGTATAGAGAAATTATCGGCGAAGTAAAAAAAAAAAAAACTAAGTATTTTGTAAATTTTTCAGATTGATCAAACGTCTCTAAGCGTTTCTCGTGAATATTTAACGAAAGGTCTTGATAATGATATAGTGAAAGCCTATTATAGCTATATGGTTGATATTGCCGTTCTTTTTGGAGCAAATAGAATTACAGCTGAAGAAGATTTGAAAAAATCACTTGAATTTGAAATAAAACTCGCAAATGTAAGTATTAAAAATTCTAATAGAAAATTGGCTTTGAGAAAATATTTCACTTATGAAAAAAAAACCGATTTTTTATTAGAATTTGAATAAAAAAAAAAAAAGTGTAAAAATATTTTTTTTCCTTTTTGATGAAATGGTAATTTTTATTAAAATATTTAATATCATTAGATTTCATTGCCGACTGAAAAAAGACGTAATATCACAGCTCTCTATAATCCAATGACAATAAGAGAACTTCAGGGAAATTATTCCAGTATACCGTGGAAGGATTATTTTAATGCAATTTTAGAGCCAATTATTTCAATAGAAGAAGATGAAGTTGTAATAGTTAATGTTCCAAGTTTTTTTAAAGATTTTGAAAAATTAATGGAAGAAACGCCAAAAAAAGTTCAAGCAAATTATGTAATGTGGCGAGCAGTTGCTGTGACAATTGGTTATTTGAGTGATGATGTACGTAGAAGACAATTGCAATATTCAACTGCTGTTAGTGGTAAAACAGAAAGAGAAGCAAGATGGAAGGAGTGTATTGATCTTACAAGTGGAAATCTTGGATTGAGCGTTGGTGCTCTTTATGTTCGAAAATATTTTAATGAGGACGCTAAAAAAAGTGCCGTTGAAATGGTTACTGATATTCGTAAAGAATTTAGAAAAATTCTACAAACTGTAAGTTAAATGTATTTTGAAATTATTTTCTCGAGATTTTAATTTTTTTTTTTTTTTTTTATTTATTAGGTGGATTGGATGGATGAAAAAACGAGAAAAAGTGCTTTAGAAAAAGCAATGTCAATGAGTACTCATATTGCTTATCCTGATGAGCTTCTCGATGATAAAAAACTTGAGGAATTTTACGAAAATCTTGACATAAATCCGGGAGATTATCTTCAATCAATTTTAAATCTTACGCAATTTGCGACAAATTATTCGTTTAGTAAATTGAGAAAACCATTTAATAAAACTGATTGGCTTTCTCATGGTAGATCAGCTGTTATTAATGCTTTCTATTCATCAATTGAGAACAGTATTCGTAAGTTGATTTAAATTTAATTCTGATGAGAAAATTTATTTTTGTTTCATATACATATTAAATATTCAAATTTTTTTTTTAGAATTCCCAGCTGGTATTCTTCAAGGAATATTTTTCAGTAAAGACAGACCACGATATATGAATTACGGTGCAATTGGTTTTGTCATTGGACATGAGATAACTCATGGTTTTGATGATCAAGGTCGTCAATTTGATAAGGAAGGTAATCTCATTGATTGGTGGGAACCAGAGACGAAAGAAAAATATCTTTCAAAAGCTGAGTGTATTATTCATCAATATGGAAATTATACAGCTAAGGAAGTTAATATGAATGTAAGTTATAATTATAAATATAAATAAAATACAAAAATTGAAAAAAAAAAATTTATTTATTTTTAGTTGAATGGTATTAATACTCAAGGAGAAAATATTGCCGATAATGGAGGAATAAAAGAATCATATTTAGCCTATCAAGAATGGGTTGAACGAAATGGACCCGAACAAAAATTACCCGGTTTAAAATATACACCATCACAACTTTTCTGGATTAGTGCAGCACAAACATGGTGCAGTAAATATAGACCAGAAACATTGAAACTTCGCATCACTACTGGAGTTCATAGTCCTGGAGAATTTAGAGTTTTAGGTCCACTTTCAAACAGGCCAGAATTTGCAAAGGACTTTAATTGTCCAATTGGCTCAACAATGAATCCTAAGAAAAAATGTTTCGTTTGGTAAAATAGTGATATTTTTAAAAAAAAATTTCATCCAATAAAAATTTTTTTCAATGCGTCTAATAACTTTAAACACGATAAACTTGGTAAAATTAAGTATATTTTAAATCATATATATATATATATATGAAGTAGGCTCATTTTTTGATTTCAAAAAATTATTTTCTTATAGATAAAATAGTCTTTGATTGATGTTGTGTAAATCTTTTCAAAGAGCAAACGTGAATGAAAGTTGTAAATACATTGAACGCAAAAGTAATGTGTTGATCAGGTGAAAAAGTTTAATGTTTAGAACATTAAAAAGTTGTTGTCCACAGTTAAAGATATTATATTTAATAATTATTTAATTTTAGACTGTGCGTTTATTGTCTATATCATGTCGAGATTAATCTTTTCTAATATTGACAAAAGTTCGTTTTTTTTTTTTGTTTTTTATGAAAAACTTTTTAAAGTAGCCATGAATATAGAAGTGTGAGAAACATTTTAAATTATCATTTTTAAGTACTTAGTCAATGTAGTATTATTATTCGTTATGTGTTTATTGAAAAAAAAAGATAATATGCGATATACTAAAAGTATATTCTACTAAAATAGATCATACGAAAATCATTTTTATGAAAAAAAAAAAATTGTCAACTTTGAAAATTTTATCTTAGGAAATTAGTTTCTTTTTTAATGAAAAAAAAGAGAGTAAGGATACAAAAATTCCTATAATGCGGTACTTCTGTACAGTTGCTGTATTTAATAATTTTTATTGTAATAAATTTTTTCTAAAATATTGATTTGAAAAATATTTTAATCAAAATGTTTTTTTAAGGATTATATTTAAGTAAAATTATTTCAGATTTTGTTATATTTCCAATTAATCTCTCCGATATATATAAATCAGTTTAATACAATAATATGAAAAATATAAGTTTCATAAGAAAACTTATATTACAAAACAATGAAATGATTTAATGATAAATGATTCAAGAAATTTTAATTATTCAGTTTAAAAAATGTTTTTTTTCGTCAAAATATTGATTTTTTTTTGTTGATTTTACTCAACTTGGAATTTAATTATTTTGAGCTGGTGGCTTAGACCAATCTACATTCAATATAAGATGATCATATCCATAACCGTTTAACAGAGAAATTGCTTTAGCTGCCTCGGCTCTATATTTAAAGTGAACATAAGCGAATCCTTTGCAGACATTACTTGGTTTTTCCTTAGCGAGATAAAGTTTTTGAATAGCTCCAAATGGTTTGACAAGGTCCTCTAAATCGACATCAGTTGTGCTTTCAGACAAATTTGAAATTCGAATTGCAGTCGTGTCATCTCGACGTTGCATTTGCATTGAATCACCGCGTTTATTACCTCCATCACGCATGCTTGGAGGAACGTATTTACTACCTTGTGGCTTGCCAATATCTGCCATTGCCGCTGCAGCATTTGCAGCAGTAGTCGCGGGATTCATTAAAGGCTTTTTATCATCTGGTATTTTACCTTAAGATTAAAAAAAAAAAAATACAAAATATATCTCTCGCTATAGACAAATAATATAAAATTTATATAGAAAAATAACTTACCACTGCCAAGAACAGTGTCCTTGTAGGGACATTTTGATGTCCAATGATCACCATTACAATTACGACATTTCACCACTCCTTTATCACCCATATTCTTTAATTTATCAAGTGAATCTTCTTCAACTTTATTATCTTCTTCTTTGCTCGAAATAAATTGAATAAATACATCTTCAGCAATAACAGTTGTCGCTGGATTTGGTCCTGGCCTATCGTCAGTTGAATCACCAAATTTATCCCAATTTTTACGAACGGCTATGGTTTTTGAAACAATACGTTTCTCTATTTTATAAGTTCTTACAACTTTAACTTTTTTATTATCATCATTAAATTTGTATTCAGTGAGAATTTTAAATCCATTTTCATGAACTTCAGTTGGAGGAGGTAAACTTCCACCTTCTTCTTCAACCTCATCAGCCCAACTTGATTTTACCTCAAACGCTGCTGGCATTTCTAAAAACATAAATTATAAATCGATATTTTATTATTATACTCTTATTTTTACAGAATTTTATCAAATTATAACATAATAACACAAATTTACTAGTCAAGTGAAAATAAACTTTATAAAATACCGTTCCTGGTAATTTCATATAATAGAAATACTGACAAACACTATGTAGAGAAAGTGAGGTTAGACAGCTGCACGTGCCAACCATTTAACAGATATTTAAAAGTAAAAACTTATTTGGTATAATAAAAATAAAGCTGATTTACTCTTTTTTGACTTAAATCTTCTTTCTTCTAGATTATTACAAATATATCAATGAAAAGAAAGATAAAATCAACGCATATGCAAGCAAATAGATACGTCAAAATGATACTCACCGATTTCTGTTTTTTAATCTTTTACTTGGATATTAAATACACTTCAATATAAATTGTTGTATGAGAAATTATATTTAACATATATGTGCGTTAAAAACAAGTTAAACATGAAAAAAATCACCAAATTTGTTAATTATAATTACACTAACGGCGTGGCCTTAGCAATAGAACTTCAACCCACTTTGACGGGAAGGAATAGTGAAACATGGAACAGTGGACTGAACCAATGGACACTGAACCAGTTTGAATTGAAAAACGGAACAATTATTTTAAAAATTAAATATTGTTAGTATAACATTTATAATAATTAAATTTTAATTAACTAACAGAATTTAAATACAGTTTTTCTTATTTTAAATTTTTTAATCGAGTCCTTTATAATTATAATTTTTAGCGCTCAAAAATAGTGCCCTCTATAATTGATTTCATTTTCGTTTTCCTCTAGCGGCAACATCGCGCAATTATTGTTCCGCAAAAAATGGCGGATCATTAGCGTTGTAGAAGTGCGTGGAAAAGTATAATGTTTTTTAAAAGTGAAATAATAGAGCGATTAAATCAGCCTGAGGATAATTAAATTTGTCAATTGTTTGTGATTGTGAAGTGGTGAAATTATACATGAAAAAATGGATCAAGCTCCGACAGGTAAACATCCTAAATGCGTATGCCGGGCTTCTACGTGATTACACCCTTTTTATTAATTAAATAAATTTTCCTTAGGGCTAATTATCATTCTAATGAAATTTTCACTTATTTTAATTTATCTATAATCAATTTACAACTTATTAATTGTTCCTAAAATTTTAATTTCAAATCTATTATTTCAAAAGTGTAAGGTTATGTCAAACCGTTGATTAGAATATTGAACTGATAATATTCAATTTTATATATATATATATATATATATATATATATATATATATATATAAAAATGAATAATTAACAGTCTTTTTTGCATATTATATAAAAATTATACATTATTTATTAAATTTACAATCATTTTTCATTAAAATTAAGAATTTTAATACGTTTCAAAATGTCAAATTAAACTATAAATATTTATTTTGTTTCATTTTTTATCACTTTTAGATATTAATTAAATTTTGATTAAAAATTTTTGAAAATAGAAATCTAAATTGATTTTAGTTTTATTTAAAAAATTGAGTTTATTTTTACAACAGGTTTCAGAACAAAAATCGAAGTTATTAAATTTAGGTAATTAGGTTTTTAGGTAATGAATTCTTCTTCTGCGTTTGAGGTATTTCTGCGTTTGTAATAATAATAATAATAATAATAACAATATAATATATCTATTATTTAGTCAAAATATATAGAAAAACAAATTTCCTAACTAAAATTATTTTTGATGAAATACAGATACGGATCTCCGCAACATTATTGACAAATTGGCCCAGTTCGTTGCTCGTAATGGACCGGAATTTGAGCAGATGACAAAGAATAAGCAGAAGGACAACCCCAAATTTAGTTTCCTGTTCGGTGGAGAGTACTTCAACTACTATCAGTACAAAGTGACGACGGAGCAAGCCAGTAAGTGGGAAAAACCCCTTAACAGCTACAACAATTGAAATTCATAAAATGGACATTATTCACGCTAGGAATGAGGAGAGTGCGTTTGAAATGGAAAAAGACAACGCGCACGTAAAATATACATTCGTAATGAATGTACAACGCAATCTTTCCATGATTTTGAACTTACGTTTTCTTATCAAGACGGATAGATGTAAATCGCAATTTTCTTTAAAATTGCCAGATTTCAACGACATAGTCGAAAAAAACATATCTCTATTTTATCCAATGTTAGCTATCAAAAATAATCTAATTAATTTGTACTTCAATCCATCGGGCTCATTAACTTAAATTGCCAAGATTCTTATCGGTACAAGAATTTAAAAAAAAAAATATATATTCAACGTTTTTATTTTCAATATCGCATGACATCATTAAGCATCATTCAATAATCCACCGTCATTCGTTTACAGTTTTAAAGCAAAAAGGAATAAATCCAATGCAAAATGCAGATCCACGTTTAAACGTTTCGCAGCAGCAGCAGCAGCAACATCAATCTGCAACATCGGGCCCACAGGGGATGAATAATGTCAGTCTTATGTCAAATTTAAATACTCAAAACAATGGCCTCAATTCAGTTGGGACACCAGGTTCATTAATGACTGGGACAATTGGCGGAGGGACAAATACAGTACCATCGATGGGTGTCGCAGCCGTTGAAAATTCATCAGCTGGTAATTTAAATGGACCACCAGCTTGGCTTCAAAATGAATTGGCAAATCTTCAATCACAACAGGCTACTCTTCAGGAACAAGTCCATCAATCCGAACAAAATTTAGCTGCACAGCATGCTTCACTTATGGCGCAGCAGCAAGGAAGAGTGGAAGATGCTGTTAGACAGGCGCAAGAAACAACATTGCAAAATAGTGCCGAGAGTACAAATACTGATCTTGTTGCTTTTGATGCTGTTTTACAACCAATAATTGACAGTTGTACAAAGGACAGTATAAGCGCTGGAAAGGCATGGATTCTTCAGCATTCACTTACTTCAGAAAGTAATCAAGTTGTTGCCGATCATTTATTAAAAAAGTAAGTTTTTTCTTTACATTCTCATTTTCTAAAAAGATTTAACTAATTGTATCATTATTTTTTTTTCAGAGTTATTCAGGGAACTTCATTTACCCAAAAATTACATATTGTTTATTTAGTAAACGATGTTCTTCATCATTGGTGAGTGATTAAAAAAAAGACACTATTTTTTATATTTACCATTTTTTTGTTTTCCAATTTTCAAAATAAATTTTAACGTATAGCGCTAGAAAAAAGTCAATGGATTTACGCAAAGCAATGGAAAGTGTGGTAGTTCCTATGTTTTGTAATTCATCATTAGCAGCATCAGAAGAACAAGTCACTAAATTAAATAAACTTCTAAGTCTATGGGAATCAAAAAATAATTATTTCGACGAGGGAATTGTAGATAAATTAAAACAACCAAGTACATCATGGTCAGAATATCAAGCTAGTCTTGTGGCGCTTCATGCATCGGCTATAACTCCAATTACAGCGACAACAAAACAAACATTCGATAATTATCAGGCACAGCATCAGGCATTTGTTAATCATGCCTTGAGACAAATACAAACTATTGAACAACAAAAGATTGCTATTGATCAACAACTTAAAAATCCACCACCAGTGATGGTAAATGTATTTATTTAAAAAAAAAAAAAAAAGTTTTAAGCCTTATTTACTAATTTTTTTTTTCTTTTGTCTTATAGAGTCAACCGCCTATTGGTGCGCCTAATATTCCTGGAAGTCAACCCGAAATCAATTTTACACAACCACCTCCAGGTTGGGGACCAAATGCAAATTCAGCTCCATTCTCTAATGTTCCATTGCCAGATTTTACAAAACCACCACCAGGATTTGGACCACAACCTCTTATTCATGAGCCTTCTGTGGAAGACTTATTGCCTAGTATGCCCTATTTTGAATTGCCTGCTGGTTTAATGGTTCCTTTGATTAAATTAGAGGATGGAGAGTATAGACCGCTCGATGCAGATGCAATTAGATTGCCACCTCCAGCTCCACCCAGCGATCGATTAGTTGCAGCAGTTGAAGCATTTTACGCACCACCTAATCATGATTCTCCAAGAGACAGGTGAAAATTAATTCCGTTTATGTCATCAGAAAATTTATTATTTACTTTCCTTCTTTGTTTTTTGTAGAAATATTTTCCTTTTATATTTATAGTTAATTTTGGAGCGCATGATTATCCCATAAAAATCATTAGTTAAAATTTTATTAGATATAATTATTTTTTAGACAAATTTTTATTTTTCCAATTAACATTTGACAGAATTACTTTTTAAATAAATTTTTACTTAACATAATTCTTATATTTTGAAATTTTATTTGGCAGAATTCTTAAAACGCCGAATTTTTATTTGTCCGAAATTCCAAATAGCCGAACAAACAATCGACAGAAAGATTTTGGCGCGATTTTTAAAATCAACTAATCACAATTTTATGGATAATTTTTGATTGGTTGATTTTAAAAAAAGCGCCAAAATCTTTCTGTCGATTGTTTGTTCGGCCATTTGCAATTTCGGACAAATGAAAATTCGGCGTTTTAAGAATTCTGCCAAATAAAATTTCGAAATATAAAAATTATGTTAAGTAAAAATTTGTTTAAAAAGTAATTCAGTCAAATGTTAATTGGAAAAATAAAAATTCGTCTAAAAAATAATTATATCTAATAAAATTCTTTAAAATGAAAATTCTCACTAATAATTTTTATGGGATAATCATGCATCCCGTTAATTTTGTCCCAAAAACGTTTGGAAACAATTTTTAATACATCGGAACATTTTTATTTTTATTTTTTTTTTTTAGTGATGGCTGGGAAAAATTAGGTTTATACGAGTATTATAAAGCGAAAAATGGAGCACGTAAACGAAAAGAGGAGGATATATCGGTTGGTATTAGAGAAAAAACAAAATCCCCTTCTCCGATTTTAAGGCCTAGATCGAAAAGTCCAAGTCCACCAAAGAAACGATACAGAAGTAAATCAAGAAGTAGATCGAGATCAAAATCACGTGGTAGAAGCAAATCTAGATCACCAACAGCGAATCACAGACGAAATAATCGTAATGTTAATCATAACAGTAGAAATCGAAGAAGGAGAAATAGTAATAAGGAAAGGAGTCCTGATAGAAGAATGGATAGACAAGATCGAAGTCCAACTCCGCCTAGTTTCTTGTTAGTATAAACTAATTTTTCTTATTATAAACTAATAACTCTTCTTTCATCAATTTTTATTTGTCTCTAATTTTTTTCGTTTTTTTTTCTTACTTTTCACAGAGGTTCCACTTACAGTAAAATACCAGAAGTCAGTATAGATGAAAGTAACAAGGGTCATCAATTGTTGAAAAAAATGGGATGGGGAGGTGCAGGATTGGGAGCTAATGAACAAGGTATTGAGGCACCAATTTCAGGAGGTGAAATAAGAGACAGAAACGATCAATATAAAGGTGTAGGTATTAATTTGAATGATCCATATGAGAATTTCCGAAAAAGTAAAGGTCAAGCATTTATCACAAGGATGAAAGCAAGAGCGGAAGAGCGTGCTGAGGAAAGAGGTGACTGAAATTAATTGTATAAAACTAGTTATTTGAACTTTTACAGTAATAATATAAGTTTTTTTGTGCATAGTTTTTGATCAAATCGTAACTAGATCAATTTTTATGTCTCTTGATAAAAATTTCTTTAAAAACAAAAAAAGAATGACAAGTGTCATATGGAAGATATTCCATTGTTCTTCCACTTTTAACAAAAAATAAAATAAAGTTGATAAGCACTATTTTATCACAATATACTCAAGGCAAAGAATTATAAGACGTTTGTTAACGTTTAAAAAAAAAATTACAAAATTTATAAATATTAGAAAAAAATTAAAATCTTCCAAAAAAAAAAAAATAACAGAAACACACACACATTTTTTCTATTGTACATGTTTACTACAATTGATAGTTTTTCTTTAATGAAAAAGAAAAACGAACACGATTTCCAACTTTTATCGTGTTGGCTTCGTAAATTAAAAAATACGTGTATTTATAGACGTATTAAATAATAATTACTATATTGGATACACAAATATAGCTCCGAAATAAAATCTGTAAATTTGATAAAAAAAAAAAAGATAGTAATTTTTTAACCATTTTCTAAAGAAAAATAGTTACCTAATTTTTTTTTTTTTTTATTCTCTAAAGTTTTAAAGTCCAAGTTTTATTAGTAGCAGACTTAATCAAAACTCGAAGAGAGCATAATAAATAAAAAAAAATTAAGTAAATGAGAGTAAATTGATTGCACGTCTGCAATAATTTTAATCAGTCTCCTTATGAACCCCCGAGTGAGAAATGATAATTAAACTGAATAAATCCACTTGCAAACCAGTTTAGCTAAGATAACTGGCAGCTTTCAAGTCGTAAACATAGTTTAAAAAAAAGTATAGATACAATTTCAACTTTTTGTTATTGTTATTATTAATATCAGTGTTATCATTTGTGGAAAAATGACAATCATAGGGGATGAGAATGATTTTTTATCACTAGTTTCATGAAAAAAAATATATAGAATATTATAAGAACTAAATGAATTTTAATAATTTTAATTTCACAAATTGAATGTATTTTGGAAATAATTTTAATTTAATTTTTTCTTTTTGAAAAACAAATCTTTAAAATGTCATTGTGCTTTTATAATCCAAGCAAAAGTACAGTGACCAGATTATCAACAATTCACGTTTTTGCATGACTATCTTTTTCTTATCGACTTTAATACAAATTATGTTAGGAGATAGAACACGTTAAATACAAACGTGACTTATGTCGTCAAAAGTAAAATAGGGGAAAAATTGAAAGAACAAAAATTGTAGATTAACATTTAAAAATGTTGAAATAGAAAATTATTTTAGTAATATAAAATTTCGAGGGAAATTGCTTGAAATTGATTTCAAGGCTTTGAATAAAAAAAAAATTGATTAGATTTATTTTTAGAAAATAGAAAAATTTTGATTGGAATTTTTGATACTTAATGAATATACATCCGCGAAAATTTGACGTAAGAAAAATATTGACGTTGATTTTTTTTTTCTTAAGAAACGTAACAGGAAATACTTTGAAATGTAAATATTTTTTTTTTTTTTTTTTTGTAAACTAAATATTTACAATTTCATGTTTTTTGATATGAATTGTTTTTTTCGATTTATTTTTATATTTTTTTTGCAATATATGAGGGAATGATGACTAATGTAAATTTTTTGATTATTACAGTTGAAGTGTAGGAATATTTTTACGTAATATTTTTCCTTGCTGTAGAAGTCATTACGAATCATTAAAGTCGAGATATATAAGTGCCCTTATAAAGTCATATATACGTGTGATTGTTTTATATGAATATTTCGCAATTTCCATGAAATTAAATTATACCTGACTTGTATGTAATCGCCTTACAAAAGTTGAGGCAAAAAATATTAATATTTAGAAATATTACCAAAATGAATTCTATAAAATTATAGGCTTAATTTCTTTTTATATTAGTTTGAGAATTAATTATTAATTGATAATTTTGAATGATTTTCAGTGAAAATTACTAATTATCCAATAAAAATACTAATTCTCAAATATTTGTTTAAAAAAATGATTTTTCATTTAATACAAAAATAAAGAAAGTATTTGTTGAGAATTATTTTTCAGTGCAGGAGAGTTAGATTTCTTAAAAGAGGAAAAAAAAAACTAAAGTCGCTGATGAGAAAAAAAGTGCATTCTAATAGTCAGAAGTGACTATAGGTTCACCGCATTGCATTCCACGTGATCTAGAGGGAAGGGCACACCTCGGTCGCCAAGTCACGCGCTCTACCACGCTTTACCCTTCTTAACACGTGCACGCAATTTGTTGCACACATACATTTTGCAGGAAAAAACAATTTATATATATATATTTACTTTTCTCAATGACTATGAGAGTAAAATCTCTAAATTTTTTGTGCATTGAAAAACAAAATTTTTCTGTCCCTATTAAATTAAATAATAAAAAAAAAAAAATTAAATTTAATTAAATAAATTTTACCAAAGGATTTTGGTGTGTTTATCTGGAAGATAAAAGTAAATGTTTTTTTATCGATTTTTTATAGGTAAAATCAAAAATGTATATAATTTTTTTTTATAGGTAGTGATTGTTTTTTTTAAAGATGTAGACGAAAAATTTGAAGTTTCTTAAAGTTAAAGGCAGACGAGTATTTTCTCTTTGGTGTCGATCGGTCAGAAAATAACAATCTATTTTTGGAATTCACGTCACACACTTGTATATACATATAGCTGGACATTATAAGGTGTGCCAATGGATTTTGTAAATTGTCTTCAAAAAATCATCTTTTGTTTAGAAAATCACTTTTTAAATTCTATAGAAAATTATAAATATTTTAAATATATTTAAAAATTTACGTTGAACACTGAAAAAATAAAAAAATTTATTTGATTCAAATTTATCGACTATTATCAAATAAAATATTTACTTGAATCAAATAATTTTTATTTAAATTGTAATTGAATCAATAATTTCAGATATCATCTCAAATAATAATTATTTGAAATAAATATTTATTTAATAATTAGTCAAATAATTGAGTATTTGAATTAAATAAATTTTTTTTTTTCAGTAAAGATCTTTGTTTTGAAAATGTAAATTTAAAAAAAAAATTTCCTTTTTGTTTTGATCATAATTCTATTTTCGCGCATGTGGAATTTCACTGATTTATATTTTGAGAGTAAACGTAACATATTGTTTACATTAATGAGATGATTTTTCAAACTGGATAAAACAAGTTTTACACGTGGAATATATAAATTTTTATTTCACAACTAGACTGTAAAAAAAAAAAAAGATTAACATTATGTAACTAGAAAATGATGTTACAATGTATTTAAAGTCTTGATATCCTTGATTCTCTATAAAAATATTTGATTTTTCTTGACTTTTTCGTCAAAATTAAAAAATGATGAAAATATTCGAAAAATTAAGAATGATTATTTTTTTGTCTATTTTATTTGATTTGGAAAAATAAAGAAAAGTTTTGCAAGAGAAGAAGCGAATGTAATTTTTAGTAGCACAGAGATGAAAAGGTATTGAGAGGTCGGTACGGGTGTGGTGTGCGGTTTTTGTCCCGAGGTAAAAGAGTGGGGCAAGAGGAAAAGGTTGAACGAGCGAGCGCGTGACGGTACACGTGACTGGGAGCACACAGTGCTCGCGTGACCGGTCCCATGACGTCATAAGCACGTGTCACATGGCATGGTACATACTGGCAAAGCATGGCCAATTCTTGTCTCACCAAACTCGGCTGATAGTCACTGAACTTAAACCGATCTCTCACTTATATCCTCTCATTGTCTCAATTTTTTTTTCCAACTTTTATTATTCTTCATTTTAATTATAAAAAACAAAATTAATTTTTCCCATTTTTCTTTTTTTAACGTTTACATTTTTTTAATGTATATTTTTTTTAAAAAAATATACTAATTATTTTTCAATAATAATTAAAAATATTTATTGAAAAAGTAGTTTTTTTTTTCAAAAATAATCAATGATTGAATCTAAAATATATTCACACACATTCTGCATCTCTTCTTGTTCCGTTCTTCTGGAATTTCGCGGACGCGAGTCAACGGCCTTATCTCTCTTTTCCCCTTCCAATTTCTCCTCCTTTTCTTGTCTCTTCTTCCCGCAAGCTATAACGACATATACACGACAATGCCTCAACTTATGATCAAAAAAAAAAAATAAATAAATAAATATCTGCGAAAATATTTTACCTTTTTTTTTTTGATGAAATAAAAGTTTATTATATTGATATGAAAAATACAAATTCTTTAATTCAAATAATCGATTACATTATTAATTAAATATTTACTTGAATTAAATATTTGTTTTCAATAGAGAAATTATTGGTTCAAATATAATTTATTTTAATTCAAATAAAAATTATTTGGTTCAAGTAAATATTTTTTTATTTGATAATATAGTCGATTATTTGAATCAAATACATTTTTTTTTCAGTTAAGATTAATTTTAATTAATTAATATTATTATTACACTGAAAAAAAAAAATTATTTAATTCAAATACTCGATTACTTGATTATTATCAAATAAATATTTATTTTTATCAAATAATTATTATTTGAGTCAATTAAATGGTATTTGTTTCAAATACAATTTATTTAATTCAAATAAAAATTATTTGTTTCAAATAAATATTTATTTAATTCAAATAAAAATTATTTGGTTAAAATAAATATTTATTTGATAATACACAAGTAATTGAGTATTTAAATCAAATAAATTTTTTTTTTCAGTGTATACATGGAAAAAAGGAAAATGTAATTTTTTACTATTTTCTGGAGTAAAACGAGAATTGTTCGTAGGTTTCTGCGCATCACTGTCAACTTTTACTCCAAAATGTAGTAAAATTTACTCTGGAAATAGTAAAAATTACTACGGTAATAGTAAAATTTTGCTATACAGAAATAGTTAATTTGAAATTAGTTAATTTGGGAGTAAAAATTGACAGAGATGGACAGAAACTTCGGAGATAGTTTCTATTTTACTCCGAAAGTAGTAAATATTACTTTTTCTTTTTTTCCGTGTATTATTATTAAAATTAATTTTTTTTTTTTAGTTAAGAAGATCAACTCTAAACATTGAGTGAATTTACGCAAATGATTTATTATTTTAAATTAATAAATATCTTCAAAAAAAAAAAAACTATTTTATAGTTTTTTCTTCAATTTTTTTTTTTTTTTTAAATTCTGAAGGTGAAATTCGTCTATACCGGGGAGTTTTTTTTTTTTTTTACATGTACAAGTGAACGCGTTGCGCGTTCAATATTATATACGAACGAGTGAAAAGTCGTGGGCGATTCCCGAGTGCCGGCCTTCCTTCCTCCTCGACCTCTCTTCGATGTGCCAGTGAGTTGGTGGCGGCGAACCTAACCTAAAGTATATTCAATCGAGCGAAGAAGCAGATTCAAACATTATTATTATAATCTGCGCGACGTTTTTTTTTTTTTTTTCCCCTCTACGTTATATACGCTTTTTTTCACAATACAGTGAATAATTTTAATTTTTTTGCAACTCTGTGATTATATTTGCAAAAAAAAAAAATTTCCCTACACGTGTATATCTTCACTGATCTTCATTTTCTTCAAGGAATTTTTAGTGATAGTTTTTATTTTAAATTCAAAGTGAAAAATTCAGTTGAGAGTGATTATTAACGAGTGTTGGAGATATTATTATTATTATTTTTTTTTTTAATTATTCTATGCGTCAAAATGATGGACACTCAGAACTATTGGGAGGATAATTCAGCTCATTCCATGCAAGTCAAGTATGAAAGGTAGGTAATTTTTTTTTCTAATTAAAAAATTTGCTTTTTCCATAAAAAAAAAAGTTAAATTTAAATGAAAAATGTTTTATTAAAAATATAAGACTATCTCTTCTAAAAAAAAACAATGAAGAAGAAAAATGAGGTATAACAATTAGAGTTGATTATGCAATCTAGCTTTCTAATTTTGGATGTTCTAGACTAGAAAATCTATATGAAAGTGTGGATAATTTTTTTAAAATTAAATTTTTTACACTGGAAAAAATAGTATTGAATCAAAAATAACGTATTGTACACGGAAAAAAAATATTTACCTAAATCAGCGAAAAGTTTCATTAGAATTACGAAATATTTAATTGAAACAAGTAAAATTTTTGCTACTGGTAGTGAAACGTTTCGCTGTTCCATTTAAATTTTTTTTTTTTCCATATTTACCGTACCTGTTTGTATTTGATTGAATATTTTTTTAATCCAAGAAAATTTTTGCTATTCGAATTAAAGTTTTTTTTTGAATTAAGAAAATTAGTGTATCAAATACGAACAAATAGTTTTCTATATATATATATTAGTTAAAATAGAAATATATGGAAATTTTCAATTCATTTCTAAAAACTTAAAACTTAAATTTAAATAAAAAGAAACTACAATGGAAAAACATACGTGTTACTTACGTATTTTTTTTCCCCCTTGTAGGGCAAGTATAGAAAATATAATAGTCTCACTAGTCACGCGAGAAAATACAAGTGAAATGCAAAATAAAATATAAACAGAAAGTTTTTTTTTTTTTTTTACGACACATATATCAAATTTTATATAACACAATAGAAAATTTTATATCTCTTGTCAAAAAAAAAAAAAAAAAAAAAATCTGCGATATGCATTTTTTTTTCGTATGAAAGAATATATATTATATATTGAATATATAAAAATTAATTGTAGTTATATCGGAAATTAATTTATATAATAAAATTTCTGTGAATATTTGATATAAAGGAAATAACGTACGATGGAAAATTACAATAATTCTTTCTCACATATGTTAGATGTTTTAATTTTATAAATTTTGCATAACCAAAAATTCGTATCATAAAATGATAAGATAGAATCTCGAGGTTAATTTAATTTTTCAGCAAAATATAATAATCTTTATAGAAAATTATATTAATATATATATATATATTATTTTATCATTTTAATAATCCACTAAACTAGAATTTAAAAGAAAATTTTGCTGTAAGTTCGATATTATTATTTTGAAATGAAGTATGAATTTAGAGCACGATGAAGTGAATATTTTATATGAGAATGACGTCATAAGAAGCTAAACAAATCTAGTGTATATATATATATATATATATATATATATATATATATATATATATATATATATATATATATATATATATATATATATATATATATATATATATATATATATATATATATATATATATATATATATATATATATATATATATATATATATATATATATAATTCTTTATAGAACACTTTACTTTTATATGCGAAAAGTTTGCTAGGCCATTGACACTGTATTGAATAAGACAGATTTATTTGTTTCATTATATACCTATACTTATATCCAGTAAGTAGTATCTATTTAAGACCTTAAGGTTATTTTTATTCAAAACTTATTGTTAGCTTCTATAAGTTGGTCTATAAGTAACTTTAGATTTTAAATTCAACATTTCAATAAAAAATATTTCAATGTTCTATATATAAGAAACAAAAAAAAAAAAAAAATGATTAAACGTAAAATGTTCTCGCGTTCAGAATCGAAATTTTCCATTGTTGTCGCGATTTCAAGGTATCAAATATGATAAGATTTTTTTTTTCTTTTGCATTTGTCATTTTTTTTTTTTTAATTAGAAAAAAGAAATTATAATATTTTCTTTTGGTGAAATAAAGTAGTAATACGATGTTATCATTGAAGTTGTTTGCAACATTTTTTTTTTTTTTGGAATTGTTTTACATTTTTTATATTTTTTCACATTTTATTGGAAACGAAAGAAATTTATATGTATTTTTTTTTTGGGGAAAATATATTCTAATTTTTTGTGTATGAAAGAAAATATTTAGTCTCGCGCCAATAAGTAGTAGTGGCATACAAGTGAGACATGTGCTGAGTCTCACTGTTATTGGCCGCTACTACTTGCGAATATATGTGTGGCGTTGAAACTAATGTAAAAACGTTTTTTTTTTTCCACACAAAAATTATTATATTTTGAAAAATCTTTTATTAACTAGTATTTATAAATAATATCGTAATTATTTAAAAATTATTATAATTATAACAAAAAATATATTTAACAAAAATTGTAATTGTAATTGTAATTGTAATTGTTTTTTTGGAAGTTTTTTTTTACTATAAACATATTATTACTATTATTTTTTTTAAATAAATAATATATAATAATATAATAATACATAAAAAAAAATTGTTTCGCAAAAAAAAAATTATATTTGTTACATTTAAAAAAAGAGAAATTTCTAAAAAATAATTGCTACCACGTATATATATATTTTTAAAATTAATTTTTATATTTACCTGTGGTACATTTGACGTATTGTTACGTATATAGATAATGGATTTAGATCTCTGAGCTTTGCGTAAAGATGGAAAATTTTAATGACAAATATATACAATCTGTGATAATGAACGATGGAATAGTGCAAAAAATTGCATATATGTTCATTTTCTATATTCTTTTAAAAAATTATAAAATCAAATTAATAGTTTATTTATGATTTTTCATTTTAGAAATTATTACACTTTATTAGAATTAATTTAAAAATTATCAAATTTTTATAACAAAATGAAAATTATAATTTTAATAAAATTAAATGTTAAAAAGTTTAATTTAAATTTTTTATTATATATTATTATTCAAAAATTTTGTTTAATTTTCATTTCAACTATGAAGTAATGTTTTTTTTTCAATTGATTTTTTTGCAAGTTATTTTTTTTTTTTAATAATAGAATTAAAACTTTTTTACACTCTAAATAGAAATATTAATATATAAAAGTGAGAAAAACTTGGTGGTGTGTTTGTATAGACTTTTATTGGGGTCGAGCACTGACTTTAGACTCACATATATATATATATATATATATATATATATATATATATATATATATATATATACTATAATACCTCTATTTTAAGACGTGAAATATTCCTATAGGTGTGCATCGCGTGAGATTCCGCGACTTCAATCTATACGCGACACAAGTGTGCGAGTTAATTATAGATCATCGAGAAAAGTCATTCTGATAATTTGAAAGAAACGCGTTGTTAAATTTTACAATTAGATTTATATTTATTATTGAAAAACTTGAAAGTAGAAAATTTGACGATTATCAAATAAATAATTACTTGAAGTAAATTAATTTTATTTGAATTGTATTTGAACGAATAATTTCTGTATTTAAAATAAATATCTTAAATAATAATTTGATACAAATAAATATTTATTTAATACAATTAGTATTAAATAAATATTTATTTGTTAAATTAACTGATTATTTGGTTCAAGTAAATATTTATTTGTTAATGGTCAACTGATTATTTGAATGAAATAAATTTTTTTTTACAAATATTTTGATAACAAAAATATTCGCTGATAATTAATGGAATAAAATAAATGGAAGACAATAATTTTATAGACTAATGCAAAGGAAGAGTGTTTACAATTATAAATTTATAAACGATAGTGGCGAGAATTACGTATAAAGGGTTACATTCACTATTATAGAAAAGTCACGTTGCATGCCACGCGGTTAGTATACTTTTATGAATGTACACACAAACTCACCTATAACAATCAACAATTATTTATTTTATTTAAAAAATAAAAGAATTTTGTTAATTTAAATATTATTTTTTCACAATAAAATTTATATTACAATTAATAATTAAATTATTAATTAATAATTAATTATATAATTAATAATAATAATTTATACAAATTTTTTTAATATTTTCATTTGGAAAAATAAAATAAATTTTTTTTTATAAATAATTTTTGAAATTCAATATATATATATATATACCTATAAAGAAATCAATAATTCTTATATGATGGTATTATAATTGTGTAAGAAAATAATATATGTATATACACATATATCAGTTGGTAAATGCGACAAATCGTGAAAGTGAATGTACTCCTATGGTGGGTATGTAGTAAGGTCGAACAAGGACGTGTGTCGCCGCATTGCATTTTTTTTTTTTTAAGCTTGGATTCTTTACCCTATTTAGTTGCTCTATTATTATGTATGAATCTTGAATCAATATAGACACAAATTTATTCATTATCGAAATAAATTTTGCAATTATATTTTATTAATAAAAAATGTAATTACATTTTTTTTTTCTTTTTAAAATTATAATTTAAAATATTATATAAAAAGCCCACACTTGTTTCAATTCAATTTTTTCTTATTAAGTCAATAAAAAATTATATTTATTTATATAAAAAAATTAATGTCGAGCAAAAAAAAAAAAAAAATTTTTATCAAATATAAATATTAGTTTTATTATTATTCATTTTGTAACCTTGAAAAATAGCCAATGAACTCCATTCATATTTTACTATTATATTCATCTCTGTTGAGAGATTATTATTCTAAACGCGTTTTTAATTATTTAATAGAAATTTCTTTCTGGAAATAACATAATTAATTAATTTATGTAAAATTCATTAAAATTTTAAACGAAGATTTTTGCAAAAATATGAAATTATAAATAAGACATTCCCTTGAAATTTTTAAAAATTTTTTTCAAATATGTAAAAATGTTTTTTTTTTTATATATATATATGAAAAATATATTCCACGACCGGTTGCCTCACGTGTAAGTACATACGGTGACCGTGTATGTATATATAATTTCTGCTTGACATAACTAAATAATAAATACAATTGAAGTTCACTTAGAAAATAATTTTATGTTTTATGTATATTTAAATAAGTATTTCACACCTAGTATAACATGATATTTTTTTAATACACCGTTTTATTATTTACATATATTATAATAAGTGTTTTAAAAATTTTATTTAAAAAATTTTATTTAAAAAATAATTTTATTGATTTAAAATTTTTATTTTTTAAAAAATTTATAAATTTTTTATTAACACACAGGCAGAATTTTTTAATTTCTCAAATGATGTACTTCCTACACAAAAATTTACTCATAGAAATTATATAGTTATATCTTGTATAGATAAAATTTATTGTTATTATTATTGTTATTAATCTGCTCATACAGAGATATTGCGCGAGAAAGATATTTTTAAATAAAAAAGTATTTGTATAAATAATTCTTTCTCCCACGTTTATAGAAAGATTCCACATATGCAAAATATCTTCTTGAAATTCCAGTTTTAAAATTTCGTGAAAAAATTTTTTTTTATGGATTTTTTTTATAGCACTGGAATTTCTTTATATGTAGGTTTTTTTAATAGTTCATTTTTTTTTAAATACAAAACTTTGCATTTACAATTAAATAAAAATTTTAAAGTATAATTTTTTTTTAAATTAAAATTTATAAAAATTATGTTTAAAAAAAATTATTAATAATTTTAGTATTATTAATAATTTTTAGTAAATGAAATATTAAAAGTATTTTTAGTTCTGTAAATAATTATTTGAACTGCAAAATAAAGAAAAATTTGTAGTTTTTTAAATGCATTTTACAGTAAATTTTTTTTTATTGTCATATCTATTTAAAGCAGATTATGTATAGGTATATATAGGGTTATTGACTGAATTGTCTGTCGCATATCACAATTTTATTATATTTATATATGTATAGATCGTTCATTACATAGAGATTAAAAACAAATGATCGTATCTTTCATCCCTATATGAGTTCACTTGACGATAATCTGATAAATAATAGAATAAACTTTTACCTGTGAGAAAAAATTTTTTCAATTTACAATTTCATAACAATTTCATATTTGCAAAAGTTTATTCCTTTTTTTTATTATTATTAATTTTTAATTAATTATTAAAATAAAAATTGAAAATAAATATTAATAATATTTTATTTTTAAAAAAATAATTTTTTTCATTTTCAGTTTGGATAATAGATCATGCAAGGACGACATCTATAGAATGGGAATCGGTGCAGGATATTGTGAAGGAAATTTAAATTTTGCAACCGCTTCAGAGGATGATGAAATTTATACAAAAAAAAAAGTTTCAAGAGTGAGTATATAAAATTAATGAAAACAATTAATTTTTTTTTTTTTTTTTTTATAAATTAGGTGAAATTTCCTTTCAACAAACAAGTTTTTTTTTTCTTTATTCATCATAATTATAAAGGATAAATTAAGGAAGTGTTTGAGATATTTCAAAAGTTGTTCAATAAAACCTGAAGTGTAATCAAGTAATTTATATATATTCAATGAAAAAAAAAAAATGATTTTCGCTCTATATATTTCAGTGAATGTTGTTTCTCCATATGTAAATTATCAAATTTTTCATTTACCATTAGAATATATAGATTAATTAAGACTTTTGATTTTACAAGGAAGTAAAAGAAGAGGAAAAAAAATAAAATTCAATTTTTGTTTTATTTATTAAAATTATAAAAATAATTCCACTAAAATAATGATTTTAGTTGTAAATAAATTTTTTTCACTCTAAAATTCTCTTTGAAATAAATTATATATATTTTTTTTTAATACAAGAAACAAACAAAAGATAATAAAAAAAAAAATGTCTCGTGAATTAGAAGCATATTACGACAATGATAAGATTTAGAAAAGCATTTTATAATGGTTTTTCAAGCGGATGCGCGATCGACACTTTATCATATCGCGTAATCATTGTTAGGCAAGTGAACCAAATCATTTGAATTTAATTTAAACTAAATCGAATTTTTTTTTAAACATTTCCATAATTAAAAATTAAAAAAAAAATTAAAAAAAAATTAAATTAAAAATTTATTTCAATGAAAACATTTAAAATTTCTGACATTGCCTACGTGATTAGTAGCACGAAAATTTTACTACGATTCATTGTTTTTTTTTTTTAAATCTACATATTCTTTATGCCGTGAGTTAAATAAATAATCAAAAAAAAAAATTTCATAAAAATAGATGTATTAAATTGTCGCGGAAAAAAAGTCAAAAATTCACACTTATTGTTGAGAATCGTGACTGGCAAATTATTTAAGATGAATTCAAGGAAATTTTTTTTTTTTTTTTTTTTTTTTTTTTAATTATTTGAGCAACAAAATAAAAAAATTTATAGAAAATTTCTTCATTTTTTTTTTTTTTTTTTTTTGATAAAGACATAAAAATTAAAAAAAAATTATTATTATTTTTTATTGCAGTATATAATGTTTATTTTCTTTAAATTACTAAATGGCAAAATGATTAAAAAAACAAGACACGTGTTAGTGAGTCGACGATATTTTTGCGTCTAGTCGTAAGAATATAATCAAGTCACATGTTTCTTTTCACGTATTTTATCTTTCACGAGCATTGATCAGTCACACGGTAAACCACAGGACTACTAATGATGCTTTGACCTAAAAAAATATGATGATTAATTTAACAAAATAAAACTATTTTTTTATTTATAAATTTTATTTCTAAATTTTATATATAATAATTATTAATTTATAAAATGTATGAAATTTATAAAAATTCAAATAATAAATATGAAAATAATATTATACAGAATATATATTATATATACAAATAACTCTCTAAAAATTCAAGACATTGAGACAAGTAGTCTCTTAACCTTGAGTCTTTTCAAACGAGATACTATTTTCGCAATCTCGTTGACTCTTTTGTAAAAACAACAAAAATACTTTGTAAAATAAGCATTCTTAATTTATATATTATTTTACAATGTGCAATATTATATTTTTCGTAAAAATTGAAAAACTTTTTCTATTTTAGTACATATTTACTATTTTTTTTTTAAAAATGCATTTTAAGTCACGCGAGTTTGAAAATAATACGCGTGCAATTATTTTCTTTCTATTAATCATATTTATTATAAGAATTAATTTTTATGAAAATATTTACATTTTTATTTAATTTGCAATTAATAATATTTATTAACATTTTTTTTTTTTTTGTAAAAAAAATTTACGTTTTCTATATTTGCGAAAACGAATTATAATAATTAATAATTTTTCGATTTTCAAAATTCAGTGAATTTGATAAAATATCTGGGTATTAAAATTTTACAAAAAAAAAAAAATTATTTTAAAAACAATGATTATAATTATAAATTAATGGCAAATAAAAATATATGCTTCGGACCTTCAATATTTTAACATAAAATGTCCATCGATATAATGTTATGCTTCGATAAGCACGGATTTTGTGAAGGCGAAGGAACAAAAACAAGGTCGTTTTGCTCATACATTGACATCTATTTGTCAAATAGCATAGTCTTATTTTTTTATTATTATTATTTTAATTAATGTCTGTATTATTTTTTTAAAAATATTAAAAAAACAAAAATTGTTTTAAATTTTTATATTATTATTTCCATTGGAATAATTTTTTAGAAAATATAATTTATTAAAAAGTAAAACGTCGCTATTTATTTATAACAATAACGGCTGAAAAATTCATTACTGATTGTTTTTTTTTTTTTATTTTTTGTTTAAGAAAAAAAAAAGAAAATCTCATGTCATGATGATATACAGAAGAATAAATGAAAAGAAAGAATTTATATTATTTGAAAAAAAAGAAAGTAGCAAATATGCAAGTTGAATGAGGTCGAGTTATCGACAGTCCGGATTGATCCAGTCGCAATGATCATCGTGCATAGAGGCTTGTTATAAACGATTCTATTATGGTTTGCGCGCGAGTTTATCAATATGCATGACCGCCTTGGACCCCAAAGGTCTCTGTTATTTCAAATGATAAACCGGGATTTACTGGATTCCTCATATCGTATATTATATATATATATTCTCAATTTCAATGGTTATATACTCGATTTTTTGTTGGTCAATAAAAAAAAAAAAATTATATATATGACCTACTACAAAGTGAATCAAGTTAAACTAGTTTATTTCCTTTAATTAAATTATCAAAATTATTAAATTTAATATTAACTATAATAATAATTATCCCAATCAAAAATTTACTAATGGCGCAGTACTGACGCAGTACTGACAAATACTGGCGCAGTACTGGCAACAGTATTACCTAGTACCTAGATATTTTTTTTATCAAATTCACTGAATTTAAATAATCGAAAAATTATTAATTATTATAATTCGTTTTCTATATTTGCAAAAACGAATTATAATAATTAATAATTTTTCGATTATTGGTAATTTTGGTAATTACTGGTTCAGTACTGGCGCAGTACTGGCAACAGTATTACCTAGTACCTAGATATTTTTTTTATCAAATTCACTGAATTTAAATAATCGAAAAATTATTAATTATTATAATTCGTTTTCTGTATTTGCAAAAACGAATTATAATAATTAATAATTTTTCGATTATTGGTAATTTTGGTAATTACTGGTTCAATACTGGCGGAGTACTGGCAGTTTTGTAATTTATTGTATACGAAAAAAAAAGCTTGAACTGTAACAGACATATACACTCCAGGTAATACTTTTTTGGTATACTTAGGAAAATGTGTCTGAAATTTTTAGTAACCCAAGATAAATTAAATATTAATTAAATTAGTTAACTAACTAATTAATATTTTATTATATAAAATCGAAAACACCAAGAATTTTCATTTATTCTTATATAATATATATTGCAAATTATTATTTTAAAAAATAAATATAAAAATATGTTTATTATAAAATCAAAGTTTTTATAATATATAAAAACAGTTTAGTAAAAATAAAAAAGTTTATAAAATAATTATAATGTATATAATTATACAATTAGCTATTTAATTATTATTTTATTATTCATTTAAATTTATTAATTTTTATATCAAATATAAATAAATTAACATTGAATTCAATTCAATTTACATAAAACAAAATTAGTTTACAAATTAACTCATCACAAATAATAATAAATAAATAATAAATAATAATAATCTCATCACAATAATTTAATAAATAATGAATACTAAATTCCTGAAATTAGGTAATTATTAAAAAAAAAAATATCTAAATTATTTTTAAATTAACATTAAATTTTTGTTTATAATTCACTTTTAGAAAAAAAAACTGAAGAATAACATCCAGAAACAAATTACAATAATTTTATATTGACCATTGAAATATATAAGTATGTAGGTTTGACTATTATTTATAATTTCTATTAAGGAAGGTTAATTATAAATTTTATATTATTGATAATATAACATTTGTGCAATTTTACTTGCCATTGTATTTAATTTTTTAAATTAAATTTATATTATAAATTTTATTCTAAAAAATATTAATTTTTTATAAACAAATTGATTTATTTTTAGTTTGATCGTTTAAAATTTTTTTTTTTTGGTTTATTTCATATCTGAAAACAAAAAGAAAATCTTGCAAAATGTTTTAGACTTTTAGAAACTTTTTGTTTAAATTAATTTTACCCACAGAAAAGCAAAATAAAGTACATTTTAATTTTTGAAAAATAAAATCAAGTTGAAAAAATTTTGATGAACAAAATATTTAAACCAAAAAAAATTCTACGGGTTCACTTTGGAACTTTTTGTAAACTAGTATTAATTAAAAAGAAAATCTATTTGAGCCAGTACTGGCTCAATATCGGCTCAGTACTGGTTTGCCAGTACTGCTCTCTAAATCTGAATTAGTAAAAATGTTTACTAATTTGAATAAGTGACTCGCTTTTTGCTTCTGAATTAGTAAAATTTTACTAATTGTTAGTAAAAGTTACTAATAATTAGTAAAATTTAACTAATTATGAAGCAAAAAGTGAGTTACTAATTCAAATTAGTAAACATTTTTACTAATTCAGATTTAGAGAGTGGGAGGGTGGTACTGCACCAGCCAATACTAAACCAGTATTGCGCCAGTAGTCAACTCTGGTATAATACTGAAATTTTTGATTGGATAGTAATAATAATAAATAGCAAATAAATAAAAATGATAAATAATAAAAATAATAATTAATTAATAAATAATTTTTGGATTTAAAAGAAAAAATTATTACAAAATTTTTATATTATTTGCATTTTTATTTTCAGTTGGTATTATTTTTATAGTATAGGTATGCAACTAGATCTTGTTGTAAAATGCCGTTTGCGTTTCACGATGTAATAAAGTTGAAAGAAAACAGGTGATATTATTAACTATAAGCAAGTTGTCTAAGAGTCGTCGTTGTCGTCGTCACGTGTATTCGCACATGTTTTCCTGTTTGCAATCTTAACGGAACATTTTTAATCATAACGTCCCGTATAAGTTGTCAAGAATTTTTTTTCTTTTTTTTCAAAACATAAACTATTTTTATCTAAATTAATTGAAAAATTGAAAAATTAACCGAAAATATAATTATATTAATCTGTTTCTTTTTTTCTTTTGGGAAAAATTAGAAAAAATGTAATTAATTTAATTAAATTGAAAATTGAAATGTAAAAAAATTGGTATCTGTAAATTTATAGCAGAGAAAAAGCAATTACCCTATCGACCTAAGTATGTATATGTAATCGTTATTAGCTTTGAGTTTGTCGAGAGGATTTCTTAAAGAAGGTGATATCAGCCCGACCCCCGACATTTTTTTTTTGTCCTGTCGACTCGTGACAAATATATATATATACATATACTTGTTATCCCACACGTGTATATAGAATATTCTGACGTGCGGTGATAAACTTGTTGTTTCATACAAGAATCGCAAAGGGGATTTTCATATGTAATATTTTTAGAGAGAGAGAGAGAGAAAGAGAATTTTATATACCAGACGTTGTCTTTAAAAATAAATTCAATTTTTTTTTTTTTTTATTAATTTTTTCAATACAATAATATACCCAAAAACGATTTTAACAGATTCAAAAGATTTTAAATTCAAAAGAATTTGACAAATAAAAACAAAAATAATTTTGAAAATTCGAAAGGAATCAAAAAATAAGATTTATAAAAAAAAATTTAATTTAAAAGAATTTAAAATATATAGAAAATAAAGTATTTTGAAAAATTTAATAGAATGTAACAGATACAAAATTACAGAAAAAAAAAAAAAAAATAATTTCAATATTGATAGGAATTTACTCTCTAAATCTGAATTAGTAAAAATGTTTACTAATTTGGAAAATTCAAACTTATTTATCTAATAGATAGAAAAAAATTACGAAAATTCAAAAGAATGCGTATAAAAGATAAAAAATTGCAACAAAAAAAAAAAAATAATTTTGAATTGATAGAGAATTTAAAAGATAAAAAATTACAAAAAAAAAAGATATTTTGAAAATTCAAAAGAATTTCACAGATAAATTTCAAAAAAAATTCTTAAGAAGGATTTTAATTGGCGTGAATTGGACTAATTTCAGAAGTATTAAAAAGCATTCTATAAATAAATATTGTTAGAGGAAACTCGTGCGACAAAACAAGATCACGTGTAGGGTGTAACAAATCTTGTAACATATACACGTGATGATGAGAAAGAGAGAGAGAGAGAGAAAAAAAAAAAGAATGACTCCTCTTGTTGGCTTGCAGTTCATTTAAAATGAAACTTTTTAAACGTATATATATATATATATATATATATATATATATATATATATATATATATATATATATATATGTGTGTGTAAGAAATTAATCACAATATCGTCCGAGAAAATTTATGCTATACGGCATCAGCATCACAAGCGAAACCAGTAGCTATTCCTCAGTCTGCAAAAATACTTTTACCGAGAAACAAGTGCTCGCGTATTTGTCACGCCGTTTATATCAGAAACAAGAATTTTTCCTACATTTTTTTTTTTTTTTCAATAAAAATATTTTATTAAAATGAAAATTTAATTGTGGAAAAATTGTGTCTGATTTTTGAGAATTTAATCAAATAAATTTTATAATATAGAGAACAATGGTTACACATAGTATGGATAATATTTTAAATATGCAGTATTATACACCTGCAAATTTAGAGGAGTCACTTGATTCCCTACCGCCTAGAAAGAAACGTTGTTTAAATAATAAGGAGGTAAAAAAAAATTGAGCACAATTTTTTAGAGCATATAAAAAAAATAAATTTTTATTTTAGAATATAATTTTTTATTTTTATATTTTTTTGTTTTTAAAATATATTCTTTTCACAGAAAATTAAAAGGCATTAAAATAAGCTGCAATAATTATTATTTTAATCCAATTTTGCTTATTTTAATTTATTTTGGTATTAAAATAAGCAAAATTGAATTAAAATAATAAGCGTTGCATTTTAATACCTTATAATTTTCTGTGTTAGTAAATATTTGTAATTTTCAAAATTATGTAAAAATCGTGTTTTTACTTTATAATTGAAAGACAATTTTTTTAATTTCTACCACTGAAAAAAAAATTCTAAATCAGAATTTAGGCTTTTTAAATTAAAAAAAAAATTGATTGTTAAATTAATTGACTTTTTTTTGTTACAGCAAGATCCAATGTCTCATAGGATAATAGAAAAGAGAAGAAGAGATCGTATGAATAATTGTTTGGCTGATCTCAGCAGACTAATACCAGCTGAATACTTGAAAAAAGGCAGAGGAAGAGTGGAAAAAACGGAAATTATTGAGATGGCGATACGTCACATGAAACATCTTCAAGATATTCGACAAGGTATATAAAAAAAAAATTTACAAAGAAAATTCATGTAAAAAAATAGATTTTGACTTATTTAATTTTATTATACTAATTTTTATATATATTTTTTTATTATTAATTAATTTTTTTATTCTGATTTATTTTATTATTAACAATTTTAATTTTAAAAAATCGCATTTTTTCCAAAAAAATTAAAATAATTTTTTTTTTTTAGACACTAAACATTCGAGTGGAAATTCAGTGCATACACATCCTGAGGATAGTGTTGATAGTGTACCTAATTCACCAACAACATCAACAGCAGCCGAACATTATAGGCTTGGCTTTCAGGAATGTTTAAGTGAAACCATGCACTTTCTTGTTGAGGTCGAGGGTTTTTTTGCGAGAGATTCTCTATGTGTACAATTAATTGGTCATTTACAGCAACATTGTGAAAAAATTCTCGCCACCAGTTAGTAAAATTTAATTATTTTTCCTCATTCCAAAGAACTTATAAAATACATTAAATTAAAAAAAAATAATAAAAGAAAATTATTTCAAATTATTAAAAAAAAAAAAAATTATTTCCATTAAAATTTTTTTCATCAAAAAATTAATTTCCAGGTGATAGACTTGGTTTTCCACATCCAGATTTACCATCGTCAAATGAATCAACAAATGAAAATTTCATTCATTCAACAATACCAACGGTGTGTCTTCAAAATAATCAATCATCCGATCATTGTTCAAGTTCAGGAGTGAGTTCATTGAGTGATACTGAACGTTCAAGACCTATTGTACAACCGCCACCATCATCAACAACAACAACAGATGATAGTGATCACAGTAATCATAGTTCATCGCACAGTACACCATTGGCAATAAGGCCACCAAATTATAAATTTAAAAGTTCAATTAAACAGAGATTTTCAGCTGAAAGAATAAAATTAAGTCCACCACCTGTTTTAGATAAACCACATGGTGTACCAATATTTGCATTACATGATGGTGGTGCATTTTATATTCCATTAACAGTAGAATCATCAATGTTAAGGCCACATCTTACATTTTTTCCTGACACTGGTCCAGATACGGTACTTCATCCCGTTACAATTTCAGTGAATTTTAATCATTCAACACCACCTGCATGGTCTCATCACAGTCCAACACATTAAAAAAAAAAAAAAAAAAAAAAAAAAAGAATCCACTTTGTGTTCTTTAATTTTTGAAAAAAATTTATTCTTAATCTTCCATTTTTGCTGCCATTTTTGTTTTTATGTCGAATTTTACTAAATGAAAATAATACAACGGTCTCTTTATTATTTTACTAACACAGAAAATTAAAAAGGGCATTAAAATAAGCTGCAACGTTTATTATTTTAATCCAATTTTGCTTATTTTAATACCCAAAACCCAGATAGCACGGAAACTTGCAGCAAGCTCGCGGCAAGCTTGTCTGAGCTAGCGAAATGTCCCACCCAGAGCAAACTTGCCGTGAAAGCTTGCTGTAAGCTTTCTAGGAAAGGTTGCTGCAATCTTGCCATGAAAGATTGCTGCATGCATCATAAGAATGATTGCGGCAAGTTTGCCGTGAAAGATTGCTGTAAGCTTGCTACGTAAGGTTGCAGGAGAATTTCAACAAGCTTCTGGAAAGGTTGCTGCAAGGTCTCCTTAAATTTGTTTCGAAAATTTTGTCGTTAAGTTCCCAAATGAAAATAAGCAGGACATAATTAATAATAATAAACGTTACAAGGATTTTCAAATTTAGAAAACAAATAAATTTTTTTTAAATTTAAAATTTATTTTTTAAAAATTGCAGCAAGCTTTCAGCAACCTTTCCAGAAGATTGTTGAAATTCTCCTGCAATCTTACGTAGCAAGCTTACAGCAATCTTTCACGGCAAAATTGCCGCAATCATTCTTAGAATGCTTGCAGCAATCTTGTAACAATCTTTCATGGCAAGATTGCAGCAACCTTTCCTGGAAAGCTTACAGCAAGTTTTCACGGCAAGCTTGCCCTGGGTGGGACATTTCGCTAGCTCAGACAAGCTTGCCGCAAGCTTGCTGCAAGTTTCCGTGCTATCTGGGAATGGATTAAAATAAGCAAAATTGGATTAAAATAATAATCGTTGCAGCTTATTTTAATGCCTTTTAATTTTCTTTGAAGTTATAATTTTTTAGAAAAATATTTTTAAAAAAATTTTCTTTTATTATGACCCATGACTTTGATTTTTCTGATAAATTATAGCCCTAGTTAAAAAAAATTGAAGAGAACAATGTTTTTTTTAGACTTTTCGTTTTTTTTTTTTTTTTTTTTTTTTAAGATTTTAGAAAATTTCCAATACAGATTCTCGAAAAGAAATATCAAAATGTGATAATATTATTATCTGATAATTTTTAATTTAGGTTTTCTCTCTTTATTCTTTTTTTTTTATCCAATGTGTTTTATTTATTTTTAAAAGAAATAATTTTATTTATTTAACCTATAGTAATATTCATTTTTTTTTAAAGCACAAATAAAAAAATCTGAAATTTTGTAAATAAAATAATGAACCTCTGAAAAATAATTCCATGGTTTTTTTTTTTAAGGATATGTCAGAAATATTTTTGAACAATTATGAGGCTGTGTGTTGCTTTAGCATTTATGAATTTGACACAAAATAAAGAGGTTTAGCTTAAAAAGAAAATTTCTTTTTTTTATTGTCAAATCTAATTAATGTTTCGAATAAATTCGATATAGTATTATGAAAATTCGATTGGCATCATTGTATAGATAATTGAAATTTTTTTTTTAAAAAGTCCTGTATGTGGTGATTACTTACAAATTGTACGATTATTATTATTTTTTTTTGTCAATCAGTATTAATTTAACATTGTTCGGATTTTAATTCCTTTTTTTAAAATGTAAAAAAAATAATTTCTGCACAAATACTACTAGAAAGATTTTGCAAAATCAAAAAAATTTCTATTATTAAAAAATTAATTATTATTAATAGAAATTAAAAATTATAAAATAATTTTCTTTTTGGTAAAAAGTGTTTATAATTTTTGCAAAATTTTGAAAGTTGTATATTGGTAACTCTATTTGCGGTGTGAACGAAATAAATTAAGATATGTTTAAGAATTATGAATTCCAATAATGTGATGATTGCGCCATATCAGAAAATGAAAAGTGACCTATTAATCCATTTCAGACTGCAAAATAGATTTGTGTCAGACATTTTTCATCCTATTGATATTTTCCTAACAAAAAAAAAAAAAAAGGAATTCTAACAAATTCTTATAAAATCATTACATTAAAAAAACATTTTTTGTACATATAACATTAATTGTAAAATTTACCAAGAATTCATTTTGAGAATAAATTATATATATATTTATCATAATTGTGCATTTTTTATTTAGAAAATTTTATATTGGGATTGTAATGATAGTCAAATTTTCAATTGTATTTTTTTTTTTTTTTTTTTTTTTTATTACATCAACATAATTAATACTAAGGGTTTAAAAAGAACGCGTCTATAGGAAAGAGGCGATTAAGAATATTAGGATATATAAATCCAATTCGCACCATTATTAAATATAAACTATACTTTTTTTTTGGTTGAAAAAAAGTTTATAAAATTAAAAAAAATTTTTTTAAAATATATTTTGAATAATCAGCCTTAATAAATCTCATATTAAAAAGAAACAAAGGAATGCGAGGCAGTTTTTCAGATGAAAAATCTATTTTTGTTTGGTCAAATGGTCTCACATTCGAATGAATGATATTTTCAAGGAAACGGAATATTATTGGACGCTTTTGGTTTTGCCAATTTTTTTTTGTAATTAATGACAATTATTATTTTTTTTTTTTTTTGGGGAAAATTGAATGCTAGCATATGTGAGGAGTGCGAGGAGCATGAGTGAATTGAATATGTAAATTTGGATAAATACGAGGATTCAATACTATCGGATAATGTAGAGGAGGTAAAAATAAAAATGTTTTGTCATTACTTGAAAAAGTTGATGAAAAAAATGACGCAAATAGATAAAATTGCGTCCAATTTGGGGATTTTTGGAGAATTTTCATTGGGTATCTTCCGAGGAAGCTTGATGGTTACTTTTTCTTTTGTGCCTTCTCGGCGGCTTTTGTAACCTTGCCCTGAGTATCCTTAAAGTTGACACTCTGGAAAAAAAAATTTTTCATTGAAAAAAAAAAAAATTTCTTTTAAAAAAAAAAATTTCTTTTAAAAAAAAAATTTCTTTTTTTATTTTGAAAAAAAAAATTTTTTGTACCTTAATAACACCGACAGCGACAGTTTGACGCATGTCACGAACTGCAAATCTGCCCAATGGTGGAAATTCTTGGAATGCTTCAACGCACATTGGTTTTGTTGGCTGTAGCATAACAATAGCTGCGTCACCGCTTTTAATACTTTTTGGATTTTCTTCAGTTGTTTTACCAGTTCGACGATCGCATTTCTCTTTGATTTCAGCAAATTTACATGCAATATGAGCGGTATGACAATCGACCACCGGTGTATAACCATTGCTAATTTGTCCCGGATGATTGAGAACAATAACCTGTGCAGTAAAATCAGCAGCGCCTTTTGGTGGTTGATTTTTTGAATCACCAGCAACATAGCCACGTCTTAATTCTTTAACTGAAATATTTTTCACATTAAATCCAACATTATCACCAGGTAGTGCCTCTGTCAATGCTTCATGATGCATCTCAACGGATTTCACTTCAGTTGTCAAAGCAGCTGGAGCAAATGTCACGAGCATTCCTGTCAAAAAAAGCAGAACACAGTAAACTTGGTTGTATCTTTTTCTATTGCAACGTTTTGATGCAAATAAGTTATATCAAAAAGAGATCGTTTTGTGTATCATTTTTAGAAATCATGGCCGAATTGAATCGACTCAAAATTAAACGAATTTTTTTCAGATATTTTGGTAATAGTACAATTGCGGAGACCATTTCACTATTAAATTTGAAAATGAAAATAACAGAAAATCAAAGACAATGTGCAATTCGATAATTAAAAAGTGACAGCTTATAAACATAACCTAAAATGCATGAGAAAAAATTTGTCGATAAAATCAATATAGCCGAGCTTTTTAGAAGGTAAATGGCAGTTTTGCTTTTTATAAAAACGATTCAGAAAAAATTTAAAGAAAGAAAATAGATGAGTGCTGCCATCTGCCTTCTAAAAAGCTCGGCTATATTGATTTTATCGACAAATTTTTTCTCATGCATTTTAGGTTATGTTTATAAGCTGTCACTTTTTAATTATCGAATTGCACATTGTCTTTGATTTTCTGTTATTTTCATTTTCAAATTAAATAGTGAAATGGTCTCCGCAATTGTACTATTACCAAAATATCTGAAAAAAATTCGTTTAATTTTGAGTCGATTCAATTCGGCCATGATTGATATAAATTGATTAAATTTTTTGCATCAAAAAATGAGACTGTTTCGTGTATCATTTCTAAAAATGATACACAAAACGATCTCTTTTTGATATAACTTATGTAACTTATGTGCATCAAAACGTTGCAAAGATTTGATGCAATTTTTGGTCTCAATTTGATACTTTTAGGAAAACTGCGAAATTAAAAAACAATTTTGTTTTTTCTTTTTTATTTTATTTACCTGGTTTTAGAATACCAGTTTCAACACGTCCAACTGGTACAGTTCCAATTCCACCAATTTTATAAACATCCTGTAATGGAAGTCGTAATGCCTTATCAGTTGGTCGTGACGGTGGTAAAATAGCATCCAATGCCTCTATTAATGTTTTCCCATCGGCATTACCATCTTTACGTTCAACTTTCCAACCTTTATACCATGTTGTTTTTGGCGATGATTCCAACATATTATCACCATGCCATCCTGATATTGGTACAAATGCAACTGACGATGTATTATAGCCAATTTTTTTAATATAAGATGATACTTCTTTTTTAATTTCTTCAAAACGACTCTCTGAATATGGTGGATCGGTCATATCCATTTTATTAACGCCAACAATTAATTGTTTTACGCCCAATGTAAATGCCAATAATGCATGTTCACGTGTTTGTCCATTTTTTGAAATACCAGCTTCAAATTCACCAATACCAGCGGCAACAATTAATACAGCACAATCGGCTTGACTTGTGCCTGTTATCATATTTTTAATAAAATCACGATGACCTGGCGCATCAATAATGGTGACATAATATTTTGCCGTTTCAAATTTCCATAATGCAATATCAATTGTTATACCACGTTCACGTTCTGCTTTAAGTTTATCCAATACCCATGCATATTTAAATGAACCTTTACCCATTTCTTGTGCTTCTTTTTCAAATTTTTCAATAGTACGCTTATCAATGCCACCGCATTTATAAATTAAATGGCCAGTTGTCGTTGATTTACCCGAGTCAACATGACCAATTACAACAATATTTATGTGTATTTTTTCCTTTCCCATGATTATTGTTGTTGTTTTTCAAAATTTCCTGGGAAAAATTAAATATTTATTTATTACTATATTATTATAATATATTATATATACAGTGGAACCTCGATTTTATCCGAACCTCTATTATCCGAACTTCTATTATCCGAACTATTTTTTGGTCTTCCGAATTTAAAATTTTATTTTCTCTATTTATTTTATCATTCATTCATTTCTGAGAAGAATGCGTGATTTGGCATATCTAAAAAACGAATAGATGCTATCTTTCAAAGCAAAATAACCAAATTTATGCCAAAAAAATAATCTTAATTATAAAAAAAATTAAAATCTCTATTATCCGAACCCGGCCTTGCCTAGATTAATTCGAATAATCGAGGTTCAACTGTATTATTATTTTAATTTATTTAAATTTGACAAATTTTTGGATGTGTAAACTTTGGTAAAATTATAATTTTAATATATAAAATAGGATATAAAATAAAAAAGGAATTTGTTTTTTTTACACGGGGAATGTCTGACCAAACGTTTACTTGAATCACTTATTATTTAAGCTCTTTTTTGAATTAGTCAAAAAGCAACTAGATTGATAGCAAAAAAAAAGTCAATCACTGATTTAAATTGTCACAAAAGGTCCAGTTCCGTTTATTATTAAATAAATAAATAAATCTACTAATCTAAAAATAACTATTAGTTAAATTCACTAATAATTAGTTATTTTTTTCTACTAATTGCTGAAGCAAAAAGTTGATCAAGATTTTTTTTAAACAATTAGTTATTTTTTTTCACTAATTGCTGTAGCCAAAAAGACAAAATTTTATTAATTAGTTGTTTTTTTTACTAATTTCTAAAGCAAAAAGACGATTAAGATTATTAGTAACAATTTTTTTTACTAATATTGCTGAAACAAAAAATTAGGCAAAGATTTTACTAAAAAATTAGTTACTTTTTTTACTAATTACTGAAGTAAAAAAATGGCCCTTTTTTGTAAAACGTTGGCCTAATTTTTTGTTTCAGCAATATTAGTAAAAAATTGTTACTAAAAATCTTAATCGACTTTTTGCTTTAGAAATTAGTAAAAAAACAACTAATTAATAAAATTTTCTCTTTTTGGCTACAGCAATTAGTGAAAAAAAATAACTAATTGTTTAAAAAAAATCTTGATCAACTTTTTGCTTCAGCAATTAGTAGAAAAAAATAACTAATTATTAGTAAAAAGTGTTAGTTAAAAAAAAAAGTATTAGTTTATATAAAAAAATAACTCGAAAAAAATAGTAAAAACTAATTGAATTAGTTATGAGTTTTAATTAATGTTCAGATCTAAGTTATTTTTAGATTAGCAGATTTATTTATTTATTAATTTAATTTAATTTAATTAGTTTAATTAGTTTAATTTATAAATAATTTAATTAGTTACTTTTTTTTACTAATTACTGAAGTAAAAAAATGGCCAATATTTTTTAGAAAATTAATAATTTTTTTTTTACGAATTACAAAGTAATTATAAAGCAAAGATTTTACTAAGAATTAGTTTTTTTTTTACTAAATTCTAAAGCAAAAAAGCCAGCCAAGATTTTAGTAATTAGTTTTTTTTCACTAATTTCTGAAGCAAAAGTCGATCAAGATTTTAGTAACAATTTTTTACTAATATTTGCTGAAGCAAAAAATTAAGCCAAGATTTTACAAAAAATTTTTTACTAACAATAAGCAAAAAAGAAAATTAGTCAAGATTTTACTAAAAATTAGTTATTTTTTTTTACTAATTACTGAAGTAAAAAACTGATTCAGATTTAGAGAAAGAGAGAGGGAAACTTCTTAATGAAAATGGCCTGTTTCACTTATTATTTACTTGTACTACTTAAAAATTAGAATTCGTAAAAAAGTCCTGTTTCGCTAATTATTTACTTGTACTACTTAAAAATTAGAATTCGTAAAAATAGCCTGTTTTACTTATTATTTACTTGTACTACTTAAAAATTAGAATTCGTAAAAATGTCCTGTTTCACTTATTATTTACTTGTCCTACTTAAAAATCAGAATTCGTAAAAATGCCCTGTTTCGCTAATTATTTACTTGTACTACTTAAAAACCATAATTCGTAAAAATTGCCTGTTTCACTAATTATTTACTTGTACTACTTAAAACCTCAATATCATCCAAAAAACTAAATATATTGTTTTGTAACTATTCACTTTTATAAATATCCTACATATTTTTTCTATACGTTCAATAACTGGTGTAAATAATAATAATAATAATAATAATAATAAATAATAATTATTTGAGACAAATGAAACTTATTTGAAGCAAATAAAAATATGTTTGTCTTAAAACATAATAATTTTTTATTTTAAATAAAAAAAAATTTATTTAATCCAAATAAAATTGTACTTAGTACAAATAAATTTTTTTATTTAACTAAAATAAAAATTAATTTAACTAAAATAAAATTGATTTGAAAAAATAATTTTTTGGCTCTAATATTTTTACTCTTGTTGCAAATATTTTTATGGCAATTTTTTTTTTTTTTATCAATAAAGTTTAAAAAATAATTAAATTGTAATTAAAACACAAAAATTTTCTTACTCATTATAATGAGCTTTATTGGAAATATTTTACCATATTCAATGATAGAGCACATAAAGAGGGCATTAAACTTCGACCCCGGCTTTATACGCCCACCACCCATCCAATCGAAGCGATATTGTCCTTTCCAAAAAAAAAAAAAAAAAAAAACAATATAAAACTAGTTTTTTGTTTTTTAAATTTAAAGTAAAAATTCTCCTTATTTCCAAATTTTATTCTAACATATATTTTTAGTTTAATTGACTATATCCACATTATCTACAATCTATTTGCAACTATACTATAGATAAAAATAAGATTTTTATTGATTTTATTTTTTTACAAAAAAAGGGGGAAAATTTTTCTTTAGGAAAAAAAAGAGGAAAAAAAAACAGTATTTTTAAAAAAAAAATACCAAGGGATATGTAAATTTTATAATGATTGTCTCTCTCCCTCTATTTTTTTTTTTTTTTTTTTTTTTTTTTGAGAATTAATTTACGATAGAGATCAGAGAAAGGGTTTGAGGAAGGCAAGGTGGTTTTAGTTTGTCTGACAGACCGGGAAATCAATATGCGGTGGTCGTCGAGGGTTGTACCGGTGAGTCTTGAGTTTCGTTATCATACCTTATCACCCCCGGGAAAAAAAAAAAAAAAAAAAAAAAATAACAGAAAAAGAAAGAATATTTTCGAAAAATGATAAAACTCACCGAGTCGATGACGAAGTCACCGGAGTATTTGTTTGTTTGTTTTTTTTTTTTTTTGCGTTTCTTTGACGATTTTCTTGGCTTAGGTCGCGCGGGATAAATTGTCGAGGGTAACGGGGTGTCTTCTGACACTCTCTCTCTGTGACAATCCGGCTCTTGGGTTTCAGCGCATGAGCCAAAAAACATGGCCGCCTTTTCACTTTAATCAGTAAAACAGAGGGAGACCTAATAATATATACATATATATATATATATATATAGTATATAGATTTTATTAAATGTATTTATATTCTCACAATTTCAATTTTTAAATTAAATCAATAATTATTTTTTTAGGCGCGACCAATTTTTAATTTTTATATCTTTTATACAATAAATTATTAAAAATAAATTAATTTAGACTATTTTTCCTTTTTCTAAACAATTTTTTATTTTTTTTTAGAGAATATATATTTTTTTTTAAATTTAATTTAATTTTTATATATTTTATACAATAAATTATTAAAAATAAATTAATTTAGACTATTTTTCCTTTTTCTAAACAATTTTTTATTTTTTTTTAGAGAATATTTTTTTTTTTAAATTATTTTAATTTTAAGTTATTTGCTAAGTTCAAAGGGTCTGAATAATTTAAGTAGAAGAAAAGTCGTTGACATTATTAGTTGCTTTGTTGAAATACAATGTTCACCACAGTTTGATATTTTGGCACAATATCTAAGGAATGTTAGTCATAAGTGAAAATGTTTTATATATATATATATATGTGTGTAAATAACCGGATGTCAATTTGGAACAATGCCATTATTATATACTTGATTGATTTACATATTTTTCGATTAGGAAAATTTTTGAAACTATAGTTATTGTTAATTTTTTTTACCTGGCTTTTTCAATTAAAAAAAAAAAAAACGTCTTGTAAAATATATTTCATTCAAATTATTTTATTTAATTATTTGATAAAATAAAAAACCAATTTTTTTTTTTTAATTTAAAAATAATAAAAATAATAAACAAAAAACAATATTAATAAAATTAATAAATAATATAATAAAATAATACAAAAATAATAATAATAATAATTCTTTTTCTTTTGCCTCGTGCGGCTGTGTTGTGAAAATTGAGTCAGGTTCAAAAACCTTAAATGATTCATTTACGTTGGTTTTTGTTTCTATTTTTTTTTTTTTTTTTTTTTGATCAATTTTATTATCTAAAAATCAGGAATTTTATTGGGTTTAAAAGGAGGTAATTTTTATGAGGAATTTTTTTTTTATTTTCCAAAATATAGAATAAAAATATTTTTCTTTTTTTTTCCAATTTTTTACATAGTGTATCTGTGTTCTATTCATCATGACTCATTTTTTGATTGCACACACTTTTCGTCTATTTTTCGTGCCAAAATTTGAATTTGTTGCGCACTTCTTTAAACCAGATAATCGACATTTTGTCTTCTTTATTATTTCCTTTTCATTCTTTTGTTAATTAAACCGTAAAATTGTATTTGTTAGCAAATAAAAATTTATTATTCCTTCAGCAAATTAAAAAAAAAAAAGTAAAAAATATTGTTTCTTGTTTAAATAATGGAAGAAACTTTTCTTTTTATTTTCTTAAAAATAGGAAAAAAAAATTTATTTAAAATTAGAGTACAGGAAGTGCTATATATAATAGAAGAAGTTCACAAAACTCGTCAAGGTTTTTTAAATATTGTCATCCGATGACGTTTATATAAAACGGAATGAGAGAGAGAGATAAAAAAAAGAAGTAAACAACCACCGCTTTTCTTTGAATATGAATTATCCACAAGTTAATTTTAGCCTGAGTATGTATATTAAAATAGTTTTCGAATGAGAATGCTTTTAAAGAATGTCGAATTACTATTATAGTGAGTTTTGTTGCCCACGCTTTCAATGACGTCTGTTTCATTCAAGCACACGCGACGCAAAACTGATCTAATTTCGTACTTCCGTCAGACATTTAGGCTTTTTTAACATGCCATTCGTCATTGGAATCTCGCCTTTTATGGTTTCGTTAAAAATATAGTAAAAAAAAATTCAAATCTTCATTTAAAAAAAAAAAAAATTGAAATTTCATTTCATTCACCAATTTTTCAAATTTAAAAACAACAAATATAGTAGAAAAAAAAAAGTTTAAAAAAAAAAAATCTCCACTAATACGCAGTTATTATATTCTAAATTGTTGTCGCGTGCGATATTTTCAAAAACTGGCAAAAGTCATGTACTAAGTGTCAGAAATTTGTAAAAAGCTTGCCAAATTCTATAATTTTCCACTTGTTATTTGTTTGTTTTCAAATCAATCATAATACAATTTTTAATCTAATTATATATTTATTAATTGTAATTTTTTTTTTTAAATTTCCTTACTTAAAATTAAATTAACCAAAAAGAAAAAGAAGAAATTTAAAATCGGTTTTTATATTTTTATTTTAATTGAAAAAATTTGGCGGAAGTTAATTTCTATATATATATATATATATATATATATGTAAATGAAATAATTTTTATTTTAATTATAAATAAATTGTAATTTCATTTTTTAACAACGTATTTCTTTGTATACTTATTAAATTAAAATGAAAGAAAAAAAATAAAGTTTTTGTATATTTGTTAAAAATTTGCAGAAAAAAATTTGTCGGAAGTAAATTTCTTATATATGAATGAATAATTTTTCCTTTTTTAAAAACAAAACGTCGTAATGAAATGAATTATTTTTTAAAAGAGCGCGCGTCGTTTTGTTGGCATTATGTCAAAAATAGACAGATATTAGTTTGAGAGGACAAAAAAAAAAAAAACGAGAAGCTTTTATAGAGGATGCAAATAATTTAATGTGCGGGACGAGCTAAAATTTCTGGTGGGAGCTTTTTGACGTCGTTTGCCGAGAGCGTCTTATATAAAGAAGCTTGGCGTCGCGGCGCTGTATTTATTCACTCCGTGTGCCTTCTCTTAGTATATAATTATAAAACAATTCGCGTTCAAGTGAATTCAACATATCAAATAGTCAATGCTGATCAACTAGAAAAATAATTTATTTAAAAAAAAAAAAAAAACAGTGACAGTATTACTTCATTTTTTTTTTTTACACTCATTGTACCTGTTAATTGTTGTTTATTTGTTGTTGTGTTTTTTTAATAATTGAAGAAAAATGTCTGAGGTGATTGTTGTGAGTATCATATTTTGTGAATTTTTTTATTTTATTATTTATTTAGAATATTTTATAAAAAATCATTCATATTTGAGTTGTTGTTTTTTTTTTGCATGTTTTTCTTCATTAATATTTTCCCCAAAAAAATGTAAAATAGAAAAAAATTTTTTTCTTAATTAAAATTAAACAAGTTTTCTTGGTCTCGATGTTTTATATTGTATATATATATATATTTCTAAACAAGGAAATAATTGAACATGACAGGCATGAATGTACTTCATGAAATATAGATAAAAAAAAAAAAAATTGTCAATGTGCCATCGAAATCTCTTTTATGGTCAGGGCCAATCTTCTAGAGTTGATAAATTGGATCTTGTCCAAAATTCCATTTCAAAATCTTTAAGATAGAAGAAAATATTTAATACTATTTTTCATGTTATATGGATGAAAATTTATATGTCTGTGTGTGTGAAGAATTTCGTTTTGAAGTTGATTTCTTATATAATGACACGTGTACAATTTATTCATTTTTAAAAAATTTAAATTAAAACAATTTTTATTTTACAATATACAATATAATAATTATATAATAATAATAATATTAATAATAATATTAATAATAATAATAATAATAATAATAATAATAATAATAATAATAATAATAATAATAATAATAATAAATATCTTAAATAATATATTGAAGATAAAATTTTGTTCACTTACATTGATGAACATCGAGCTAAGAAACCTGTCAAGTGCAACTAAAGTCGTTTCAATTGCATTTAGTATTTTCGCATGTTTCACACATGTTATGTTAAAAAGTACAAAAAAAAAAAAAAACAAACTATTTCTGATAATGTGGAAAATAAATAAAATTTTATCAAAAATTGTGAAATTAATAATTTATAATTAATTTATTTATTTATTAAATAATAAATTAATAATTTATAATATAATAAATAAGGGATTTATAATTAATTCAGTAATTTTTTTATTTTTTATTCAGGAATCTTTGGGAGAAAAAGTGGCAATGTTTAATCAACATGCAAGTAAACATGAAAGTAGTCAAGCAAAAAATCCCTTTACTTCAGGTTTAAATCTTGCAAAACCAACATTTTCAAAAGAAGAATATGGCAGGTAATAAATAATTTTTATTAATTAATTTTTCTAAAAATTATTACTAAAAAAAAAAATTGATTTTCTAATTTTTCACAGAAAATTAAAAGGTATTAAAATAAGTTGCAACGCTTATTATTTTAATCGAATTTTGCTTATTTTAATACCAAAATGGATTAAAATAATAAACGTTGCAGATTATTTTAATGCCTTTTAATTTTCTGTGTTAATATGTTTTCTTAAAAGTATCAATTTGATACCAAATTGAATTAAATTGATCCCAATATTTGGATTAAATTGTGTTTTGATTCAAATATTGAGATCAATTTCGTTGCAATTTGATACTATCAAAATAACAATTTATAATAAAAAATTATAATTATTTTTTTTTTTTATATAGACCAGTTGCTGGATCTCTTTCGGATATACGAGGTCGTAAAGCATCAGCTCATATTTATAAAGAAATTTTGGAATTATGTGAAATTATAAATCACGATGGAACACCATGTCGAGATCATCCTGATGTAATAGCAATAACATTTGGTGATCTCTTCAATATTTATACATATGTCAATGATAAAGTTGTTGGACTATTGTTGAGGGCCCGAAAACAAAAACTCGTTGAATTCGAAGGCGAATGTTTGTTCCAGGTAAAAAAAAAAAATTTCAAAACTTGTCGAAAATTAAATTATAATTTGAATTTCTTTATTTTTTAGAGAAGAGACGATAATGTACCTATTTTTCTAATCAAACCAATCAAGGAAATTCGAGAAATTTTCCGCCAAAGGTTGGAGGAAATGGCGAAAGAAGTGCCAAAAAGTTAATGAAGGCTTCATAATAAAAAAAAAAAGAAGAAGAAATAAATAAATTTAAAAATCTTTTATGACAAAAGAAGAAGGGACAAAATAACGTCGAAGAACGTTTATTTATTTTTTTTTATATAATAAAGAAAATAGAATGAGTGAAATAGAATGAAAGTATGAAAATGTGTAAATATTTATATGAAAAATCAATTGATATACATGTGATATAGAATTTTAGTTTGAATATAAGAAGATGGTTTTATAAAATTTAAGATTACGAAAATTAATAAAGACAAAAAAGATTATCGCACAATTTTTTATGTATTTGCTTTTTAATATTTACAATGCGCGCGGCTTATTCGTTTTTTTTTTTTTGCACAGCAGCAGGTGTTAATTTTCAGACTTAAGAATTAATATAATATATATATATGTATATTTCACAGTGTTTGCATTCGATGATAAGAAATAATTAGTCTTAGAAGAAAAATGTAAAATTCAATTTTTCAAAAGTGCAAACTTTTTTTTTCATACTCTCTAAATTTGAATTAGTAAAAATGTTTACTAATTTGAATTAGTGACTCACTTTTTTCTTCTCATTTAGTAAAATTTTACTAATTATTAGTAACTTTTACTAACAATTAGTAAAATTTTACTAATTATTGGTAACTTTTACTAACAATTAGTAAAATTTAACTAATTCAGAAGCAAAAAGTGAGTCACTAATTCCAATTAGTAAACATTTTTACTAATTCAGATTTAGAGAGTAACGATAGAATTTTACATTATGGCAGTATTGTATAATTTTTCAATTTTTTTTTTTTTTTTAGAATAAAAATAAAAAACCATTTTTGTTTTTAATTTGTAATTTTACAAAAATTTTTTTTGCCTTCTATTTTGAATTTTAATAATATCACGAGACATTTGTTTAAATTTAATATAACGTAGTCGTAGTTTTCTCTCTTATTTTTCTTATAAGTTGAAATATAAGTCTTTCGAATGAGTAAAGAATTGGTCATTTAGATGTAAATGATATGCATTGTTTACAAGAAGAGAGAGAGATATGGTTCAAAAAGGATAACAATTGGCAGGATATGTGTGTTGAGAATTTTTTTTTTTTTTTTTTTTTTTTTAATACAAACACCGTAAATTTCCCTAAACTTTTTACAAAGCTATTTCCTGCTCATTCAAAAAAAACAAACATATTTCACACACACACACACAATTTATCGCTTTACTAATAACTTAGCAATTATCGTAATTATTTATTTGCAATCAATGAGATTTTTAATCTCAATAGGCTTTTTTTATATATATATATAAATATGTATGTCTTAAAAATTGCTGATTATGCCTTGGGGTTTCTAAAATTTTTTTTTTATCAATTAATCGTTGACCGATATAAATAGACCTAAATTTTTATTTTATGCAAAAATTATCAAAAAATGAATTTTAGAATTTTCTTAGAATAGAACCCTTGCGAATCCTTATATATATATATTAATTTTTCGAATAAAAAAAAATTTTTTTTTTCCTTTATTCAAAAATAAAAATAAGTTCTGAAAGTAAAATATTATTAGGGTTTTAATTTGTGCGCCTATGTAAATATCACAGACTTAAATAACTGATATGTATACGAAAATTCGGATTAATTTTTTTTTTTTATTTCAACTTATTCTAATTCGTTTTTTTTTTCATAGCTAAAAAGAAGAAATGTCTAAATATAAATGATATTTTGACAATTTGATTGTCAGTCACAATAATAATAGAATCCCTATATAATATTTTTATTTCAAAACCACAATTATCAATGTAAAAATGATTTTTCAAAAAAAAAAAAAATTAATGGATTTAAAAAATGCTTTGAGCAATTAACAGGGAGACTAAGAATTTTTTTTTCTTAATTTAAAAATTAATAAAATCAGTCGATGTGATGAAAAAAAAAAATAAATCGTTGTAGGGAATTTATATGTATATATGTATATATGAGTTATGATGACTTAGTTAAATTGAATGATTATTAGAAGCTGTCGATAGTAAATTGTCACTGAAGCTAAAATATTTACAAAATCTCCATACACATATGACAAATATACAGATTTACTTCCTCATGATTTTTTTCCGCACATATTTTTTTTTTTTTTTTACCTAAATCCCTAATGCATAATTGTTAATCTCTTTTTTAAAGCATATAACATGTGTACGATTTTTTTTTCCTATTTAGAGGTGTCCATTTTATGGAATGTAATATAGCTACACCGCCTACGTTTTTTTTTTTTTTTTTTTTTTTTTTTATTTTTAAGTATAAACTATTATTTTTTTGTCGATCTTTTTATAAAAAGCCTTCGCCTACCTTAAACAATGTGGTTTCTACTGGCATAAATCAACAGTCATTTTAAAATACATATTTCTATCTAAGGAATCCACAGTGATAAATCTCTCTACTGAACACTCAAACATAACACTGATTAAGATTTTTTTTTTTTTTCATTCGCATTAGTCAGTCTTGGCATCTTAACGTTTAGTGCGTCAGCAGCTTAAAGTATCTTGCACTTTTTTTTTCATTTCGTTTTTCTGCCGACTAATTGTACGTATACTTTTTTTTTTATTTTAATTTGTATATCGCTTTATATATATATAGTTACACATATTTTATAAATGTATTTATACTTATTATTTATAATTTGTGCTTATTATAATTTAATACTCGTTTTTTTTTACTCATATCTAGATATTTATATTTCACTATTTTGTATATATAATTTAAATATTTATATATATATATATTTTTTCTTTTAAACATTCAAGAATGTTATTTTTTTTTCTCTTAAAAATATATTATTGTCCTTGGATGAAAACGTAGCACTTGAACTCGTTCTCAATCTCAATAAATTGTTATATATAGGGCTACCACAGGCACAGTCGATCGATTATTATCAGACTTATTACAATTGAGAACGACTTGGAGAAATTTTTATATAAAGGTCGTGATGAACATTTGGTTTTTTTTTTTAATAATACTTTCTTGTTGATTATTTTATAAAATAAAAAATCAACAATAATAATTTTCATTTTTTTTTTTTTCACTATCATACGTCATTGTCGTGGCAAAATTCAATTTTTCGCCTCGTTAGAGGAATTCTTCTTTTATCAGCAACAAAGTCCGTGATACAACCTTTAATCCCATGAAAACCGGGTTTACCTCCTATAAATAATTTTCCATTTGTCATTAAAATTGTTGTTTCCGTTGACATTTTCACTGGTGTCTCGTCATCAATTTGTATTATTGTTGCTTTTCGTCTTCGTGACGCTCGAATATGATGAAATAAGCCGTCGTCAATTTTTTCCTGTTCAAAAAAAAAAAAAAGAAAAAAAGAAAATAGATTTGAGAAATTAATCTTTAAGGTCCGAGATCTTTTTTTTAAATAAGGCAAATAAAACGAAAACATTCGGACAAAGAATAAAAAATTTTTTAATTTACTCCAAAGTTTCGAAATCGAAATGATTTCCACTTCAGGGAGTGTATAAAAAATATACTAAACCAAATAAAATACAATACAAATAAAAAATAAAAAATAAAAAATAAAAAACAATAAGTTAATAAATAAATTAAAATAAGTTATAATTATAAATCTTACCAAAACAATAAGTCAAAAACACGAAGACATATTATACCCTGAACAAAGGAGTAGAGTCTGGAGTCAGAAATTTATAATTAAAATTAAAATTGAGAAATAATAATAAAAATTAAAATTTTTGTTTTTTAATTTATCTTATTTATTCTATACTGTTTTTATTTTATTTTATTGTTTTTTTTTTGGATAATTCTATTAAGAATTCTATTTGTTTCAATTCAATTATTTATTAATTTTAATTTTTATTATTATTTCTCAATTTTAATTTTAATTATAAATTTCTGACTTCAGACTCTACTCCTTTGTTTAGGGTATAATATGTCTTCGTGTTTTTGACTTATTGTTTTAGTAAGATTTATAATTATAACTTATTTTTATTTATTTATTAACTTATTTTTTTCTATTTTTTATTTTTTATTTTTTATTTATATTGTATTTTATTTGGTTTAGTATTTTTTTTACAGACTCCCTGAAGAGGAAATCATTTCGATTTCGAAACGTTGGAGTAAATTAAAAATTTTTTATTCTTTGTCCGAATGTTTTCGTTTTATTTGCCTTATTTAAAAATAGATTTTTTGTTTAAAAAAAATTAAAAAAAAAAATATATATATATTAAAACAACTTACTCTGCTGGTTAGGGAAATTTCCTCGTGTTTTGTTTTATAGGAAAGAACAACGTAACCACCATGTAATGATAATGTTAAAAATTCAATTTTTCCTCTTCCGATCCAAGCGATAAGGCCCTCGTGATGCGTTGTTCTTACACGTAATTCGAATTTATTTGACTGTTGTCCTCTTCGTCTAAAAAAAAAACCGTTTTTTTTTTTTATTTTTGAATTTATTATTTATTATTCTTATAATAAATTAGTAAGTAATTAATAGTAATTAATAATAAGGAATTAAAGAGAAAAAAAATTATTTTATTGAAATAATCGTCTGTTAATAAATAATTAGCTGAAGCAAATAATGAAATAAATTTTTTTTTTCAGCGTAGTTAGTTTTTTTTTCAGTTAAATTAGTATGATTTCAAAAAAAAATAGAAATTAGAAAATTTAAAGCTTACTCTATATAGTCATAATTGCCATATTCATAGTCGACATCTTCCTCTAAGTCATAATCGGAATAGGAATCATCGATATATTCCCCAATTGTTATATTAGTAGAATTAGCACTGATTAGAAGAGGAATTAGTTTTTCTTATAATATTAGAAAGAATGTAGGAAAATTAATTTTTTTTTTTGTTAATATTGTAATAGTTTGTTGGGAAAAATAATAAAATTACCTTCTTCCAAAACGATGTTTAAATTGTAGAAAATTTTCTCCATTAAAACGAACAGGTCGTTCAATATTTTCTCCACCGGTTATATCGTAACCCATTACTAAAAAGAAGAAAAAAAATTGTAAAATTTTAATCAAAAATATAAATTTTAAATAAATATTTTAAATTTTGGAAAATACTTACAAAATTCACAATGTAATCCATTGTAACCGTTTGCACATTTACAGAGATAGCTATTTAAAAGTGGCAAACAAACACCACCATTGTAACAAGGATTATTATTTTTAGGACAAGGAAGACCATTATAAATTTCTGTATTATGTTGAGTGATATTAACAGCAAGATTTTGATATGTTTTTCCATTTATCATTAATCGTTGAATTGCACCTTGAAGTCCAATGTGTGCACCTGAAAGTCGATGAATCTCTTGCCAACGTCTAAAAAGGAAATTTTTTTTTTAAAAATTTTATTTTTGAAAATTTAAAAAAAAAACAACAATTTTGACAAAATACTTACTTGACACCACCAACGAAGAGCGATGTCTCGAGATTTAATTCAGTTAGAGGACTTCCGGATAATCCTCGCGCAAGTGTTCCATCATCCAATTGTAATAAACCCTCACGTCCAAGTCTACTAATTCTCACACAATGCCAAGAACTAAGTGAAACAATATCAGGCGATGTTATATTTGCAATTCCACTGCCAAGATTAAATCTAAATTCCAATTTTCCATTAACTAAATTTAAACTAATAAAATCGCCACGTCCATTATTTAATTGGCCATTATAAAGAAGAAGGCCATCATTTGCCTCAGTTAAAAACCAAAGTTCTATTGAAAATGCTTTTGCAACACCATCCAAACAAGGTAATTCCAAAAATCCATCGCCTTTCATTTCAGGAATATGAAATTCTGTTAATTCTGCATCCACTGTAAAAAAAAAAACAATAACAAATAATTGCAATTAATTTTTTTTTCTATAGAAAAATTATTAATTATAATTTTTAAAATTTTCATTTTTCTAATTAGCATTTAGAATTTCTTTTTAATATACGAATTTTTACTTAACAAAATTTTTTACCTACAGAATTTTTATTTTTTTAATAATTTAATTTCCAAATTCACTGAATTTTAATTTGTATAAATAAAAATTCAGATAAAAATTGAATGAATTTGAATTTTTGTCATTTTAAAAAATTGAATTAACATAAAATTCGTTTGAATGAGAAATTTGGACAAATGAAAATTCCATCAATGAAAAATTTTGCACAAACAAAAATTTCGTGACAAAAATTTCGTTAAATAAAAATTCGTATAAAAAGAAATTCTAATTCGAAAAAAAAATGGAAAATTCGTCTAAAAAATAATCACTCAGAAGAAAGATATGTTTGAATCAAATGTACCATTTTTTTATATTTACCCAATTTTTTTGGTTACACGTAAAAAAATCTTCATCTGTAAAAGCGATAAGTTTCTTTGGAACAGCGATATATTTCTCTAGAATAGAGAAAACTTTCGCTGTTTTAGAGAAACATATCGCTGATTTAGGTGAAGATTTTTTTCCTTGTAGTTCAAACCAAAATTTGTTTAATTCAAATAAATATTTATTTGATCTAAAATAACTGTCGGGTTTATTTTAATAAATTTTTTGAACAAAGAAAAAAATTGAGCTAAATAAACGTTTGGTTTATGCAACAAAATGTTTAGTTAACTGTATATCAATGCAATTATTTTGTTGATTTAACCAAAATTTGAAACGAATTTTTTTCTGAGTGATATTAATTTCTAATAAAAAAAAAATACAAATTATTCGATTTTTCATTTATCAAAAAAAAAAATTCTTATCACTTACAAATTTCACAATGTTCACCAGTTCTTCCAGGTGGACATTTACAGACATAACCACCTTGTGGTAAAATATCACAAGTTGCACCATGTTGACATGGTTCACCCATACATGGATCTAATGATTGTTCACAATTTTTCCCAGTATATTCAGGTGGACATATACATGTATATTCAGGTGGTTCATATTTAGAAACAGCATAATTTTCATGTTCATAATTATTAAAATCAATATCAAAATCATAATCACAATTGGATGATGAACATTTTTTTTTCACACTTTTTTTCATTCTTCTCTCATCTAATTGTGTACAATGTATACCTTTGCATTTTATTATATTCATATTATTATTATTATGATTATTATTATTATTATTATTATTATTGTTGATGTCACTTTTTCTCTTGCCTTTAGTACGTTTATCATGATTTTCACATTCTTGATTGTCACATAAATCCTCTTCAAATATTGGTTGGCATGTTGCACCATTTTGACATGGTAGATTTGCACATGCATTATCTTCACATTCTTTAATGCGATATGTTTCAAGAATATCATTATCGTGACCAATATAAAGATCAATTGGTATTTTATTGATTTTCAATTTACGAATGCACCCAAGGAATCCATGATTTGTTCCAATGTTTTCGTAAACTCTGAAAGAAGAAAAAATAAATTCATAAATTTTGTTATTTATTAATTTAATTATTATTTAAATTTATTTATTAATGTAATTTAATTAGAAATATTTAAAAAATGAAACAAGTAGTAAGATCAATTTTAGTCAGACAGGTTTCAATTCTTCCTGACTGGGAAATTTTTTTTTTTTTTATCTATTTAACTATTTAATTATTGAAATATTTACTTATTTAAATTATTATTTATTTAAATAGTATTTCTTTTAATAGAATTTTTTCTCTCAGAAAATAAGTAGTAAAAGTTGTTTTTAGTCTGACATTTACCGAAAAAATTAGATTTTAATAAAATTTTGTACTTTTTTCTCAGTAGTATACGTAAATATTTAATCCGACTTGCTAAATTTTGTATAATGCAATTTTGCAGACTGCAATTTTTGTTATTTTTTTAGTAGTGTAAGTAAATGTTTTGTCAGACTTTTTAATTTTTATAATATTTTCAGTAGTACAAATCAAGTTTAGTCAGACATCGTTGCAGTAATAATTACAGTAAAAAAGTAAATATTTATTCATATTTAATTTTTTTTGCAATTTTATCAGTAGTAAAACGCAAAATTTAGTCACACTTTTTAATTTTTGAAATTTTATCAGTAGTACAAGTCAATATTGAGTAGGACCTGAAATTTTTTTATTAATAATATTAATATTAATATTAATAATTTTTTCCAACAGTACAAATAAATGTTTAGTCAAATTTTTTATTCTTGTAATTTTTCAGTAGTATAAACCTAGTTTAGTCAGACATTGTTGCAGTATTAATTACAGCAAAAAAGTAAATATTTATTCATATTAAATTTTTTTTTAATTTTTATCATTATTAAAAATTTTTTAAATCAATATTTAGTCAGATTTTTTTTACACATTTGTAATTTTTCCCGTAGTGCAAGTAAATGTTTGGTCAGACTTTTTAATTTTTGTAATATTTTCAGTAGTACAAATCTAGTTTAGTCAGACATTGTTGCAGTATTAATTACAGCAAAAAAGTAAATATTTATTCATATTTTTAATTTTTTTCTGCTATTTTTTCAGTGGTAAAAGTCAATATTTAGTCAGACTTTTTACAGTTTTGTAATTTTTTCAGTAGTACATCTCAATATTGAGTCGAAACGGTAAATTTTTCTAATTTTCTCAAATAGTACAAGTTTAGTCAGACGTTTTAATTATTTGTAATTATTTCAGTAGTATAAATCTACTTTAGTCGGACATAATTAAAAAATTTAAAAAATGAGTAGTAAAAATTTTTTAGTCAGTCAAATGAGTTTCTATTTTTTTAATTTATAGAAATCAGTAGTAAAAATCAATTTTAGTCAGAGATTTTAATTTTTTGCAATTATTTCAGTAATACAAATCCACTTTAGTAGGACATAATCACAAAATTAAAAAAATCAGTAGTAAAAATCGATTTAGTCAGACGTTTTAATTTTTTGCAATTACTTCAGTAGTACAATTCTACTTTAGTTGGACATAATTATAAAATTAAAAAAATCAGTAGTAAAAATGTTTTAGTCAGTCAAATGAGTTTCTATTTTTCTAATTTATTAAAATCAGTAGTAAAAATCGATTTAGTCAGACGTTTTAATTTTTTGCAATTATTTCAGTAGTACAAATCCACTTTAGTCGGACATAATCACAAAATTAAAAAAATCATTAGTAAAACTGTTTTAATCAGACAAATGAGTTTCTATTTTTTTAATTTATGGAAATCAGTAGTAAAAATCAATTTTAGTCAGACGTTTTAATTTTTTGCAATTATTTCAGTAGTACAAATCCACTTTAGTCGGACATAATCACAAAATTAAAAAAATCATTAGTAAAACTGTTTTAATCAGACAAATGAGTTTCTATTTTTTTAATTTATGGAAATCAGTAGTAAAAATCAATTTTAGTCAGACATATATTTTGAAATTGTTATTATTTAGATTATAGTAAAAAATAAATTCTAGTAGTTAATGTAAGTTTTAGTCAAACTTTGTGCATACTTGTAATTTGAGAATAAGTAGTAAAAATCAATTTTTGTCAGACATTTTAATTTTTTTCAATTATTTCAGTAGTACAAATCCACTTTAGTCGGACAAAATTAAAAAATTAAAAAAATCAGTAGTAAAACTGTTTTAGTCTGACTTTGTGAATTCTTGTTATTTGTGAATAAGTAGTAAAAATCAATTTTAGTCAGACATGGTGTTTTTTCTATATTTCTCAAAAATTATTAAATTTTTTGAGAAATTATGAAAAATTTCCTTCTGGAAATTAAAAAAAAAAAAACATAATTTACTAACTTTGTAAAATTTGTTGGAACATTTCCAATGTAACTATCATGATTTAAATCCAATGATTTTAACATTCCTTGACTTTGTCCCACAACATCTTCACCATCGTTAAATATTAAAACACCATCCTTATGATAACGTTTTGCAGCGACTCGATGAAATGTCTTCATTTCAACTTTCTCTTGTGATGTCAATATTACTGGTCCATTACCCAAATTATATTTAAATTGAATAAATCTGTGAAAAAAATTTTTTGAAAAATTTTTCTATATAATAATTTTTTTTTTTTATTAAATAATTTTTGATATTTTTTTTTTAAACTTACCCATCGACAATTGCAAGTGAAACATAATCACCGCTACCATCTGCTTTTTGTTGATTGTAGAGAATAATTCCATTTTCCGCGTATGTAATAAATTCAACTTCAATGTTAAATTTATGATAGGCCTTGAGTCGATTCATTCTTACATAACTTTTGCCATCAAATGATGGTATATCATAGTCGCGTCTGTTAATTTCCTCGTCACAAAGTAGACCCGTGTAGTTGGGTTTACAAATGCAAACAAAGGTGCCACTGGGAAGATCGATACAGGTCGAAGACATGTGACATGGATAAGATAAACATGCACGAAATTCTTCTGTCGACGTGACTGGAATGTAATTGGCTGAAAACAAATTTTCAAGTGATGTATTTTATTGTTTATGTATATACAGATCAAAAAACAAAAAGGAAAATCAAATTATAATATATAAAAATCAAACAAAAATTTTTTTCATTATTTTTTCACTCTTTTTTTTAAATTTTTCTTTTACTCTTTTTTACAAAAAAAAAAATTAATTTTTCCAAAGATCAGAAAAGCAAATTATAGAGAGAAAATAATAAAAAAAAAACAAAAATTTTTTATATTTCTTTTGAAAAAAAAAAAAAAATTAATTTTACCGAAGCATTCTTGTCTGTCACTCGTCTCAGAATATCCATTGGAACAAATACAACCACCTTTGAAGCATTCACTGTTCGCAATTGTACAATCTCTGTCATCGGAACAAATATCTCCTAACAAGGCGGTTATAACTCTTATTGTTGCTGGTGTTGGTCTATAAGATGCAGCTGCCCCTAGAATTTAATTTTCAATTTTATTTAAAAATTTTCCTTAAATTTTATTTCATTGGAAAAAAAAATTGATCACAGAAAATTATAAGGTATTAAAATAAGCTGTAACGCTTATCATTTTAATCCAATTTTGCTTATTTTAATACCAAAATGGATTAAAATAATCAAAATTGGATTAAAATAATAAGCGTTGCAGCTTATTTTAATGAAATTAATTTTCTGTGGATTTAAATTAAAAAACACAATAATTAGTTTACAATGATATTTTATTTTTATTAGTTACAAGACAATTAATTCAATGAGAACATATCAGTTTTTGTAATTGCTCTTCGATTTAAAATATTTTTTGCTTTTGATATAAATTTATATTTCTCTATATATTTTATGAAAAAAAAAATTTATTTGTATATTTTTTATTATATTATAATATTATACATTATAATATTATATATTAAATATTATATATTATAATATAATATATTATATATTATATATTATAATATTATTTATAATAAGACTATAAATTAAAATATATAATATATTAAAAAAAAAACATTTTTCGTAAAAGATATTTGTTCAAAAAGGCTTGAAAAAAAAAATTAAAAATAAATCAACTTACCCTGCTTTAAATTATTACGATCGATTGTAATCGTTTCTTGGTAAGCTCGATGAGTATAATATAATCGTGAATCTGGTTCAGGGACTAGAAGATGTCTTGTGGATTTCGATAATGGAGAAATGGCAGCTGCGGGTTGAGTAAATTGCACAGCTGTGTATCTCTTCACGGGAAAGTCCGTATTGACCGAGGGGTCATCTGAAAATTGTAAGGTACCTATTTTTCAAATTTGGACTTTTTATTTCAAACATAAAAATTATAATCAATTTTCGTTTAATTCATCATGTTTTACTATTTTGAATTTTATTATATTATTTATTTTTTTCTAAAAGTGTATTTTTATTAATATTTAATTCATAAAATAGAATTATTATAAAAATAATTATTTATAATGGATTTTTATAATTTTCATTTTCCCGATGTTTTTCATTATTTTTCTTCAATTATTTTTTAATAAAATAAATTATTAAAATATTATTATTAATTATTATTTAAAAAAATAAATAAAGTAAAAGAAAATAAATAAAATAATAATTATTTTTTATTATTAGACAATAATCAATTGATTTTAATATAAAAATTATAATGTAATCATTTAATTTAAAATCAAAAATCGGCTATTAAATGTAAAATTCACTGAAGAATGAAAACAACTTTCTACAGCTTTTAATGGATGAGAAGATTTGATTCTAATGAAAGTTCGCATTAAAAAATTTTCTCTTTCTCTCTTTTTTTTTTCCTCCTATTTTTCTATATCAATACGATTATTATTCTGTCTGTTCAATAAAATGACTTTCCTGAATAGAAAGGGAAAGTTTGCCGAAGCTGATGAGAATTTAATTACTTTGCGATTTTATCTTAGAGTTCTTATTATTTGCAGTGTCGACAACTTTCATTACTTTTTTTCTCTTCTAAAGAGTAGACCCGCACCTTCGTTTATTACAACTCCATTTATATATATATATATATATATATACATCATAATGTAACTCTTCATCTATATTTATTTATCCATTTTGTGTTTATATTTATTTAACTGCTTATTTACGTACATTTCATAGCGTCAATTTACAGAAAAAGAAAAAAAATAATACTTTCAAGTATATAGAAACTTTTAAAAGTCTTTGGGAGTGAGAATGCAATTTTCCAGAACCTCGTTAAAATGAAACTCCAATATAGAAAAAAAAGTGAATTTTACGAAATATTTTAAAATTTTATTTCTAGTTAGCAAATATCAATTTCAATTAACAATTGAGATAAAATTTATTTTTATCTATAAATAAATTTAAGAACTTTAAAAAAAATAATACAAATTTTTTTTTTTTTTTTTCGTCATCATTGAGACAGAAATGTAGGAGACGAACGGTTGGATAGAATCTCAGTTACAGGAAATACAAAAAAAAAAAGAAAAGAAAAAAACTCCGCAGCATTTCCCATTCGAAGTCTAAAGTACGCCTGGAACTGGCCTTCCATAATCTAATTTATTTCAACTTGCAAGAGCAAGTTGCACAAGGTCCAGCAGAAAACTTTTAAAAAGATTGACTTTTCTTTCATCCGACCCCTACTCCCCCCTCCCCCTTCCTTCAACTTTCAGAGGGAAGACCTGAAAACGAGTCGCGGAATTGAAAATAAGAAGCAACGCAATCTTCCAGTTTAATAGATTCTTGACTTTTACAATTTATACTAAAAAAAAAAAAAAAAATTGTATTCAAATTAATTTTATTATATAAAAGAAGAATGTTTTACATTTTTCTGAAAAATAAAAATTTAACAATAAAATTGTATAGAGAAATTTTTATTTAAAATAAAAATTAATTTTTAATTATAAACAAATTAAAAATATAAGTTGGAATATTGTCTTTAACGATCTATCGATCGTTGTCGTGCGAGAACGAAATAAACTAAATAAGGGTTTATTTGGCAAAAAAAAAAAAAAAAAAAATGGGGAAAAGAAAAAAAAATCAATTGTGTCAACTGAATTTATTGAGCCGTGCTTTCGGAAATGAATATTTGCTTATGGGAACTGAGATAGAGTAGAGAGAATTACGATCGTTTCCAAATGCAAATATCCTTATATTTGAGTCTTGTCAAATTGATGAAAGGATTGAATTACGAGCTAAAAGCTTCTAATAATCAATTAATAATAATCCATGAAAACAAAAAGGAAAAAAAAATGATTTTTCTCAATTGACGTGATTTTAATAATTCAAAAATTCTCTTATAAAATAATTTTTTAATACAATTTCTCAAGATTTTAATTTTAAAAAATTTTGTCTTTTTTTAATATATATTTTTAAATTTTTTTTTTAAATAAAATTTTTCTATTTATTGATTCTTTTATAGAAAAAAAAAAATTTTTTTTAAAGAAATATTAATTTTTAGTAATCAAATAATATTTTAATAAAGAAGTTTCTTTTTCTTTTTTACAATCAAGTTATTAAAAATTTTCAATGGAAAAAAAAAAATTTTTTTTCCCAACAATGGTAATTAGTGAAAAAGCTAATCTCGTTATTATTGAAAATCCGAGAAATTGTCTAATTAAAGGGTTTTTTCAATGAAGAGCTTCATTACGAGTTATATTATCAATTTTCTCATTCAAAAATTCTAATTTTGAAATTAAAAAAAAAATTGTAGCTATATTTTTTTAAAAATTGAAAAAAGAAAATATTTAAAAAATTGTCGAACATTTTTTTTTTTTTTTTTGAGGTTTTAATAAGGGTTATTAACATATGCATGGAGTTAATAAAACCGTCAACAGTTTATTATGTCTACATTTTACAAAGTTTGTTAATCATGTTAGTCGAGAATATATATATATATATGTATATAGTGAATCTTCGAGCTAACAGAAAAGCATTTTTAGAAAAACTATTTAGTTTACAAATTAAATGTACAAATATTATTAATTGCTAAATACACATTTTTAAAATTAGGGTGTTATTTTTTTTTAGAGAAACTAAAAAAATTTGTTACTTGCTTTTTTGTTAATTTTCTTTTTTTTTTTTTTCTAAACGATGAATTAGTAGCGCATTATATAAAGAGGTGTACGCTCTGTAAACCCACCTCGGCAATGACCAAATGCCTGTGTAACGATGTCAGCTTGATGACGACAGGCATTAAGTCGTAGTTCACATTCATTATCGTAAGACTGGCCATCGCTACCACAAACTGGAATTGAAGGAACATCAGCGGGACAAGAAGAAGGACATTCACAATGTGGACCACCAATTTCCGAGCAATGTGCACCCGAATAACAATCCAATTTGTTGCAAGAGTCAGGCATTTCAGGTAAAATTGAGTCAGCTGTGAATGTGAACCAAAAGTGGAGAAATATTACATGAGTTTCCTTCAATTATTCCACAGGGGACAATTTCAACATTTTACGATCGCATGAGGAAAATAAAATCATTATTACATCAGGAATTTTAAATTAAAAAAAAAAAAAAAAAAAAAAACTCCGTCGCACAATTATTTCATAAAAATAAAATTATTTTCAAAAATCAATTTCTTATATTTATTTATTCAACAATTTTTTTTTAAAAATTTTTTCGTGTTTAAATTTTTATTTAATGGAATTTTTTTTAACAATTTCGCAAAAAATAAACGCCTTAGAGTAAAAATGATAAAAAAAATATTAAAAATTAAGAACGAAATTTGATAAGTGAAACTAAATAAATAATAAAAAAAAAAAAACATGTTTATTTGAAATACCTGACTGACATCCAGATGGTGTGAGGATTTTATTGTGATCATTACAGATGGTGCACTTTTGACCACGAATATCAGCCTTGCAGACACAACGACCAGTCATTTGTTCGCAATCTTCACGAACTGAGCCAAATAGTGAACAGCCACAAGCTGGAGGAGGAAAATTAATTAAAAAATTTAGTTTTTTTTTTACTACAAAATTCACTATTACTTATCTCTATATAACAAGGAAGGACGCGTAAAATTTCAATTTAAAAATTTAGCAAACCTTGAACATTCTTTTTTAATATTTTTTTTTCTGACGAAATTTTTTTTTAATCACATAAATTTTTTTTTCTAATAGAATTTTTAATTTTATTAAGATTAATTTTTTTTTAATAGAAATTATTTTTATTTACAAAATCAGTAGTACGAGTCATTTTGAATCAGACAGAGAGTATTTTTATTTGATTACACAAATATTTAGAAATTAATTAAAAAAAAAATTTTCTAGAAATTTTTACTAAACGATTTAATGAAATAAAAAATTCTTATTTACAAAAAACAGTAGTACGAGTCACTTTTAATCAGACAGAAAGTATTTTTATTTGCTTACACAAATATTTAGAAATTAATTTAAAAAAAAATTTTCTAGAAATTTTTACTAAACGATTTAATGAAAAATAAAAAATTCTTATTTACAAAAATCAGTAGTACGAGTCGATTTCGGTTAGACAGAAAACTTTTTTCTGCGTTCACTGTAAAATATTCAAATAAACGTTTAAATAAACATTTTTCAATAAATTTTTAATATTCGCTTTTTAATTTTTATGGAAATTTTTTTTTTTGTTATTTACGAAAGCAAATAGTAAATGTCAGTTTTAATCAAATAAAGCGTTTTTATTTTTATCCCTGTAAAATAGTTAAATTACTTAATTTTTTTCCCTACTAAATATTTAATATTCGTTTCAATTCATTTTAGATAAAAATTTTTGTTATTTAATAAGTCAGTAGTACGAGTCACTTTTAGTCAGACAGAAAGTATTTTTATGTTTTTCTCTGTAAAATATTGAAAATAATAAAAAAAATTTTCAATGAATTTTTAATATCCGTTTTTATTTTTTTGAAAACAAATTCTTATTTTCGTATCAGTAGTAAAAGTCAGTTTTGATCAGACAGAAAATATTTTATTTCATTGTAAAATATTGAAATTCATTTAAAAATGTTTCTATTAATTTTTAATTAACCATTCATTTTTGTAATCGAAATTCTTGTTATTTACGAAATCAGTAGTACGAGTCACTTTTAGTCAGACAGAAAGTATTTTTATGTTTTTCTCTGTAAAATATTGAAAATAAAAAAAAAAAATTTCAATGAATTTTCAATATCCGTTTTTATTGTTTTAAATACAAATTCTTCTTATTTTGGTATCAGTAGTAAAAGTCAGTTTTGGTCAGACAGAAAACTTTTCTTTTAATTTTTAATAACCAATTTATTTCTTTAAAAATATTCTTGTAATTTGGAAATCAGTAGTGAAAGTCGTTTTTAGTCAGACAAATAGTAAAATTTTTCGTCATTTAAAAATCAGTAACTACCGTCGTTTTAGTCGGACACGTGAAAATCTGTTTTTGTCAAACACTTAGTAAAAAAAAAATCGTATTTTAAAAAAACAGTAGTGAAAGTAGGTTTTAGTCAGACATAAATTTTATTAGTTTATTAATATTATTATTATTATTATTATTATTATTATTATTATTATTATTATTATTATTATTATTAATTTATTAATATAATTATTAATTTCATATTTCTTGTAATTTAAAAAATTAATAGTGAAAATTAATTTTCGCTTAGATAGAAATATAAAAATTATTTTTTCGTTTAATTTTGTAAAATTGGGTTAATTTTTTAATTTTTTTCTTTTTTTGTGTCTCTTACGTATACATCCTTGATGACCTTCGCTAATTTTGGGAAGACCCCAATATCCTGGCATACATCTATCGCACTTTGTCCCACCAACACCTGGTCGACATTCACATTGGCCAGATTCAGGATCGCAAACATCAGACATACTACCTAATCGGTTACAATTGCAGACACTGGGACAACCTGCTCCATCAGCCCCCGGTGCAATAGTTTTCCCATCGGGACAACAACCATGCCACGAATCTATACACCTCACAATTTGAACACCTTGTTCTATAACAAATTAATGTAAAAATAAAATTTGAAAAAAAAAATTATACTATATTTTTCAATGTAGAATTTATTACAATTTTTTAATTTTAAAAAATTCAACTCTGACCTCTTTTTTGCAAAGTGGAAATTTTATTTTAATATTATCTAAAAATCGTTTGTAATTACGCTTTGATAAAGAAAGAAGAAAAAGAAAAAGAAGAAGAAGAAGGTGGAATGAAAAGGGGAATAATATATTCTCTCGCTTGGAAATATGAAAACGTTTTTAAATTTTCTTCAATCAATATTTCCTTTAGCTTTCACTTGTCTTTTAATACTTTATAACATAAAGTTCTTTATAAAATTTTAGATTAAAAATATCTTGTTTTTTTTTTTACATAAATTTTCAATTTTATATAAATTTTTGTTTTTTTTTTTAATCAATTTTATTTTTATATTTTAAGTTAAGGGTAATTTTTTTTTTTCATTAATATTCGTACCTTTTTTACAACAACGAGCAAATCGTTGTGTCTGATGGCAATAACTATTACTGGGACAATCTTTTCGTTGTGGTCCATTTCCACAATCGATTTCTCTACCCTCTGCATCAATTAGCGGAGGATCTCCATTGCAGGGTTTTACTTCCAGACCTAGGTTGCAAAAAAAAAACAAAAAAAATTTTTTGACTTTAAAAATTAAAAAATCGAATTTTAAAATTGAAATGTATTTTTTTTTATTTTATTTATATTAAAATTAGTTTTGAATTAAATAAATCTCAGATAAAAGATATACAAAAGCCTAATAAATATTTACCTGTTTCAAATAAATATTTATTTGTTACAAAGTAAATTTTATTTGGAGTTAAATAAAAAATTTTTATTTCTCCTTTATATAAGTGGCAAATAAATATTTATTTCAAATAAATTTTATTTGAGTTAAATAAAAAATTTTATTTACGCTAAATAAAATTTTATTTCTTCTAAATAAATTTTATTTATTATAAAAGAAATAAAAAATTTATTAGGCTCTGAGACATAAGAAATTTTTTACTTATAAATAAATTTTATTTGTCTCAAATAAATGCTAGTAAACTATTTATCCGGGAGTGAATATTAAGATAATTTTAAATTAACATAAATTTTTTAATTATATGAGATGTTTGAAAAGTTGTAAATATATATATCCTCTTTTATAATTTATAAAGTTATAAAAATATAAAATTTATATATATGAGGAAAATTTGCAAGCAGGAGGAAATTTAGTAAAAGCAAAATAATTAAGGATTTCTGAAAATATGAAAAACTAGGAAAAATCAGGGAAAAAAGTAAAAAAAACACCTGCAAAAATTATAAGAAATTTTCCTAACCAAAAATTTCAGTATTATACCAGAGTTGACTACTGGCGCAGTACTGATTTAGTATTGGCTGCCGAGGCTGGGCAGTCTGTACTGAACCAGTACTGGTATTTTCATTGTATCCGTACTGGTGGAGTACCACCCTCCCAGTACTGGAAAACCAGTACTAAGCCGATATTGAGCCAGTATTGGCTCAAATTAATTTTCTTTTTAATTAATACTAGTTTACAAAAAGTTCTAGAGTGAACTCCGATGAATCTTTTTGTTTAAATATTTTGTTCATCAAAATTTTTTTCAACTTGATTTTATTTTTCAACATTAAAATATACTTCATTTTGCTTTTCTGTGGGTAAAATTATTTAAACAAAAAGTTTCTAAAAGTCTAAAATATTTTGCAAGATTTTCTTTTTGTTTTCAGATATGCAATAAACCAAAAAAAAAAAATTTTAAACGATCAAACTAAAAATAAATAAATTTATTTATAAAAAATTAATATTTTTTAAAATAAAATTTATAATATAAATTTAATTTAAAAAATTAAATAGAATTGCAAGTAAAATTGGACGAATATTATATTATCAATAATATAAAATATATAATTAACCTTTCTCAATAGAAATTATAAAAAATAGTTAAACCTACAAATTTATATATTTCAATGGTCAATAAAATTATTCTAATTTGTTTCTGGATGTTATTTTTCAGTTTTTTTTTCCAAAAGTGAATTATAAACAAAAATTTTATGTTAATTTAAAAATAATTTAGATAATTTTTTTTTAATATAAACCTAATTTCAGTAATTCAGGAATTATTTATTAAATCATTATATTTGTGATGAGTTAATTTGTAAACTAATTTTGTTTTATGTAAATTAAATTGAATTCAATGTTAATTTATTTATATTTGATATAATAATTAATAAATTAAAGTGAATAATAAAATAATTAAATTGTTAATTGCATAATTATATAAATTATAATTATTTTATAAACATTTTTATTTTTACTGAAATGTTTTTATATATTATAAAAACTTTGGTTTTATAATAAAAAATATTTTTATCTTTATTTTTTGATTTTTTAAAATAATAATTTGCAATATATATTATAAGAAGTTATGGAAATTCTTTGTGTTTTCGATTTTTATATAATAAAATATTAATTCGAGGGGGAATTTCTTCAAGTAGTCAAGTGTACACTCTTCCTGTAATATTTGTGTAATAACATGTAATAATGTGTAATAACGTGTATTACCGTGTAATAACGTGTAATACTGTGTATTACCGTGTAAGACTATGTAATAATGCGTTATTACAGTGCTGTAATAACGCAAAAAACTCTGTAATATCTCTGTAATGATGTGTAATACAGTGTCAAGTGTACACTCTTCCTGTAATACTTGTGTAATAACGTGTAATAACGTGTAATAACGTGTAATACCGTGTAATACCGTGTAATACCATTTAATAGTGTAAAACCGTGTAATACTATGTAATAATGCGTTATTACAGTGCTGTAATAACGCAAAAAACTCTGTAATATCTCTGTAATAATGTGTAATACGGTGTAATACCGTGTAATACCATGTAATACTGTGTAATACCGTGTAATACTATGTAATAATGCGTTATTACAGTGCTGTAATAACGCAAAAAACTCTGTAATATCTCTGTAATAATGTGTAATACTCTGTAATAACGTGTAATACTTAGTAAAAAGGGTAATATGAGGTGTAATCCCGTTAGTCAAGTGTACACGTTTTTAACTAGTAAATTCCCCTTCGTATTAATTAGTTAGTTGACTAATTTAATTAATATTTAATTTGTGTTGAGTTACTAAAAATTGCAAACACTTTTTCCTAAGTATACCAAAAAAGTATTACCTGGAGTGAAACTTATCTCTGTTACAGTTAACTGTAAAAAAAAGGTACTAAAATAGTACCGATTTTAGGTATTAAAATAGAACTAAATGACAATTTAGTACCTAAAGTCGGTATTAAATTAATATCTTTCGATTTAGAGTGTTAAAGCTTTCATTTCGTTTACAATAAATTACAAAACTGCCAGTACTCGGCCAGTACTGAACCAGTAGTGGTTACCAATACTGGTGCCAACTCTGGTAGCCAATACTGGTAAAATGTTATTATTCCAAAATTACGCCAATACTGGGTGCCAGTACTGCGCCAATATTTGTCAGTACTGTGCCAGTACTGCGCCAGTACTACGCCATTAGTAAATTTTTGATTGGGAATTGTAAAAAAAAAATCGTGACAATAAAAAATTATTGAAAATTATGATTAATCGAACCTTCACAAAGGTCAATTGGTCTAAGTCGAAGTTCCTGTTGCCTTTGACAAGCCTCCATTTTCATTGCGCAAAGTGAAGGATAAGTTCGATGATCACTACCACAAACAGTGCGCATATTTTCCGGTGATATTGAAGCGCAATCGAATTTACAGCTGCATCTTGGAAATTTATCTGGTCCCAATTCGCAAGTTGCTTCAAAATCACAATGAATATCCTTGCAAGCCTCACGTTCTTGAGTGCCGGTTACTTCAGCCACAGTTGTTACTAGACGAGTTATTGCTGGAGTGGACATGGTGGCTGCGAGGTTAATAGTTAGAGGTTTCAAAGGTTATAGCGAAGCTTTGGAGAGAGAGAGAGAGTGAGTAACTATAGTCTGATAAGTTACGAACAGTTTCAGAAACGATAATAAGTGATTCAAGTTTTCGAAATTAGTTTACATGAAAGGAAGGCAAATTTTTTTTTTTTCATTGTTTATAGAAAAATAAATTAATTTAAATTAAAAAAAAAAAATGTTTTATAGACTTACTTAAAGCAGCTACGGGAAATTTCTCAACACATTCGCCATAAAAAATAACTTGCAATGGCGCAAGTTTTGTATCTCGCTCGCAAGCTGCTTTTTGTAATTCACATTCAGATGAATAAGTTTTTGCATCGCTTCCACAAACAATTTCCCCCGATTTATTGGGACAATTTTTTGGACATACACAAACGCCTGCCACACAATGGGCATCATTTTCACATTCCACATTTGAACATAATTCTAAAAATTTTATTTCACATTTATTTTTTCATTTCTATTTATTACTTATAAATATAAGTTCTAAAAATCAATTGTCAAAATTTTTATAAAAACAGAATTTTATTAGATATAATATTCATATTATTATAATTAATAAATGAAAATTTTAATAATTGATTTTTTAAACTTATTTAAATTGTGGATAAATTGTTATTTGTATTTTTTTTGTTTTATTTAAAGAAAAAATTCTTACCACAATCTCCTCTATAGTTAATTTCGATGAGGATTTGTACTTCACAAGCGGCCTTTTTAAGTGCACATTCACTGGCGTAAGTTATACCGTTTGATCCACAAACTTTAGTAGTGGCACCAGCAACCTGCGTCTGTAATTGAAAAGCAGAACCTCTTACCTCATCAAGAAATTACCATAAATAAGCAGCTTTGTTAAACTGTGTCTTTTAGGATTTTTTTTTCTCTCTCTCACTTTTTTTTTAATTCAATTACCTAACAACCTTAAAAAAAGAAGTCAATCTTGTTAAAATAAATTTCCTTTTAACATTTTTTTTTCTCACTCTAAAATCTGAATTAGTTAAAAATTAACTAATTTTTACATGGGAAGAAAATAATTTTATAAAAGTATTTCCATCAAAAAGTATTTATAAATAATAAATAAATTTTTTAAATTTAGGAATCAGAAGTAAAAGTCAATTTTGGTCAGACAGAAAATATTCTTATTTCAATCTAAAATATTCAAATTCAAAAAAAAAAAAATGTTTCAATAAACATTTTAATTAATTCATTTTTTCAAATAGAAATATTTGTTATTGTCGAAATCAGTAGTACGAGTCAGTTTTGATCAGACCGAAAGTATTTTTATTCTCTGTAAAATATTCAAATCAATAAAAAAATTTTCCAATGAATTTTTAATATTCGTTTTCATTTGTTTTTAAAAAAATGTCCCGTCTGTAAATAATAATTAAATTATTTTTATTTTGGTATCAGTAATAAAAGTCAATTTTGGTCAGACAGAAAATATTCTTATTTCAATCTAAAATATTCAAATTCAAAAAAAAAAAATGTTTCAATAAACATTTTAATTAATTCATTTTTTCAAATAGAAATATTTGTTATTGTCGAAATCAGTAGTACGAGTCAGTTTTGATCAGACAGAAAGTATTTTTATTCTCTGTAAAATATTCAAATCAATAAAAAAAATTTCTAATGAATTTTTAATATTCGTTTTCATTTGTTTTTAAAAAAATGTCCCGTCTGTAAATAATAATTAAATTATTTTTATTTTGGTATCAGTAATAAAAGTCAATTTTGGTCAGACAGAAAATATTCTACTTTATTTCAATCTAAAATATTCAAATTTATTAAAAAAAAAATTTTAAATAAACTTTTTAATTAACGATTCATTTTTTAAAATAGAAATACTTGTACAATTTGAACGAAATCAGTAGTACGAGTCACTTTTAATCAGACAGAAAATATTTTTTTATTTGCTTACACAAATATTCAGAAATTAATTTTAAAAAAATTTTTCTAGAAATTTTTAATAAACGATTCAATGAAATAAAAAATTCTTATTTACAAAAATCAATAGTACGAGTCGGTTTTAGTCAGACAGAAAGTATTTTTATGTTTTTCTCTGTAAAGTATTGAAAATAAAAAATTTTTCAATGAATTTTTTATTTTATTAAGATTAATTTTTTTGATAGAAATTATTTTTATTTACAAAATCAGTAGTACGAGTCACTTTTAATCAGACAGAAAGTATTTTTATTTGCTTACATAAATATTCAGAAATTAATTAAAAAAAAACTTTCTAGAAATTTTTAATAAACGATTCAATGAAATAAGAAATTCTTATTTACAAAAATCAGTAGTACGAGTCGGTTTCGATTAGACAGAAAACTTTTTCTGCATTCACTGTAAAATATTAAAATAAACGTTTTTCAATAAATTTTTAATATTCGCTTTTTAATTTTTATGGATATTTTTTTTGTTATTTACGAAAGCAAATAGTAAATGTCACTTTTAATCAAATAAAGCGTTTTTATTTTTATCCCTAAAAAAAATTTAAATTAATTAATATTTTTCCTACTAAATATTTAATATCCGTTTCAATTCATTTTAGATAAAAAAATTTGTTATTTAATAAATCAGTAGTACGAGTCAGTTTTAGTCAGACAGAAAGTATTTTTATTTTTCTTCTCTGTAAAATATTCAAATTAATTAAGAATTTTTCCAATGGATTTTAAATATCCGTTTTCATTTCTTTAAATAAAATTTCTTGTAATTTAAAAGTCAGTAGTGAAAGTCATTTTTAGTCAGACGTAACATTAACTAGTTTATTATTATTATTATTATCATTTTTATTATTATTACTAATTATTAAAATAAAAATAATTATAAATAATTGAATATAATTATTTATTTAATATAATTATTAATTTATTAACTCTTATAATTTAAAAAATCTTTGTTTGCAATCAATTTTTATCTAAATAGAAATATATAAAAAAAAAAATTCTTTATTCATTTATTTGAATATGTTAATTATGTTAAAATTAACTAAATTTTTACATGAAAAGAAAATAGTTTTATAAAAGTATTTTCATGTTTTGGGAAAGAGTATAATTTTTATTTCTAAAAAATTGGAAACTTATTTTAGAAATATAATTAAATTCAATTATTTTAAAAATATTCATTGGTCAAAAATTGGTTTTTAAAATCGATTGTTTTGTTAATTATTTAAATTTCAAAGAATGTTTCTTACTTGTTTCTTGAAATGTAAAATTAAAAATTACTTTTATTGAAACAAAAATTTTAAAAAAAGCATATATTAATAGTGTAAATTGAAACGCGTGTGAAATACACTTGTTGCACGTTTAATAATTGAAATTCACTTTACTCGTAAAATGTGGTTTTGCAAAAACATGAAATTTAATTAGGATTACCCTTTTTTTATTTTTTCCTGTTTGCCTGTTATTAAATTTATTAATTTTGGAAGATAACAGATCATAATATGGGTAGTTTATATATATATATATATATAGGTTGTATAATAAATTTTGTGAAGAAAAACGCGTCTTGCACCTGGTGTAAAACGAAATCGTCCTTGTGTGCAGCAGCTTCATTAGTTCTAATTGGAATTCGAGAGCATGGTATTTGTGGTGCTTGCAGCAGTAGCAAGCAGCAGACGGTGGTGGCGGTAGGTAATAGTTATTATAGCTGTTCGCTTGAAATAGCCTCTTCGTAACGGGTCTAAGTAATGTTGTGGATGCTAAGAGTCGTGAAAACGATTCATCCTCTTTGGGTGAGGTGGGGGGGGGGACACTGAGGCTAATCTTTTAATTTTATTGCCATTATAATTTCACTTTTTTCGAAAAGAAAAAAAAATCATTACAATTTATCAAAAAGTGAAAAAAATTCATTACAATTTATCAAAAAGTGAAAAAAATTCATTACAATCAAGAAAATAATAAATTAAATTAAATTTTATTGATTTACATTCTTTGATTATATTTTAATTGAGTTGAAATTTTCTAATTATTATTCAAAAGAAAAAATATAAGGGTTCATTGAAAAATACGCGGATTTAATGAATCATTGCGATGTCTATTTTCTGGAGCGGTGCTTTTTTTCTAATTCAAGATTTCGAGTTTATTTGAAGTTGAACTAAATTATTATTATTCGAACTAAATAATTTTTATTTGAACTAAATTTTTGTTCGAAACCAAACAATTTTTATTCGGTACAAATAATTTGTAATTAAACCAAATTTTTATTTGAACCAAATTTTTATTCGAACTAAATAATTTTTATTTGAACTAAATTTTTGTTCGAAACCAAACAATTTTTATTTGGTACAAATAATTTGTAATTAAACCAAATTTTTATTTGAATCAAATTTTTATTTGAACCAAATTTTTATTTGAACCAAATTTTTATTCGAACTAAATAATTTTTATTTGAACTAAATTTTTGTTCGAATCCAAACAATTTTTATTCGGTACAAATAATTTGTAATTGAATCAAATTTTTATTTGAACCAAATTTTTATTCGAACTAAATAATTTTTATTTGAACTAAATTTTTGTTCGAAACCAAACAATTTTTATTTGGTACAAATAATTTGTAATTAAACCAAATTTTTATTTGAATCAAATTTTTGTTTGAACCAAATTTTTATTCGAACTAAATAATTTTTATTTGAACTAAATTTTTGTTCGAAACCAAACAATTTTTATTCGGTACAAATAATTTTTAATTGAACCAAATTTTTATTTGAACCAAATTTTTATTCGAACTAAATAATTTTTATTTGAACTAAATTTTTGTTCGAAACCAAACAATTTTTATTTGGTACAAATAATTTGTAATTAAACCAAATTTTTATTTGAACCAAATTTTTATTTGAATCAAAGTTTTGTTTGAACCAAATTTTTATTCGAACTAAATAATTTTTATTTAAATTAAATTTTTGTTCGAACCAAACAATTTTTATTCGGTACAAATAATTTTTAATTGAATCAAATTGTTAATTGAACCAAATTTTTATTTGAATCAAATAAGTTTTGTATATTTCAAAACAAAAATTTAATTGTCTCAAATAAAAATTATTTACTTCAAAAAATATATTTATTTAATTCTAATAGTGTAATTAATTATCTTTTGTAAAACTAATCTCTCGTTTCCTGATTTGTAGAAAACAAAAGAAAAAAAAAAACCAGAACAGAAACGAATGATGAGTTTGATAGGCTTCCATTAAGAAAGTTACAGTGTTTGTTTCCTTTGAGAACGTGAACAGAGTTCATCGGTTTTACCAGATAGAAATTCCGCTTCTGAAGGAGTAGCACAGAAGTAAAGGACTTGGCATCCTTTTCTTATATCTTTCTTATTCCTTTTTCTCTTTCGTCTTCTTTTTTTTTTTTTTTTTTTTTTTTTCACCGAAGGAGTTCCATTCCTTTCTCCTTTTGCGCTAAGGCGATGCGACGTGGCCGATCATGGGAAGACATCAGAGAATATCACCCCCACACTGCCAAAGAATTCAGAATTACGCGCGGCGCTACGGATGCACTCTTTGGATTAGGAAGTCTACGCTATTCGATTTCTCAGTCCGGAATGGTCCAATCGTTCGCTTTTCTAAAGAAACTTCTTCACTTCGGGATTTTCTCCTCTGTCAAACTTGATTACTTTCAATAATGTTTTTACACTTTTCATTCCTCAACTTTAATCTTATACAAATAATAAAAGTCTTATCAAATAAAAAAAAAGTCAAATTAGCAAACAAAAAAAAAAAAAAATTAATTATTAAATAATTTTTCCAAAGTACTAAAATTGAAAAAAAAAAATTTAATAAATAATTTGAACTCACCACATTTTCACAAGATTTTGGACAAATACAATTGGCTTCACCACCATTATCGCTCTCACATTCAGCATAATAATCGCATTTTTTATTCTCACAGCCATCTGTAATCAAAACAGAAAAATTAAAATCTCAAGTCATGAGAAAAATGGAAAAATAAATTATGATGAAATTTTTATTTGCGTGACACTTCATATCTGTTTTATTTCTAGTCTCAATTATGTATGTTTCCGTTAAACCACTTGACGATAAACTCAGCTTTCTCTCTTTCTCTCTGTATATATATATATATATATATATATATATATATATATATATATATATATATATTCACCTACCTTCAAAATGGCATTAATAAAGATTCCCTACTATTTGCATAACTGCATACTCTTTGGAAGGAAATTATCTCTCAGGCAAATATGCCCGAGTATAATAGAAGAAGGGGGAAAAAAAGTAGTAAGAAGAATCTACAAAACCATTTTCTATTGAATGAAGAGATCAAATACAAAAATCAAATTTTCAAAACTTTTTTGTCAAAATAAAATTATATTTTTATTCGCGAGAATCGAAATTAAAATGGAAATTTTAGAATTGCGTCTTAAAATTTGAAGTTTATAAATATTCATTAAGAGAAATGAAGCTTAAACCAAACTTCCATTTAATCGTGAAAGTTATGAAATAATTAAGTTTGGAAAATTGCACTTTTGAATTTTTAATTGAATAATCTAAATGTCTGGAAATATGAGAATAAAATCGTTTAACTTAAAATCGAAAATTATTTTTAAAAAATTTGGTTTGAATTTTTTAGTTTTATGATATATCTCGAGTTGAAAGACAAAAAAATAAAAAAAAAAACAGTGAGGAAACGAGGGAGATAGAGAGTTAAAGCAAGACTGGAGAAGTTATCTTTAGAATTCATTGAAATCCGTCGTGAATCTCTGGAGGGTTGGAAGCGATGCTAGTGGTAGAGGTGGTTGCACATGGTGTAAAGGGGGTTGCTAGAATCAAGTGGAACGAGGGGTTGCTGCATGCATATGCAGTGTGCATGCCTTCGGGTAACAACTCATACCTAGCAAAGCAAAGTCGCGCCATCATGATATGCATGAGACTGTGTTTTAATCTACAGACCTTTTCACGAGTCGTCCACCGAGTTTACACGTTCTTACGTCCTTTAAAATGAATCGACACGAGACTCAGAAATTTCAAAAAAGATTTTCATCCAAATTCAAATTTTATTATTTTTTTTTTTTTTTATTTCTATTTTAAAATTTTAGTCTATTTTAAATTTTTTCTTTATACAAAAATAACTACTTTATTTAAAAAATTTAGTAAATACAGTAAAAAAAAAAAAAAAAAAAAATTGCGACTTAGAATAAAATTATTACATTGGAAAAAAAATTTAATTCAAATAATAAATATTTACTTGAACCAAATAATTATTCACTTATTTCAAATAAAATTATTTGGTAAATATTTCTGTCGATTATTTGAATGATATTTCTTCAGTGATATTTTATATACCCTTTTCGTATTTACACTTGTAAATTTTTGTAAATTTGCTTTGTAAATGAATACAGTTTCTGACTATTGAGATCCTAATATTCGAGATAAATTTCCATATACAAAGTTTGATATATAATTTAAAAAAAAAAAAAGTATAACCTTTATTCCCTTCGCAAAATATGAAAATAAAAAGATGTTACACTATTGTTATGTGAATTTTCTTCTAATGGTAGACGTTCTGCACCTCTTATTTTGTTCATTAGCAACATGCGAGGGTGAGTGAAAGACCATTTTTATTATTAATCGTTTCAGCAATCGGGGCAAAAGGAAAAGTCAGCCATTCATATGACACGCACGCTAGAAACTAAGCACGAAACTCATTTTTTTCCCCCTTATACTTATGCCCTACTTTTTTCATTCTTATTATACCCACATCAAAAAATTTTAGTATTATACCAGAGTTAACTTACTGGCGCAGTACTGGTTCAGTATTGGCTGCCAAGGCTGGGCAGTGTGTACTAAACCAGTACTGTTATTTTCATTGTATCAGTACTGGTGCAGTATCACCCTTCCAGTACTGGAAAACCAGTACTGAGCCGATATTGAGCCAGTATTGGCTCAAATAGATTTTCATTTTGATTAATACTAGTTTACAAAAAGTTCTAGAGTAAAACTTATCTCTGTTACAATTCAAGCTTTCTTTTCGTATACAATAAATTACAAAACTACCAGTACTCAGCCAGTACTGTACCAGTAGTGGTTGCCAGTATTGTACCAGTAGTGGTTACCAGTACTGGTGCCAACTCTGGCAGACAATACTGGTAAAATGTTATCATCCCAAAGTTACGTCAACTCTGGTGCCAATACTGGGTGCCAGTACTGCGCCAGTACTGCGCCATTAGTAAATTTTTGATTGAGTATTAAATAAAATAAGAAAATTATATTTTTCAAAAAAAAATTTTTTCCTTTTTTGATCAGTTACTCACTGCAAAGTCCAGTGTATAGAACGCGAATTTCGCGACGATGCTGGCAAGCCTCGAGGCGAAGTTTGCACTCGTTTCCGTAACTGATGCCATCATTGCCACAAACGGGTTGAAATTCCGCTGGGCAAGTGGGACATTCGCAGGTGGCCGTGTCTCCATTCTCGGCGCAAACTGCACCCCATTGGCAGACCTGCAAAGAAAAAAAAAATAGTAAAAAAAAAAAATTGAAAAAAAATAAAAAAAAGGGAAAAGAATGAGAAGTCTTCTTTTCATGTCTGAAAACGACGACCAAGACGAAAAGCTAGAAAAAGAGCGTTTTCTCCTCAGTCCAAAAAGAAGTACGATTTATTACTTTAAATCCCTTCCTGTTCTCGTTTGTCTTTCCACTTTTTCGAATTTTCAACAAATTATGGAAAAGACAGAAAAGTACAGACAATTCTTCTCTCTCTTTCTTTAAATCCCAACTCATTTTCTATTCCTTAGTATTTTTCTTGTATTTTTTTTTAGTATTTTGAAAAAAAAAAATCTTTCTACTTTGGTAGAGGTTTATGTCAACGGTTAGTCGTTGCTTGGGTAACAGTGTTCATTCACGAGACACTCCAACTACTTAGACGTTATCCGATTCAGGTTGCCATCCAATTAGCAATAACTGTAGGGGGGGGGGGTGGTTCGTCGCGTCGTGGAAAAAGGTGGATAACGAAAAAAAGGGAAAAAGAAAACTCCATTCTTTAAGAGTTCAAAGAAAACACCTAAGGAAAACTGTCAAAGAGCAATTATGTTTTTTTTTTCGTATTAAAAAAGGGAATTTTATAGGAATTATAAATTACCTTTTTTTTTATGAAAAAGGGATTTATTACCTTCGATAAACATGGACTTTTAGATCCACAATTTCCCGTGTAGGCCAAATCGATATTGCTTTTGGTAAGACATGCCTGTTGTTTTAATTCACAAAGTGATGGATACGTTCTTCCTCCTTTGGCACAAACTGGTCTCATAACAGGCTCGCATTTTGGTCCACATTCACATGTTGCATAACCAACTTTATTAATTACACATTGTTCATAAGAAGCACAATGTGCACCATCGCATGGATTGTTAACTAAAAATTAAAAAAAAAAAATAATGATTTTTCATTACTTAAAGTAATTTTATTTTTAAGAGGAACAAAAGTTTCTCTTTTTATATATAAATCTAATCAAGTTAAAAGAATAGCTTAGAATTTTATTTTATTTGTGAATGTGTTTTTGTAAATAATCTCAATAGTGAAAAAGAAAATACAACAAGGCAGTTAAATGAGTGTAGTTGAACTTGGCGCGCTTTAAACAAAGTTTGATAGTTCGATTAAGATTCTGGCATGACTTTATTACCTGAGGTGCATGCGTCGTTGTAGATCTTTCTAAGCTGCAACTTTGATCTACAAGCTTCCTGTCTGAGGCTGCATTCGTTGGAATAAGTTTTGCCATCGCTGCCACAAACTGGCGAAAACTCGAGGCCGCACTGTTCACCGCAACGACAGGCCGGTTGCCTCGATTCGTCCAGCTGACAGATTTCCGGTTCCATGCACTCTACGCCCGCGCAAGGATCTGCAATCACGAAAAGTTGCAAACTTTACAAATTATCGAGTAAACTATATTACATACCACCATCACCCCCCCCCCTCGTCACTGACCTACATGTATAGAAAATTTATGCAAATGGGATTTTCCGGTCAGCAGTTACGAATTCTCCTCCTTGACAAAATTCTCTATATACTTGAAAACTTGAGGGAATTAGAGTCACTTGAACATTTTCTTTTTTTTTTTTTAATAAAAAATACACGCATATTTTTGATCGTAAAATTTGAAATAATTTTTATTTTCAATTTTTTTCATTTGAATTTTCTAATAAGATAGATTTTATTTTTATCGGCAATTGATAATGTAGATTTCTTCTTTATCAATGTTTCCTGTATTTTAGAGTACGTAACCGTACAATGTTTACTATATTGGTGCAATATTTACTATATTAGTGTAATATTCACTATACATAATAGTAGAATATTTAGTATATATAACGGTAGAATATTTACTATACTGAATAGTAGAATATTTACTATATCTAATAGTAGAATATTTATTATACTGAATAGTAGAATATTTACTATATCTAATAGTAGAATATTTACTATATATAACAGTAGAATATTTACTATACTGAATAGTAAAATATTTACTACACACAGTAGTAGAATATTTACTATATAAAACAGTAGAATATTTACTATACTGAATAGTAGATTATTTACTATACACAATAGTAGAATATTTACTCTATATGTAATAGTAGATTATTTACTGTACACAATAGTAGAATATTTACTATACTGAATAGTAGAATATTTACTACATCTAGTAGTAGAATATTTACTTTATATAACAGTAGAATATTTACTATACTGAATAGTAGATTATTTACTGTAGACAATAGTAGAATATTTACTATACTGAATAGTAGAATATTTACTATAAACAATAGTAGAATATTTACTATATATAATAGAAGAATATTTACTATACACAATAGTAGAATATTTACTATATATAATAGTAGAATATTTACTATATTAAAAAGTAGAATAAGTATTATACACAATAGTGCAATATTTACTTCACACTGACAATCAATTAAATATCACTAATTCAAATCGTGAAAATTTATTCACTGATTTAAAATCAATAAAATTTTCACTGATTTAATTTTAAAGAGTATTTTTTAAGAGGATATTCCTGTTTATTACTATTTATCTTTTTATATTTTGTCTATTTTGTCTCACTAAACCCGATTTGTACTACTTAAAAAATTATAAAAATAAAAAAAGTCTTATTAAATATTAATTTTAACTACTGATTTTATAGTTTTTTATTGCATGACTAAATATTGATTTATACTATTTTTTTAAAGTACTTTATTCTTTATGTCCGACTAAAATCGACTAGTACTACTTACAAAAATTAAAAACTCAGATTTAATATTTATAACTTTTGCTAATGATTTTTCGATTTCTTTATTATGTCGGTCTAAATATTGACTTGTACTACTTCCTTTAATATTTGATAAATTTTGTCTGACTATAACTGATTTGTACTACTTAAAAAATTATTTAAAAAAAGTCTTATTAAATATTAACTTTTACTACTGATTTTATCATTTTTCATTATGTCTGACTAAATATTAACTTATACTACTTCTTTTTTAAAATAATTTATTCTTTACGTCCGACTAAAATCGACTTGTTCTACTTACAAAATTACAAAAATTAGAATAGTCTGAATATAAATATTTATTTATAAAATTATCAAAAGTAATAAAAAAAAAAATTTGCACCTAAAAAATAATTAGAATTAGAATAGAAAGATAAGAGAAATTTATTATTTTAAATTTCACGTGAGAAAATGGGTGTAATGGTGGGGGCTTTTGAATTCCTGTTTTGTAGGTAATGTGCGCGGCTCCGATACACTATCGGCGACGAGATTAATCTTCACTGGTATAAGGAAGGAAGTTGGATTCCGTTTCCTGTCTAAAGGTGTAGCTTAAACTACGGTTGGCTGACGAGGCAAGTTCCTAGGGAGGCGATGTTTCTCGGGTTTGGGTAAGATACAGTCCAGTGGAGCGACTAAACTCCTTTATCCAACCTCCATTTTCTATCCCCCCCTGTATTTATCTCTCTCTCTCTCTCTCTCTCTCTCTCTCTCTCTTACTCTCTTACTCTTCCAATTCGTACCTCCTTCTCTCACCAAATAGAATCCTCTCACTTTCGATGTCCATTATACAAACTTCAACCCAAAAGTGTTGGTGACTTTACTTCACGGAATTCTTAGTAGTATTCCTTTTGAAACGATGTGGCTTTCCGAAATACAAACACATCACCCCACCAAAAAAAAACCATTCTATTCACGGGACATTAACTTAACTTTCTTGGATTTTTTTTTGCATATATACTTTCCATTGAATAGAAACCGAAAATTATTCATGTTACTTTATCAATTTCAAGTTTATCTTTGTTGGGGTATTGTGATCCTAAATGGATAGTGACACTTTGGAGTCTGTCCGTCCGTCCGTCGTAGAATACTTTTGTAGCAAAAGTAAAAATTACCATAGCAACGGTTGCTACGATAATAGTTGCCCTAGCAACCGTTGCTACGGTAATCGTTACCATAGCAATGGTTGCTACGATAATAGTTGCCATAACAACGGTTGCTAGGATAATAGTTGCCATAGCAACCGTTGCTACGATAATAATTGCCCTAGCAACAGTTGCTACAATAATAGTTACCATAGCAACCGTTGCTACGGTAATCGTTACCCTAGCAACCGTTGCTACGGCAATTGTTACCATAGCAACGGTTGCTACGATAATAGTTGCCCTAGCAACAGTTGCTACGGTAATCGTTACCATAGCAACGGTTGCTACGATAATAGTTGCCATAACAACGGTTGCTAGGATAATAGTTGCCATAGCAACCGTTGCTACGGTAATCGTTACATAGCAACGGTTGCTACGATAATAATTGCCCTAACAACGGTTGCTACAATAATAGTTACCATAGCAACCGTTGGTATGGTAATTTTTACCTTACCATTATTTTTTTCCTCAATTATTGTTCGAGTTTTTATTTTTTTTCAATTTCGCTCAGTAAAATCAGTTTTTTTTTTTACATTTATTGTTTGATATTTTTGTTTTGTTTATAAGTAGAAAAAAAAAGTAATTTTTTTTTTAGAAAAAATATTTTTCCTTTTCCAATGAGAGAAGTTTTTCTCCCTCCCTCCCACCCCTTTTCACAATGATGGCAATATAAATAGACAATTTTCATCTTCCTAAAGATATACAGAAAAGTAAAATGGAAAAACTTGAGAGCAAGATTTTGTCGTTTGATTGGACTTGTAAGGACACGACGCGAGTTTCTGGCATTTTCTATACGCGATGAGGGGAGGGGGGGGGAGAGAGAGAGAGAGAGGAGGAGGAAAGAAGGCGACAATGTGCGCACGAGAGTCTCGAGGCGATTTAAAGTACAAAGGTCTTTCTGCTCGAGTGATAAAAGTGTGTTTAAAATTCCCGCGATGCCGCGAGGCAATTGTTTTTTAAGTCCACCGCTAAGCTTCAGCCGCTCCCTTCCACAAGTTCGCTAATCTTCAAAGTTACGCTAAAGTTTCAACACCTTTTTCCAGTCAACTCTCTCTCTCTCTCTCTCTCTCTCTCTCTCTCTCTCTCTTGACCCCTACCACCAACCCTTTAAACATCCTTTCTCCCGTCAGTCTGCTGCCCTCCACTCCTCTCTCTCCCTTTTTCTCTGCATTATACAGCATTATATACCTCATGATGCTGAGCGCATTTTGCATCGTGTTGAAGTAACTTTAGCTTCACAGAGGTATAATAATCTACGAGAAGGATAAGAGGATTGGAGAAGCGAGAATTCGTATAAAAAAGTTATTTCATTTTTGTGCAAAAAGCGATTACAAAAGGGCATGACTTTTTCCCCCACGTAATCAACAATAATTGTCGCTTTGAATTTTCTACAAAAAAAGAAAAAAAAAAGAGAGAGAGGAAGAAGACATTTTATTGGATTTGGTTTTAAGAAAACAAGAGTATAGACGCAAATAACTTTATTAAATTTTTAACAAGTTTTTTTTTTTTATTATTATATTTAAATTTTTGTTCTCTTGGATAAATAAAATGATTAATATTTGTAAAATAATTTCTGTTTTAAATATATATTTAAATTTTACTGTTAATTTTCTCAGAGATTTGAATTGAATTTACCCCTTATTCAGCTTATAAGCCCGATTACAATTCCGTACATTGCTTCCTTTGTGTATATTCCATCCCCAAATAACAGAATTATCTTCAATTCTATTGAGTCACCATCGTTTGGTCTCTTTTCATTAATTGACTGTTTTTTTTTTAATTTTATTTTTGCTCTTATTAATGTCAATTTGATACATTTTAAGGACATTTTTCTCGTGATATAATATAATATATTATTATATTTATAACGAAGTATTCATTATTCGTATTCACCCAACGTTTTTCATATTATATATTTTCTTTTATATAATACTGACTTTTTTGCTTCAAATTTATTCATATCTTTAACAATTTTTTTTTTTTGCTATAAGCTGCTGCATTCATATGTAAATAAGAATTCTATTTTGTTTCGTTTTTCCATCATTATATGTATTATTTATTTGAGAATGTATACACATAGAGAAAACAGTTTATAAAACCTTAGGTCTTCTGTATATATATATATATATATATATATAGATACGAATTTTCACTCGAGTGTGACAGTCCTTATTTTGAAACAGCAGAGCATGTAAATTGTCTTTTCAAATACATGTAAAGAAGAAACGAGATTAAAAAAGAAAAAAATATTTCTCACAAAAAAAAACTGAAATTATTTTTTTTTATATAATTTCAACTATATATATTTGTATTTTTATTGTATTTTTAAGTCTAAGGTGGAAAAAAATTTTTGTAAATAATTTTTTTAATTAATAATATTTGAGTATTGTCTGATTTAAATAGATAGTCTGACTACATATT